CAACCCGAACAGCTCAACATCCGCCCTGGCTTCCGTGCCCTGGCAGAGGCCGCTGTGCTGTGGCTTCCTCGCGCTAGCCGCCGCTGCTGGGCGTCGAGAGGCGCGCGGTCTACGGATACCCAGGACCCGACAGGAACCCGGAGGTCGCTTAGTAGCCGCGCTCCGTCCGATTGCATTGCGCATATTCACCCCCCTTCAACGTTACCTGCTGCAGGATGAGAGAGTTCCCTTGGCCCTTCCCCTCCCTGTCTCTCGTTCCCGCCCTCTCATCGCCCCGCTCGCTTGTCACTCAGTACCCACTCTGCACAACGGCACGACTGCACGACGACTGCACAACTGACTGCCTGTTTGCCCACGATGGCAGCAAATGGCTGGGCGCGGGGGAAAGGGCACAACCTTTAATGCAGATAGCCCAACAGGGAATGAGCAGCAGGAAAAAAAGTGTGACGGCATTTCCTGTGAAATACCAACGGCGATTCTCGCCGCCGTCCGGCCGGTGACGGACTGACAACGAAGAAAAAAGGGAATGAAAAGAAAAGAAAGTAAAAAAAAAGGGCCGGGTGCGGGCCATTCTCGGGCAGGTCGGGCTGCTGATCGCTCTTGGCAACATGTCCCAAACCGGCCCCCCGGTCAGTGATCTGCCGGAGGATTCGCGTTCCCTTTCTCTGGGACCTCCCTCTTTGGGACCCGTTGACTCTCCTACCCCCGGACGCTGGGTGGGCTCGAGGCTTGAGAGGGGCTCATCTTCCTCCATTGTTGACCACTCGGTGACATCCAGCCTTGCCAAGCTTGGGTTCGCCTCCTCACTGCTCGCGAGGGGAGGATTTGAAATACTTACTCATGACTGCGCCTGCTTGTCACATCGTCACCGGTGGTCGAGCCCTTTCGCAGGCTGCTGGTGGTGTTGATCGGTGAGACCCAATGACTTGGTTTGCCAAGCCACTCCCAGATTGTTGATTTTGACGGGGGTCGGTCAACGTTACCGTCGGTCGTCCCAGGCCCAGCGCATTCACGAGTAAAAGTTGACATTAATGTTAACGTTAGGTTCCGGAGGGCCGTCCGCGAGTGAAGTGACATTGCGACAGCCTCCTTTCCTTCCCGGTGCGTGAGTGTCCGGGGGGCTTGTTCTGTTGGCAGAGCGCAAGCGAGTCCAGGCACGTTAGCTCGTTAATCCGGACAGGATCTCCACAGAACAAGAACGGACATCGGTTCATTCAATAGCCCTTTTCGGGGCATCAATGGCCAGATGAAGACGGACCGACGGTGATGCACGACCCGCCATTTCCAAGTTGGTCGAGCCGCTCCCCCAGGTCGTCTCTTTTTGGGTGTCCCAAGAGTCGTTTGCTGCCGTCCGATTCTGACTCTGATTCTGACACTGGCTCTGACACTGGCTCAGGCTCGAACTGCGCCCTCTTACCTCGCTTCCGCCCGCATTCGCATCCGCATCTGCTGCTTGCGCTGGGATCTGATCTGTGATGACTTCCCCCCATTCCTTCTCTCACCATGTCCCTAAGCCTATCCCACGGAGTTTCCCGTTCGTTTCCACGCCCTGCCCTTGTTCTACCCTGCCCTGCCCGGCAAGTGCGTGCGTGTGTGCGTGCTTCCGCCTCGCTACCTGACAACGTCAAAGTCTGGGTTCTGGGTTCTCCCGCAAAAACAAGACGAGGGTCGAGGGGGAGAGGGGAAGGTTAGTGGGTAGTGGGGGGGAAGGGGGGCGTGTCCCGGAAACCTCCATTCTCCCCGTCGTTTCGTTCCGGGCCCAATCCGATCATGCCGGGTCAGATCTTGGTACCGGTACCTTGTGTGTGTCAAAGTCAACTTGGCTGCCCTTTTGGGAATCACGAATCACGAATCAATTAAATCACTCTTTTTTTCACCTTCTTGTCGCGGCTAGGCGGAGGCAGCAAGCCAGGCAAGGAGAATCAGAGAGGGTGAAAGGAGGTGACAAGGGAAAAGAAAGTGTGGCGTGGGCGGCGGGGGACGATCACTGCATCACTGCACTGGGGTTGGTTTGTTCGTTCGTTCCTCTTGGGAGTGAAATTACTCGGGAGTGTGAAATGATTGATGAGACTTTGAGAGCCATTGCGGGACTCTGGACTGTGCTTGATTTGGCCCGGGGAAGACCACGATTGATGCCGACGAACGAAGAAATGGAGCAAGATTCAAGAAAAACGAGACAATAGCACGTCCAGCTCGCCACAAGCTCTGCGATGGTGGAGTAGACCATGTTGGAGGACAAGACAAAGTCCGTATGTAGCCTTGAAGTGCGAGAAACCTGTTCCATCTGTTGTCATCGACATTGTATTGCAGTGTATGTACGGTGTCTTTGAGACACTAGGCCCCCCTCGACTCAGACCGGTTTGCTGGGTGGGTGTGTGATGTCTGCACAAGCGAAACGCGTGGGTTGTGGATAGGGCGGGCTCGGGGCTCGGGAAGGATGGATTGGCATGATGATAGCCCTGTGCCATGGAGTCGGATCGCTGAGCGAGGCAAGGCAAGGCCGGTGAGAAAAAAAAGTGAGCAGCGACGATCCCTCAACTCTCGGGCCGAAGAAGGGAACGAACAAAAAAGAAAAAAGACAAAGTGACCGACACGAACAAAAGTGGGCGTCAGATGGCTTGACCGACGAGTCCGAGGAACGACGACAATCCAGATTAACTAGTTCACGTTTACCAACCCAGTTGGCGTTAATGTTATGGAGTCGACACGAGGAAGAAAATCTCCGGATCTCCAGATCTACAGATCAGAGTCAGGTGGATCCAGCCGCCGAGCTCTGTGGTTCCTATCTCTTTTTTTTCTCCCTTTCTTTATCATCTCTTCTCCGTCTCACTGTATATTTGTCTTTGATGTCGTCGGAGTGTTCGAGATGGTGAGATGGTGAGTCCAAGACTCTGTTCTTCCTCGGGTTCCTGTTTCTCCTGCAAATCATGCTAGACAAAGGATCGAAATCCGTAAGCTTGACTTTTTTTTCTGCCCCCATCTCGTTTCTCTCACTCATCCTTCGTTTCTCCCCGCCTTGTCTTAGTGTTGCAAATTGCCCGACTGGAGCGCTAGTTAAGCACACGCGGCTCCCCCCAAGCCATGCCCAAGCCATTCCCCAAGCCATCCCCCACAACGCGGTGAGATTCCAAGGGGGAACAAGATGTGTCTTGGAAAGTTGATGTCCTGATTGGTTATGATGCGAGGTCCAAATGGGGGGCTTTGAGAAGTTGGGATTCCAGTTTGGGGAAGGCGAAGGACTGAGAAGATAAGCTCTGACTGTGTCTTGCTTGAGATGCTGTCTTCCCTGAATAAGCTGCATTCATCGTTCATTCAATCATATTATCATTCATAATACGGAGCTGCCAACTGAATTATCAAATCCACGGTTGATTCCAAACACATGCGAAGCGCACGTGTATTCCGGTTTATGCAGCTCGGTTTTCGGTGCCGATAATCAAAACCAGACTCCCTGATTCCGGAGAAAGCACCTTAGCACCGGCAGCCTCCAAGGGATGGAAGAAGTTGTGGAACACTAAAACAAAACCCCATCACCGATGGATAGATATCACATCTCCTCCTGCCTGTCAAGTGATGTTTGCCACGGTTACTCGGTTACAGCAACCGGTGACCGAATCCCATCTCCTGCATAAACCCACGGGGCTAGCAGCATTGTGACAAAGGAATCGCAAAAAAAGAGGATCGATGTTAGCGTGTGTGTGTGTGTGCGACGTTGTTGGTTCCAGAATCCATGCCGAAAATGTTGACATGGCGAGCCAACAAACAAGGAACTTGCCGGTTCGGCGTTTCTTTTTGTCAATGCCGCCCATTTTTGAAAATCCAGACCGGATGTCCGTCGGCGTCCCAACCAACTCGGAGAAAGGGGAGCCCACCACCTGCCAAACCGGCTTGTGTGGACACAAAGAAAAATAAAATGCGACGTCGAACCAACGGCCGACACTGTCGGGGCTGTTGCCCGAAAAGGGGAGTGCCGCGCACAAATACATTTTATTTAACAACATTCCTTCTCCCTTTTATCAATCAATCAACTACGGGTACGGGTGCGGATACGGCCCGACGCCACCACCATCGGACGAAACGCTGTGGCTGGGAGTGAATGATGATATCGAACCATGTTCTCGTGAGAGGCGTTATTTGTGGCTTGAAGTGGTAAAGCCTGTGGTATGTGACAAACAAGGAAACAAGCTCCAGCGAAGGGACCAGACCGCGAGCTGCATGAATTAGACCGTAGATTAGGTTATACCTCCGCTAGCTCGACGGCCACCACGGTGCTCTAAGGGAAAAGATCCGCTTCGGCGTCGGTAGTGCTTCCTTGAACTCCGAGGATATAGGTGCCTTGGTGTTGAAGTTCCCGGCCGGAACAGTAGCTACCCGATGATAGTTGCATCCACACCCGCTGATTATAGGGAAAATCACTGATCGAATGCCTTCATCTTGAGATCGAGTATCGGTACATGAGATACGTGAGATACACCCATCGGAAGACGTCCGGGCCTTTCGGCCGGTACTACCGGCCAGCCTCGATTCATTGGGAAGCGTACCCGAGGATGGGGTCATCTATGGAATCCCGCATCCAGCGAGCACCTTCGGCGATGAATGGGAACTCGGGTTCGGATCGGGTACGGCACCATCGCCGGATCGCCAGAGCATGACATATCCTAGAGCTGGTATTGTAATGAATGAGTAATGAATGTGGCCGACGGAACGCTTCCCATTTGTTTATCGTTGGCATCATCGTTTTCGTCTCAGCCAACGACTCGAAAATAGCAAGGTTCCCTGGTCTCAGTCGTCCGCGTGGGTTGTCTCAACACTTAGCTGTGGGAGTCCCGTTGAGGCCGAACATATCCGAGATCCTACCAAGAGGGTGTGGTGTGTTGGATTGCTACCAGCGTTCTATCCCAGTTTGTTAAGAGGAATGGCCAAAAACTCTAGTTCCCGGTAAACACAACGAGATAACCGACCATCTATCTCATCATAGTCACATGGATTCTCCGATCAGATCAGATCTTCAGCCCCTCTAACAACCCCACCAACCTCTCCCACCCTTCACTCCCTTCCCAGTTCTCCTTGGCCTTGCCCATGACACTCCGCACCGCACTCCTCGCCTTGCCCTTCCACTTCGTCCCAATCTCGGGGACCAACTCCCCATAGTTCTCCAGCATCGAAACCAGATCATCCGTCCTTTCCACCACCACGCTCCACCCCTCCTGTTCCTCCAGCCAGTTGCCCGTACCACCACCACTCTCACCAGCACCAGCAGCCGCAGAATCCCGGAGGCCTCCCCCCAACGAAGAGCCAGAACCACCCTGCACCCCGCCGACGGCCGCACGCCACGCCTTTTCCGATGCGTCCACCGCACCTGCGTAATCAGCCCTCCACACCCGCGCCCGCGTAACCAACTCCCACAGCTCCGACCGCTTCGTCACCAGCGGCGCGACGGTCTTTTCTAGGAATTCGCACACAGCTCGCTGCGGTGTTCCGCGAGGGGGCTCGTATGGGACCCCCTCTTTCGGGTTTTCTTTTTCCTTGGAGAGTACCCCCTCGTTGAGGAGGAGTCGGAGCACGTCGATATCCAGGGCGTCTTCAGTGTGACGGATTCGCACGATGTTGTGGAGGGCGAGAAGTAGGTCTGATACTGGGACTGGACGCAGACGGGCCGCGAGGGTGATGACGTTGTCCCAGATGCGCCAGTTATCGTGGGAGATGTTGGCGCCGCGTTTGTAGGCTGCGAGGGATTGCGCAAGGAGGGTGGACGGGTCGCGGTTGGCAGGAGTAGTAGACTTGTCTGTGATATCGTCGTTTTCTTCATCGTCGTCGTGGGTTGTTGTGGGGACAGGGGCTTCGTCGGTCGTGTCTGTGTCGGATTCCTTTTGTTGTTTCAATTCCTTTAGACGCTCCAAGTAAAGACTGTAGAATGCGCTGCCTAGATTGCTCCATGTGCGGGCATCCTCACCACCCCCGATGCTGTCGGACGATGTGATGGCCCGGTTGTAGGCATTGGCCGCAGCGGAAAAGTCACCAAGCCGCAGGTTGATGTCGCCGAATCGATTCCACAGCTCCGAGCTGAGCCGGTTGACAGAGACGGCCTTTTCGTAGGCATCCTTCGCCTTGATAATATCCTTTTTTTGGAGATAGTACTCGCCAAGTGATTTCTGTGCGCGCGCAAACCGGTGCTTTGAAATTTCCCACGCCCGCTCGTAATGACTCGGGTCGTCTTCAAGATCTCCAAGGATACACCACAAGCGCGGGGCATTGGGTGGCGTTGATTTGCGTTCCGGGCCATGATAATCCGCTTCTCTTAGCTCGTCCACATCGACGTTGTCATCTGGTTCATCACCCCCGACCTCATCCACGAGCGTTCCTGTCTTATTGAACAAACGCCATCGGACGATGGCTTTGGCTTTTGCCTCACCGCCACTCCCACGCCCATCTTCATCCTCTTTTGCCGCATTGCTGGCGTGGCAGAGAGCAACTTCAGCCCACAGACGAAGACGCTTGAAGATCTCGAGCGCGGACACCAGCGACCCGACGCTGGCCCACGAGTAGGCCAACTCTGATTCCAGATGCCATCTCGGCGGCGAGCTCAACGCATGGATATGCTTCAGGCGAACCTGTGCCGGGGCTGACTCGGTAGGCTTTGCAGCGGGGAAGAATGACGTTGGTTTGTTGGCGGGCTTGGAAGTTTCCTCTCTATCTGTTGTCACAGTGATCTCCGGGACACCATCATCCCGATCACTGCTAGCCGTCTCAGCCGGCTCTTCCATAGGTTGTGTTGTGTCAACGATAACTTGGTCCACGACCGCCTGCATCTGCAAAACACCTCTCTCCAGGGTCCTGCTGCGATGCAGTTCAATCCTCGACCGAACGAGGAGCGCATGCGTGTAAACCTGCCAGTTTGTTTTCTTGTCCGCGATGACCCGCACAGCAAAAGGAAGCACTTCTTCCGCAGTAAGCGTATCGGCCGGAGAGAAAGCGTCCTTCAAGGTGGCCTCGGCGAGGAGGATGATTTCATCCAGAGGGGATAATTGCGGTTGTTCGTCGGGCGAAAGGTCTCGTAACGCCGGTGGCAGGTCTGATTTCTGGTCGCTTTCCACGTTCTCTTTGGTAAACTCGAGATCCTCCAACAGCGTGTCGTCGTTGAGCGCGAGTGCCTCCGGTTTCGCCTCGTTTGTCGCTTTCGACTCTCCCCCACTCTCCCGGCTCTTTGCCAACACCACAAGCTGGCTGGTACTCTTCTCCTGAAATCTTGTCCTCTTCCCCAGCGCCCCGGACAGCGCATACATAAACCCGCTCAACTCCGTCGCCTTGGCCAGGGCTGCCTTGGCCTTGCCGTCTAGCCCAAGCAGGATGTAAACATTGGCGCTCTCCACCAGAAACTGCACCTTGTCCTCATCACTCCAACGCCCTCCTTTTCCTGCTTCATCACCTACAATCTCCCCCTCCACCTCCACCAACCCCTTCTCCACGGTATCCTGCAAACTCGGCACATCGCACCACTGCCCAGCCTTGTTGAACACCGCTCCCGGCCCCAAACTCGGCTGCATCAGCAACTTGTAATGCCATACATGTGCCCTTAACGCAAGCCACTTCGCTGACTTTGCCGCAGCTCCCCCATCCAGCAGCAGCCCATCACCCTCGGTGGTAGTCTCGCTCACGCGGCCGACCAAAATCCACCTCGCCAAAGAAAACACCTCTATCATCGGTACATGCTCATACACCGAGACACCGTCCACCTCCAAGGACTGCAGACATGCCCTTCTTAGCAGCCTTTTCTTCTCCTCTTCCTCGTCCTTCAAAGACGCATTGCCACCGGCTTCCGTCCACCCCTTAACAAACAACCCCTCTACCGCCCGCAGCTTACTCTCCTCCAGCACGGGACCTGTAACAGTCCCTTGCAAGAAGGCGTTGAGCGCCGCTAAGCCGACGAGTAACCGGTCCTGGGGTGATTCTGGTTGTTCATTACTGCTGAGTGCCGAGGGGGGTGAAGAGGAATGGAGGGAAGCGACAAATATGTTGATGAGGTTCTTCGCGGGGTCGCTGAGGAGGATGTCGAGGTACTGCCCCGCGTTGAGGAACGAGGGCAGGGTGGAGGTCATGATTTCGTTTTTTTTCGTATCTCTTGTTGGTTTCTGAAGTGACAAAGACAGAATGGAAAAGGGGGTAGAAATAATTGGTTAATTTCAAGACCAAACTCTCATCTTCCTTTTCGAGTTTTGATGTCCTCAATGCTGTGCTGCAGTGAAGGGCGATTCATGGAGGGGCAATCCAAATTTCTGCAGCACATGAAAAATAAAGTGGGCCCCATGTTGGCGGGGTTGTTCGCGATTATGTAAGGCACAGTGAAGTCACGCACGCGATCACCGCTTGCATTGCATGTATTCAGGAGAATGACCAAATATCATAGCGCTAAGAGTACAATAGAACAACAATCTGGATTTTGACTCCACATCTTCGCTTCAGTACAGTACCTACACAAGCCTGCTACAGCAACACAGCGCTAAAGGTACATGATCTCTTATCAGATGCTCGCTGGGGCAGACCTAATCATCGCCCACCACGCATAACCTCATTTTTCCCGTCTGAAGGGGTATTTTCTTTTTCTCTCCGGGTTCGGCCGGTCCGACTCTTCCGAGCTGCTCTTATTGTCATCGTTATACTCTACCCAATCATCGGGCAAATCGGACAAGTCAGTCTATTTCTTGCCCTTATTCTTCTTGCTCGGCACCATGCGGAAGCCAGGGATATCCTCCTTGGGCGCGGCGGCACCACTGCTGGTAACAACCGCACCAGCGCTGCCGCCCTTCTTGGCAACCTCACTCCAGCCGCCGTTGCCGCCCTTAGAATCGGACGCCGCGCTGGTGGGCTCCCTCTCCACGACACCCTTGTCGGCGAGCTTCTTGCGGCGAACAAACTCGTCCGCAAAGTGACGTCCATCCATGGTCGTGCTGTATCCATACACAGCCTCGGCGAGGAGCGAGGGATCCAGAGGCAGATCGAGAAGAATCACGGCGAATTGCTCAACTGGAAGTATGTTAGTGCTGCAGCTGGTAAAAAAAAGAGAGAGACGGAAAGAAAGAGCGGTAACTCACTATCAGCAACCCCAATAAGGCCGCGGGCCAACTCGCGGTTCAGCCACTTCTTGAACTCATCCATAGCAACACTCTTGGCGTCCTTGAGCGACGTCGGAGCGGGTCTGACCGCAGATTTGGTAACGGCGGGGGACGGCGTGCTCCTCACGTTTCCAATGCTAGAGGAACGACTCTGGACCGCAGGGCCAGTCGGGATCGGAGCCTTGACCTTGCCGCCTGCACCGACGGTGGCCCAGCCACCAGCACCCTGAGCCGGTTGTGCAGCCACGGCAGAAGCAGCCGGTCCGGGAGAGGCGGACGTCTTGCTTGCGAGATCGGCGTACCGTTTGCCCATCGAGGAAACGGGGGTCGTGCTGGCTTGGACTGCTGCGGCAACCTCCTTGGCCTTTTGCTTCCTGAGCTCCTCCTCACGCTGGATATCAGCGAGCGTCTTCTTAGAACCGCCGTTGCCACCAGAGCCTGCAGAAGCGACTGCAGTCTTGAGGGTGGTGGGCTGTTTCCACGGGCTCCCAGTAGAAGTGGGGACGTTCACTGGCGAACCGGTACCCCAAGTGCTGCTAGCAGGGAGGCCGGAGTTGAGAGCCGCTGCGGCAGCCTTCTCACGTTCACGAAGGGCCGCGGCTTCCTGCTCCAAAGCAGCGCGTCGAGCGGCCGCTGCAGCCTCTTCTCTCTTGGCGGCCTTCTTAGCCTCGGCCTCCTGAATTTCCTTAAGACTCGGACCCTTCTGCTGGCCGGCACCCGGTTGCGGGGCCCAGGGTGCAGCGGGAGGCGCGGCCAGAGCGGCGCCTTCGGAGGTGGTATCAGGAGAGCCAGACCCCGACCGATCGCCATAGGTAGTGGGCAAGTTAGAAGCCGGGCGCTGGGCGGTAGGGGCAGCTAGGGCCACGCCCTGTGTCGGCGGCGGGAACGGCATGGGGAGGTCCGAGATAGAGGCCGGCTGCGAAGACATGGCATGATCGGCTTGCGTCTTGCGCACCTGTTCGGTCAACGTGAGCTCGCCCTGAGGCTGGGTGACGGTGGTCGTCGTCTCTGTAGTCTGGGTGACCGAGGTAACGATCTCCTGGGTTGAATCGTCGACAATCTGCGCGACCACCTGCTCCTCCAGCTGTGTCTGCACGGCGTCATCGTCCTTCGCTTCGGCCGGAGTGCCGGATGAGCCACTAGCCGCGGCCTGCTCCGCATCGAACTGGGCACGCAGCTCGCGGAACTCTTCTAGCCTCTCGCTAAAGCCCTCGGCATCCTTCTGAAGCTGGTCGATGTTCGGGAGTTGGCTCTGCAACGCGCTCACTTCGCTCGCAGCCTGATGAGTTCCAGCAAACGCGCTAGGAGCGTTTCCCGTAGAATGCATGGCAGCAAGCATCTGGCGCTCACTGAAATTCAGGTCGGGGGAGAAGACATCGCCGCCGGGGCCGATGGGCTGCTGAGCAGGGCCTGATGTTAGGCCAGCGGCAGAGTCAAAGAAACCTCCCGTTGGGGCAATGGGACCCAGCGGGTGCTGAGGAGTCATGCCGATCGGCGAGGTAATGCTGCCGAAGCTGGGCTGGCTCTGCAGGCTGTGTGCGCTGGAGTTATGGTGAAGAGCTCCTGGCTGGATGGGGGGCAGTCGGCCAAACGGATGATGATGTTGGGCCATTTCCCGCTGGCGGGCGTGGAACATCTGCTCTTCCTGCTTGCGGCGTTCCAAATCATTCTGCTGCTGAGCAGTCAAGGTCCTACCAAAGGATGGGAATGCGCTCTGTAGGGGCGGAACAGCCTCCGAGGTAGGGCCCCCAAAGGGTCCGCCCGAAGGCGGAGGGCCATGCGCAATGCCCATTTGAGGGACAAGGAAAGGCTCCCGGGAGTTGCCGATGCGGCGAATGAGTTGGCCAAGGGGCTCAAAGTCGGCATCCTCGAGACGCTTGACGCGAAGATCCGGCGTAAAGAAGTTGGCCTTGTACCAGTCGTTCATCTCAAGACCGCTGAAGGGCCCTTGCATCACCCCCTGAGGATCCAAGTACACCCAGCGCATCCTATCCGGCATCACCATGGTCTTAACAGCAGCGGGGTCGGCGGGCTGGGTGCTTGGAAAGGAGGATCCACCAGAGGTGCTGGAAAAGGGCTGAGCTTGGGCCGTCGAAGTGAGGGCAGATTGACCTTGCTCGGCAGTTGAGAACGGCGACCGGGCCGAGTCAGAAGTCGGGAAGAGATCGTCGAACCCACCGCCACGGGCGGATCGGACTGGGCTCTCCGTGTCTCGCTGGAGACCGATGGTGCCGCGGCCAATCGCTCCAAGCGGGTTTCCCTGACGAAGATCAGGCACCGAATCACCCAACCCATCCTGGTCATGCGTGTGCATTTGGGCCTGCATGGCCGGTGGGAAGAGGGATTCAAGCTTGCCACGGCCTAATCGAGAGGTGTTGGAGGAGCCAAACACACCGCCTAGACCGCCAAGGCCAGGAGACGGGACGTCGGTGAAGGAGCTGAGAAAGCCGCCCCCGAATGCATGCGGGAATCCGGCCCGTTCACGGTCAGGGGTGCCGGAGGAAGGCCCTGAAGGCCATCCGGATAGAGGGTTGACACTAGCAAAGCCCTTGGCCCCGACACTTGAGGTCTGGCTTCGGTCGCTACCATCAAAGGCGCCAGCACCGCCAAAGGACCGAGGGAAAGAGTTGAAGTTGGATTGCTGGTCGGTACCGGGCCCTTGGTGAGTGAGCCGGTCAACGTCATGTCCAGCCTGACCCTCATCACCGCGCCCCGTCACCGGGCTGCGAAAAGGATTGGTTCCGGAGGGACTAGCTGGACCGTTCCCATCCCCTTGGCTGCCCAAGTTCAAGTCAGCCATGCCGAAGTCACCAGCGTTCCCCTTGACAGGGGTATCGAAAACACCGCCCCGATGCTGGGCGCCTGCACTCGAAGGGCTATTGTCATGACCTCCACCGAGCACGGAGCTGCTCGGAGGGCCGTCATCACCAGCGAAAGGGTCAGTGTCGGTGCGTTGTCGAGGTCGCCAGTTGGGGGCATCGCTAGGCTTCTGGCCAGCGTTGTCCGCCGAGTCCTTCGGAATCAAGTGAGCCAAACGACTGCTTCCAGCACCGAAACGTTTGTCGGCCAACCCTGGCGTGGGCATAGCAAAGTTTCCGAAGGCTCCCCCACCACCGCTCGCCGGCGCAGCCGATGGACCCCAAAGTGAACCTTGGCCACCACCGAAGGCCGCATTTCCCGTCGTGTTGCTGCGGGGTAAGCCAAAGGGCTGCGTCCTGCCCGCGGCTGCATCACGAGCACCCACGTCCTCCCCCGGTTCGTCGGATATGGCTTCCTTGAGGTCGGTGCCGCGACGGGGTAGCCACGAGTCTTCGCGAGCAGCCCTGTTCGATGTCGGGGAAGCCACCGCTCCAGTCGGGAAAGGGTTCGTATCCGTGGTTTCGCGTCGGCGGGTACCAGGTCGAGAGGCGGTAGAAGGTGAAGATGTCTGAAAGTTGGCAGGATTCCCAACACTAACGGAAGTCTTGCGCCCATTCGCACCTCCAGTCCCTGGGTGTCCCCCTTCCTTGTTCTGCTGGGGCGGCTTCAGGGTTGAATTCACGTCGTTTGCGAACATATCACGCTCCTCTGCAGACATGCTTTCAAAACCGATCGGCTTCACCGTCCCGTTGGCGTCCCAACAAACACTCGGGTCCTGCGGCACGTGAGATGACTCGGAAGACTTCCCCCAGGGACGAGTCTGGCTCCCATTCATTTGTGCCGGGTTCCAGTTAGACATGAGGAGGTTGGTGGTGTCCATCTGCGAGGGGTCGAAGCTGTTTTTGTAAATGTCGAGCAGCTCCTCTTTACTATAGCGAAGCAGGCCGGACGAAGTAAACGCGGTCGGGTGAGAACTTGCAGGATGAGGGGGTAGCTCGCTTGCAGGGTGTTGTGGGACGTCTGCCAGATTCGTGGCGGAAGAAGGGTTAAAAGGGGTGGTCGAGGCTCGGCGGAAGGTCCTAGTACCATTCGAGCGCGGCCTGTTCAAAGGGTTAGCACTGGCCAAATACAGGATGAGTTGAAGAGGTCTCTGCCCAGTCCGGCGAGTCTAGACCCGATCCCCGTGCACGGTTTGTTGACAGCCCGCGCCGAATACAGGTGGTGGTCGGTGCGTGTTTGTGCTTTGAGTCCCACCACCATTTCAAGGTCCATCGAAACAGAAGCGGTCGGCAAGTCGGTCGGCAGGAGGAAGGGGAGGATATTCATCGCCAGAAAAGGAGGACAGGCGGCGGAAGGGTGGGCTCACCATTCACCACTTCCAGCTCCACGGGAGGAATCGCTACGTCCAGCCGCTCTCGGGTCTCTGTTCTGGCCTGCAGCGGCGGAGGCGAAGCTCGATGTTAACTGAGGCATGGCGGAGGCTTGCTGAGGAAAAAGCTAAATAGTTTGCGATTGCCACGAAATAAAAACGGGCTATGTAAGTGATAAAATCCAGATGGTAAACGCTTAGGATATTGCTAGTTCGCGGTCGTAAGAGGCGAGGTTTTCGTGACGGAACGGACTGTGAAGAGATCAAGCTTCCCTATTTTGCAAAGTTTCGACGAGGCAGTGGCCGGGTCGATGCCAAGCACAATCCACCCACTTGGGGCCACAACGTGACTTTCCTCGTGACCTGCACCCGGAATTTCGTCGTGGCACAGTGTGGATCCCTGAGGTTGCGCCCTAACGCTCCTTCCACAGCACTGTGCGCGTTTGGGATCCACCCATCGCACAACACGCGGGCCTTCGACGGTGACGTTGTTTCCTTTTTTTTGCACGTTCCCCTTTCTGTTCTTGCTTCCTCGGTTCAACTTTCGTTCACATTCAACTGCTAAGATAGCAAGCTTCGGACGATTAATCTAAATCGGTACAGGCGATGACTTGTATTCCGTGACCAATTTGTAAACAGCATATCTCGACATCATCAAGTTGCAAGCAGCTGCAGCTGGTGTTTAAGTCCTGCCATCTGGCAATCGGACTGCATGTCCTCGAGAACCTTCTTGGATTACCCGTCATGGTGTTTTACTCCGAGATAGGGGACTCTCTGACAGCAAATCCAATCATTTCGTTTGAAGCCAAAGCGTTCTCATCGATCAGCTTCCTTGCCGTTTCCACGCCCGCTACCGGAACGCGATACTCGGCCCCCTTGCCCTGACCTAGCTCAACCCCCCCTGGGAGTGCATAAGGAAAGGGCAAATACTCCGGGAGCAGCCCGAGCTGGCGAAGCACCGTACCCTGATCCCAGGCAATGTGCTCGTGGAAGAGTCGGTCGCCGCGGATGTTGACAATGGCTGTGAACGGGATGCTCAACGGTTTGAAGGTTGGTGGGATTCCGGGAACCCTGTGAACAAGCCAATGCGTCAAATTTGTCAGCCCTCAACCCTCAACTTGTGTGATTACTGGGCGAATGCCATACAACCAGTCAATGACCCGATCGTGGGTGCAATTGAACAGAAACTCGTCCACGATTCGGTCGACGCCGACGGTTCGGCTGATCAGCTCCAGGCCCGTATCCTCGGGGTTACTAAAGACAAAATGATTGCGATAAAATTCCGTTAACTTTGCCCTTCCGATCCCACCTGTGAGGGTCGGTACGTGGTTGACATAAGGCTCGTCGACCATGGTAGCCATGGTCTCTTCCACGCTGCGGTCTGCAAATTCGTAGCGGGTGTGCTCCTCCCAGATTGCCTCCAAGTCGAAATACGGCCCTCCCATCAGGGGCTTCAGGAAGGTCAGCGAGCGGGTATGTGCGACACCGGCAGCGCTTCCGTGGTAGTCCTCTTGCGTTGGGATGATGAAGAACCGTGCTGCTCCAGGGTAGGTGTAAACTTTGAGTCCTTCGTTGGAACCCTTGCGTTCCACGTTGGCGGGGAGGTGGGCGAGAACGGGAATGGGGAATGTGATGTCAGGATGAGCACCATAGAACACCACGCCCACAATGTTCTGGTTAGCCCTGACACCTTCCAAGAGTGTGTGACCGGATGTGCCCCGGCCAGGGATGACTTCAATGTATAATTACCTGTCAGCAGCACTTCCTTATGGTATGCTTCAACGCTGGAAACGAAGATCTGGGACTGATTTAATTACCAACTAAACCAAACCTGTCACCCTCACGCTCCGGCAAACACTTTAACTCAGCAATCGCGGTGCCCAGTCGCTCCGTAATACTCCCCGTTTCCTCATCAACCAGTATTTGGACAACAGCAAACCCCTCCTCCGCCCATTTCTGTCGTGGCGGAGGATCGAGGATCTCGTCGTTGCGGTCCAAGTTGAGCTCTTTCGGGACCAGCAACACCAGGCCCGGGCCGGTTCCCCGCCGAGAGAGCGGGGGCTGGATCGAGATTTCCGGTGTCACCTGCACACAGGGTGCTGAGGGACGTTGCGCTGCGGGCATCCTGGTGATCACGTTTGCTGGCTTCGATTCGTGGTTTCCCAGGCTTGCGGAACGATGGATTCGAGTAGATTTGTGTTGCGTTTGAGAAGCGGTGGTTGACGAGGGATCTTGTGAGATGGGAGTGAAGCTGTAACCCGACTCCCGAGGTCACCCCACAATAGTTACCAAGTGCGGGTAGGTCAATGACATCAAATTTATTTTGGCCGTTGGGCGGTCTTGTTGCTTGCCCCTATTTATTCGTCAATTACTGGCTGTGTGTTTTTTTTTTTTTTTTTGTTGTTGTTTTTCTCTTTCATTTAGATGATATTCCCGGGCCATGTTTTCCGTTTTGTTTTCTCGTTGAGATGTTCTTTTTAATTCCGGCAATTAATAAATGTCAGAGTTAAATAATTCATTAAATTTTTGCTTAATTATTTCGTAAACTGCTGTCAACTCGCTACAAAGTAATGATTCCAAGCCCCAGTACTTTTCCATCCACAACCAAAGAAAAAGGGGTATTTATTTGTACTGCTGCCTTCTCACATCGCCAATCCCGGGGTATCAGGCGGCAGCGATTGCGGTGTTAATTCAAAGGCGCTGATATCAGACGACCCGTTGGACCCGTTTTCGATATCAACATATTCCGGCGGATAATGGTATCGGTCCCTTACCCACTCCATCTCCTTCACCTTTGCCCCCTCATTCGGGATCCTCTCAACTTCATCCGCCTTCACCAAAGTAGATTCCATCAGACTACTCCCTCCCGACATCCTCGCGGTCGGAGTAGTACGGTATGTATTGTGAGTCCCCGGCCCGGTGAAATCCGTAACCGGCTTCATTTTCCCTCTTCGCCAAAAGTTAAAGAACGACTTGAGCCACGGTGCGCAGCCGCAGATGATGCCGAGGTGGATCTCCACGGCTGTCCACATCCAGAGGTGAAACCCATACCAGGTCACGTCGTATGTTTCTTCTACGACGTAGTGAATCCAGTAGGTGCGAAGACAGGCGGCGGCCACGGCAACGAAGCCGAAGCCGAAAAGCGTGATGAGGCCGGTCTTCTTTTTCCACGGTAGCTTCGTGTGGAAAAGGGAAGGCAAGGGTAACATCCAAATGCCAAAGTCGGTAACGGCCGCGAGAACCCCCTGGGCCATCAGGGTCTGTCCTTCGTCGAGGCAGTCCCGTTCGTAGTACATGAGATTCCAGTAGCTCGAGGTGGGTCTTAGAAAGGGGAGCGTCAGTGACCTTGCTTCGTCTGGGGATTTCACTGTTCTAAATCAGGTCATGGGAGGTCTTACATGCACTGCGTAAATAGGATGATGAAGAATGAGATGGTAAAGACAATCACAAAAACAATCATGCCGTCTAGAGTCAAATTAGCATTTCCCCGTTCACTCTCGCTGTAAGATTAAAAACAAAAGCAAAAGGCAAGATAGACTAACATGTACACTTGCGAAATGTGCTATTCTTCGGTGCTATGCGAAGAAAGCCGACCAATATCGACAACCTAGTGAGGCAGCTGGACGGAACAAACGCCGCCTGGGTAGCAAATGATATTTTGCGGCCAGCGATGATGTTGTAGGGGGTGAGGTCCCAGACATGCATGTCCCAGCCGAACCGTTGGAACGCGATGACCACAGTGACGGTGAGAGCCGTGTCGCAGAGCTATGTCACCCGGAGGGGTCACAACACCTAATTAGCCTCTCCGGCCCTATACGCCATGTGCAAGCGAGCCGTGATTAGGAAGGAAGGGGTACATACAGCTCCGCCCACCATGAGCCAATCGTCTAGCCCAGTTCTTCCCGTATACCGTATCCGGCCGTAGATGCGCAAGATGAGACATATCAATGCGATGGAAAGCATCGTAAGCTCGACAATTGGTAGGACTTTTCCTCGCGTCTCAGGGTCGATGAGGTTCGGATGTGGCCAAGACGCCAGCACTTCTGGTGGTGGTAGCCGCATGATGAAAGGGGAAGTGTGGTGCTGCGATCTATCAAAGGTGTGTATTAATCGATTGTCAACGTCGAGCTTCGAAATGAAGGTTGTGATGGGCGCAAAGTCGCCATGCGGCAAATACACGGCGACCGAGCCGTAATAATCAGAGCATACCACACCGAGAATGGAGGTTATCGAAAGGAGGGACTTCCCTCACCCTTATACGACAGTAGGATTTCCGCGCGATGCCCATTATCGCCAGCGGAAGCTGTAGATCGTCCAGCTCAACGTCAGTCAAGTGGCGTCTTGACGTTGACCAACCCCCCCCCCCAAATGATGGAAACGTCCAAACAGGCTAGCCATCTTGGCTCGCTTTCCCCGGCTTTGGGAGTACCCGACTCCCGTCTGATCATAACGTTTACGCACGGGTGTACTGGCCCAGCCAGTCGGTGTTTGACCCACCCTACCATCCTAGCTTGAGGCCCTCTAGACTCTTGCCGACAAGCAGATATCTCTACTATGTAACTGGTAAGGCCTCCAAAGTGGCATGGTACAAGTCTACGACAGGCTCAGGGGGCATGCCCTCACGCTTGGCACCTTCCCCCGCCTCTAGTTTGACTCGTGTTGACCGATCGACCGGTCCGTTTCTTTCGTGGGGATGACCATCGCGTTCTCCATCGACCACGTTCCCTCCTCGGGCAGGGATCAAACGTACCAGAACTACGGTGCCATGGCCGTGGCTTGCGTGAGTTGAGGGGTTGTGCCAGTTGTGGCTATCGTGATACAGATAATGTGGCATTGTGGCTGGGATTCGACATTATGCTTGACTCGGCCGGAGAAGGATCCGGAGATATCACGGCCATTGTATCCCAGAATTCCTCTTTTCTTGCGTGGGATCTTGCCTGCGGATGTTGCTTTGACCCTTTGGTGGTGTGTGTCCGGAGCTGGGCTCCGGGAGATCCCAGTCTGCCACTCTCGAACAAACTGACCGGCAGGCAATTCACAAGAGGGCACGGGCAGCAAACAGCTACATAAGTTGCACAGTATCCAGTTACTCGCGGGGTTGATCCATGGCCTAAGAAGTCCATAAGCTTCTAGCTCGAAATAATCTGGGGACGGTGGGGTTCTTTGAGCGGGAAGTTCCAGAGAAGTCAGCTGTCAAGAACAAGACTTCACTTGATCGACACTTGTTTATGGCAAAACGGAAAACCCCGTGAAGGTTAGTTTCACATGAGTCGGGTTAGCTGGCTGATAAACCTCGAATTCTCGTTATCTATCACCAGACTCCATTGATGACTCGAAACAATCGAAGCAAGAATGGGAAGCTTGGCCTCGAACGCGGGGGAAAAAGCCCGCTCTATCAAACCTATCATGGTCTTGCAAATGGATAATTATGCTAGTCATCTGTGAGGAGACACGGGTTTCTCCGCGGTCTTCTAACCAAAACTCACATGCCATATCAACCGATCGAAGTGATCGAGATGATATAGACTTGTCCCGACGCATGTGCAAGTCCCCTGACTCGAACGAGCCGTTATCCGCTCTCACCCGCGGTCACCATCCGAATCCTCCCTTCCACACGAGGCGCAATAGCCCTTGTCCACGACGCCCCGCCCAAGTCGCCCTCGACCACGTCGTCCGTGCCCCCCGCAGCATCTCCGCGAACTCCAGCCACTCGGCACCACTTGCGGAATACACGGCGCATGATAGCCAACTCGCGGTCGACGCTGCGGACGCTTTCGCGTGCGTGCTCTACGTCCTCGCCGGACTCGGTGTCGCTGTCGTCTTCGTTGGGGGGCGGGACGTGGGAGCGGGTCTGTCGAAGACGGGCTGGGGTCCATTGTGCCCAACCATTCTTCTTGGGAGTGGCGCTTTCATCGCTGTTGGTCTTGCTTTCCGGGCTGTCTGATGTGGCGGAGGTGGGTGATTTCCCGACGATGGGATGGCTCTTCTCCACGCTGTCTGCTACTTTGGACCTAATTATTCGATCCGTCAGTTCTGTGCCGTGATTGTTTTCCCGGACTGAGCCGAAAGAAAGCGAAGGAGCAAAAGGGGGGTACGTACCAATGACTATCCATCGACGGACACCAACCACTCCACTTGGCCAACACAGTCAAGGACATGAAGTACTGCCGCAAAATCGCCGAGATGAGCATCCCGTTCTCCTCGGAGACCACTTCCTCGCACTCGCCACCTTCCGGCTCTACCAGCAGGCTGCGGTACCCATCTTTGCCGCGTCCCATGTACCCACGCGTGGCGAGGACGTAAACGCGCTCATTGTCGAGCGTCTTCCCATCAACTTCGGCCGCGAGGATCCGCGATCCGACGGGTCGAGAGGGGTCAAAGCTGAAGCGGATGTTGGAAACCTGAGGGAAGCGCCCTGTTCCGGCCGGCAAACAGTATTGGTTAGTTGATAACGTTGGTTTCGCAGCGCGAGTCAGACAGGTTGAAACACACCTTCTAGCGCGGGATAAAGCGAAACACCGTTCTCTAGCGCATCCCAGAGCGCCTTTCCTTTCACCTTGATCACAACCACGGGATCTTCAAATGGAAAACAGTCCGTTATCTCCTTGACACGTATCGGCCCCGGCGCATATACCTGATCACCTCTGATCGTGCCGGCCGCCATCAGTGCGCAATCAGCGCCATAATGGTGCCGCATGATATCGCACACAAAGTTGCCCAGGTTGCTCTCCTTTAACCTCACCGTGGTGAACCTCGAGTCTAGAGGTGTGGCAGTCCACCCGATCGGCTTCTCAAGGCTCTTTTTTAGCTTGGCCGTGAGACTGTCCACTAAAGTCGCGGCCTCTTTGTCCTCCGCAATGGACCGGACGATGTCTCGCCGCCAGATATCGACGTCCCATCGCCGGCCGCTGGCACTGGGATCGGTGACCCGGCGGATCTCGATGTAGCTGAGCTGCTTGAAGTCGGAGCCGGACCGCAGGACGTGAGTTCCGTTGATGAGACTGTGGGCGTAAAAGTGGTCGTGTCCGCCGAGGATCAGGTCAATATTCTCGCCGCCGAGCTGCGTGGCAAGCTTGTTGTCGTTGGGTTCGCGCTGGTGTGTGACGGCTATGATGATCTCTGCGCCCTCAGCACGCAGCTGGGGCACCAATTCCCGGGCGACCTCGCTGGCCGAGCGGTAGATGATGTTTGGTGGGAGGGCATTGATCGTCTCGAGCCACTCTCGCTCGCCGAGACCAAGCAGGCCGATTTTGATGCCATTGGAAGCCGTGATCATGTGCGTCTTTTTGGCATTGCCAAGGGGAACCCCATCCCCGAGGGCCGGGTCCAGGACGTTGGCTAGCAGCCAGGGAAAGTTGCACTTGGAGGCGAGGTTGCGGAACTGCCGGTCCCCGAAATCGAGATCGTGGTTCTATCAAAGTGTTAGTTGGCCACAAAATACAAGACTAGACCAGCAGCACGGTGCTGAGTCCGGGCTTCGCGGCAACATACCCCGACACAAGCGCAGTCAGTACCGATGAGGTTGAGCAGGGGGACCATGTGGCGGCCTGTTGTGTGTGTGTCAGCCGACTGAAATCTGAAACGGGGGTGGGGCTGATATGGGAAGGAATTGGCTGACCTTTTGTGATGGAGCTCTCAAGACTCGGGTTGAAGACATCGCCGGAGAAAAGAGTGACCAAGTTGGGCTGCCCTTTGAACCGATCTGCTTCCCGGTACTCCTTACAGACCGTTATGAACCTGGCAACACCACCGGCCGGTTCAGACGAGGAGGGGTCGAGGTGGTAGACATCGTTGTAATGGAGCAGCCGGATATCTGGAGGGGAGTTGTTGACATCTCGGCCAGAGCTGAAAGTGACGGTTGGCTCGGCGGATGTAGGAATGGAAGGCGCCCCCATTGTGTCTCGTTGGAGTAGAGGATACCAATATGTCAACGATAGCGCGGGGGAACAGGTGAAGCTTGACGATGAGAGGGGCAGAAACAACTGGTTATCCTGGGAGTCGGAAGGGGAAAGATGTGCTTTGAAGCTTGAACCGGGTTCCTGGAAATCACGGGACGCACCGGTTGATCAGGGGCGGGCCAGGTGGAAGTCTTTAAAAAGAAACTTCGAAGTTATGTGCCACTTGCGTTGTGGCTGGCGGTCCCTTTCCCGGAAGTGCTGGAGATTGGTGGGGTTGTTTTCCGATCGGCAGTGCTACCCAACTCCAGGTCCCAAACTATCAACCACTGTGCCGTTGCAGGCGCCGAGGGGCCCAACTTTCTGCATCTTGCCGTGCCGGTGTCGTGCCAGCCTGCCTAATTTGTAAAAGCGGGCCTCTGATTCGGTCCCCATCGTAGCTGAACCCCTACCGTTTTCTTGTTGTCGTATCAGTGGGTTTTGAATTCGTTTTTTTAACTGCCGAGGAACGCGACAAATAGATACGAAAAGTATTTGGGGCTACGGACCCATGGATGGAACTAAGTGGGGGATAGCCCAGGACTTCCATGATCTTGAAGCTTCCTTGCCTCGGAAACTTCTCGTTCCAGGTTCCTGAGATCCAGGTCCACTGGACCCTTTTTACGCCCTTCTCAGCCCCACCATCTGTCAGTGGATGCGGGGCAAAAAACTGTCCCATCTCGTGTTGTAAAGGATAAAAGCCGACTGAGGACGTTGAGTTTGAACATTTGTTGAGAGCGGAACAAACACACTTGTTGTAGTAAGCAGTATTCGGCCTGTATTTTCGAGATTATTCCTCAGTACTCATGGCTTCCAACGCCCCTACGGTCCGGCACGCCCGGCGAGAAGGTCAGGCCCCTTTCATGATGTGTACAATTGTCTTGGTCTCTATTTACACAATCTCAAACCCGCAGATGTGCCCGCAATTCTGGAGCTGATCCGCGAGTTGGCGGATTACGAAAAGGAGCTTGACAGTGTTGAGGCGACCGAGGCCAAGCTCCTCGAGACCATTGCATTTGCGCCCTCTCAGCCGAGCGCCTCAACGTCAAGCGACAGCACCGCTCTTCCGCAGACGGAACCAACCTCTCCTTCCAAACCCGCCCGCTGTCTTGTTTTAACTACCCCCGGTGGTATTGTGGCAGGCATGGCGCTGTACTTTTACAACTACAGCACATGGCGGGCGCGGCCGGGTATCTACCTCGAGGATCTGTACGTCAAGCAGAGCGAACGCAAGAACGGCTACGGCAAGCGCCTGCTGGTGGAGCTGGCTAAGGAGGTCGTTGCCATGCGCGGTGGTCGGTTGGAGTGGGTGGTACTCAAGTGGAACGAGCCGTCTATCCAGTTCTACGAGAGCATTGGTGCTAAGCAGATGAGTGAGTGGGTGGGCATGCGGGTGGACGGGGAAGCGCTCACGAAATTGGCGACGCTGCTGGATTGAGCTTGAAGGCGATTGGTGCTACTCAAGGAACCTCGCGCTTGCTCCATTGTTCCCTGTTTTTGGAGGGGGAGAAGTACTCGTAGCGCAGATCGATTCAACTTCGTTTCGCAGCTCCTCGATGTTTTCCTCGTCTTGGCGGCTGTTTCCTGTTCTTGTTACCCCCTTCGGGGTCTGGGTAATCTTTGAAAAACTCCAGACTCCTCCCCATTGGGGACGCCGGAAGCATAGTTTCCCTTCCCCATGTGATGTCCCAACCCTTGCCAGTGGGCTTTTGTTTCATGGTCGCACTCAGACGCCAGACCTCCGCCAGCATGCGCCGGAAACTCCGCGGCTTGTACTTATGGCATCCGGTCGGTTGAGGATCGGACGGCGAGTTGTCATCCAAGGCTCCGGAGAGCAGCTTGTTGCGCCGGTTAGCCTGCCGGTCCACGGCGGCCACGGGTTTGACGGCATACGCCTTCCAGTCCCAGTTCCTGGCGGGTGGCACGACCTCCAATATTCCCTTTGCCAAGGCACGGCGAGGTGGGGGAAGCCACTGTGCTTGAACCGTCCCTTGAATGATGTTCCTCAGTCTTTTCCACTCCGATACGGGCAGCGGTGGCATGATCTTCTCTGCTAGCTTCCTCCATAGAGCGAGGAGCTTGCTCCGGGCGAGTTTGAGAGGAAGCGGCCGGCCCCACGAATTTTCAGCCGGGATGCGCTTTTCGGGCGACGTTTGGTGCGCCATTATGCTCGCCCGGGGAGAGTTGATGCCCGCATTGGCCTGCGAGCGGGCAAATACGCGCAGTTTCTCGACGTCCCACGTATCCAGCCAGTCGAGTTTCCTGTCCTTTTCATCGACGGCATGGGCCTTGGAGATGAACCTCTCCAAATCGGCTGTGCTGGAGGGCTTGTCGAAGCTGACGAGACGGGCAACCAACTCGCGCCGGCGTGGTCCTCGGCGGCCGATGGCAAAATACATAATCCGGCGCATGCGATCCATGTCACCGGCGTTGGCGGCACGTATGAGGCGAAGGCCATGGTGGGCGTGACGAATGCGCCTGGCAATGAGCTCATCATCCGCCCAAGAATCTATACCCGCTCGAAACCTCGCCTTGATGCGCTCATCGATGACCCATCGTGCGGGGCGCGGAAGGTATGACGACTCCCGTAAAATATGGCGGTACAGATGTATTGGGGTTTCGGGTCTTGGAAGACGGAGGGGCCGGGACATGATGACGGCCCGGGGTGGTTGTTTCGCGCAAACCGAAACTTTTGCGCCGGAAATGGAACGCCAAGATTGGAGACGTTTCTTTCCATGTTGACTTGTGGGGCCTCAGCCGAGAGTGCGAGCTCCTTGTCGGCATCGCATCGCTTTGGGTAATTTACGGTCCGTGCGTCGTGCCCCGCGTCCGCCGGAGTCAAGATGGCGCGTCTCTCTCGGCTCCACTGGCTCAGACACGCCTAAGAACACGAAAATCGCACGTCGGCCACCCGTGTCTTAATTGAACTCTCATCGCCCGATTCCCAGATTGCGTTGCTCCTAGCATTTCGCAAGACCCGCGACCTTTTCTCATCAACACCTGGACGGAGTCAAGGCTCGCGAACCTCCAATGCATTCTTAGTACAGATATTTTTTGGATTTGCCCACATGCGCCCAGGCATACGCATCCACTAATCAGGCCGTTTCCCTCCCCGTATTAACTTAAACTGAGCCCGACTTTTGAATCCCTTTTCGCGCTCCGCTGCAACGCATACTGCCTGAGGATTTGTGCGCCTTCGCCCCTTCCACTCGCTCACGAACCCTCACACCTCACGCCGCATCCAAACCAACACCATTGTCGCCCAATTTAGTATTTCGCCTACGCTTCTTTTCCAACACTGGTAGATCAGAAAGCCGAGTTTAGCAACATCTTGTTTTTCCACCCGCACCGTCAGTTTTGTCGCATTTGTATGCGCACCCGAGAGCGACTCAACGGTATCCAGTCACCGCTTCGGCATTCCCCGCGTCGCGCCGACTCCATTCCGGGCATCTTGACGCCCCTCCTCGAAATCGTAGCAGCGACAGTTGCACAATCTTCCGCCGTGCCCGGGCGCGCTTTCAAAGATGCAACCACCACACATTCCTGCTGGCTCGCAGCAGCCTCAGCAACAATCCCAACCTTCTTCCCAGCAGTCCTTCTCCATGAGCCAACCTTCGTCACAAACTACGGGGTATCGCCAATACGCCGAGAAGGCTCAGAAGCCACAAAATGAACAGGATATGGGGATTTACTCGGTATGCTTGCAATTTTGTTACGCCTTCCTACTTATGCTTCCCGTTATGGGATCGTATTCCCCCTGCCGCACGCATTTGTCGCTAATTGACCATCCGTAGGCGGTTTATTCGGGCGTCAATGTTTACGAAATGGAGGTCAACAACATTGCGGTAATGCGACGCCAAACCGATGGGTGGCTGAACGCGACACAAATTCTCAAGGTCGCAGGGGTGGAGAAAGGCCGCCGGACTAAGATTCTCGAGAAAGAAATTCAGACGGGGGAACACGAAAAAGTACAGGGAGGGTACGGCAAATACCAGGGCACCTGGATTCCGTTTGAGCGCGGGTATGAGGTCTGCCGCCAGTATGCCGTAGAGGAGCTTTTGATGCGCCTTCTCACGCACAAACGAGGCCAAGAAGGCACAACGACCGATGTGGACACTCCGACAAAGGAACAGGCCATGGCGGCGCAACGGAAACGCATGTACAATGCCGGGTCGCAGGAGAACCGTACCAATGGGTTGTCGGGGACGTTTTTCAAAAACATTTCCTCGACCGCGTCTCACGCTATTAGCGCGATTAGCAAAGCCCGTTTCGATTCTCCCGGTCCGCGCAACCGCAGCGGCCCGAGCCGCGCTCCAAGTTTTCACCGTCAATCGTCAATGCAGGATGCAAACGATTTCCCCGCCAATTCACAGCAGAGCTTTGTCTCGGATTATGGTCACCCGGATGCCGCGTTTGGATCACAGACTTCACAGCCCCCGAACGGCGATAACAACGAGCAGCCACCGAGGAAACGCCAACGAGTTCTTACGCCTGCTAACAGTTTTGGCGGACTGACCCCGACTTACCCCCACCTAGATGGGTATGCGGCCAACTACCCGGGCTCGCCCACGGAGCCGAACGAGTCGTTTATCTACTCTCAAGCTGGTATTCACGTCGACCAAGAACCCAACTACCCTCCAGGGCCGCTTCGCCCTCTCCCACACGATATGTCCCCCGAGGCCGATGCTAGAAGGAGCATGCTCATGGGCCTGTTCATGGACCCCAGCGGGCCGGACGAAAGCAAACGGAACACATTGCGGAATATGATTCCCCAGGAGCTCGATGTCCCCATTGACTCGCAGAGCCATACCGCCCTGCATTGGGCCGCGACATTGACGCGCATGCCACTCCTGCGGTCGCTGATCGAAGCTGGTGCGAGTCCCTTTCGGGTCAACGCTGCCGGCGAAACGGCCTTGATGAGGGCATGCATTGTCACAAATTCGATGGACCACAATTCCTTCCCAGAGCTGCTCGATGTTCTCGGGGCGACCATCGATGTGAGGGACGACAAGGGCCGCACGGTACTGCACCACATAGCGGTAACGAGTGCTGTTAAGGGGAGGAACTCTGCTAGCCGGTATTACCTTGAAAGTCTGCTCGAGTGGGTTGTACGACAGGGCAGCGCCCCAAGCAGCCAAAATGTTCCCGGCAGTCTCCCTGGGCCGGCTAAGATGGGTATAGGGCGCTTCATGAGCGAAATTGTCAATGCGCAGGACAGCAGCGGCGACACCGCTCTCAATATTGCGGCGCGAATCGGCAACCGCAGTATTGTGTCCCAGCTTCTGGAAGTTGGCGCGGATCCCAACATCGCCAACCGCGCGGGGTTGCGACCTGTTGATTTTGGAATTGGCACAGATGCCGAGGATCACCGCAACGGAGATACGTCGGACAGGAACGGTGGCACTCAGGGGTCAAGCCAGAAGACCAAGGAAAACAGTGACGAGGTGGTTAATTGTAAGATTCTTTGCCCTCTTCTAATCCCTGTCTTGCGCTTCAGACTAACATTTCTGGTTTCTTTTCTTTTTTTTTTTTTAGCCATAACCCACCTCATCACCGAGTCTTCATCGTTGTTCCAGAACGAGCTCAAGAAGAAGCAAGAGTCCATTGACACACTGCACACTTCACTTCGGACAACATCCGCGCAAGTTGGCGAAACGCGCCGGAATCTCGAGGCTCTACAGGACAAACTAAAAGCGCAACAACTCGCGAGACAAAAAGTCGTCAACTTCAAGCGCGCCTGCGACGAAGAAGAGCAGCAGCTCATCCAGCTCGAGCAGCGTCACGGCCGCTTGGACGTGGACGCGGCTAACGCGTGGGAAATGGAGCTGGAACAGGTCTTGGATGATGTCAATGCGTTACAGAACCAACACCCAAATACCGCAACAGAAAGCGTAATTGGGCCCCAACTTGCCAAGCTCCCCAGCGCCACGGTTCTCCGTGCGCGCCTTCACGCCCTGCGCACGCAGTCGACACAAACGCGCCGGGCAGTGGAAACACTGCAGGCACGCAGCAAGGACCGGGAGCTCAAGTACCGGCGGCTGGTGGCGTTATGCACGCGGAGACCAGAGACGGAGGTTGATGCGCTGCTGGATACGCTGACGAGGGCGGTTGAGTCGGAGAAGGGGGAGTTAGAGATTGCTCGAGTTAGGCGGTTTTTGGGCGGGGTGGAAGGTGTCGCGTGAAGTTGCTTTGCGGGCTTGATTTGCGACGGGGGGGGGGGGGGGGGTTTGTTGATCTGCATCTTGAGGATTGTCCCGCGGTGGTGCGCTTGCACCTAGTGTTTCGCAGTTTGCGCTTAGGCGCACTTGTCACGGTGTCATGGTTGATACGGCGTAGCTGGCTGGTGGGTTTGCAGCTTCATTATGGCGTTCAGGGCCGGGAAAGCGCCCTTGGGTTGGGTTGTATCATTTGATGGTTATATTCTTCATATTCTTGTGCTTGAACTTACCCGCAGTACTGCGGTTTTTGCACCGTTTCGACAGTATGGTCCAGGAAGTCCTTTCGTGAATCCACATGTGTACACATTAATATGCTCGGGCGACTCCGCAGTCTCCTTCCTCATGAGCCCACACTGAATCCAAATGATCCGTCAAATTCCCCTCTTTTTCCCTCTGCATCGGCGCGCATGTCCTTAAGGGTATCCAAAGAGGGGACTTTGTTCGAAGGGTAAAACCGGAGTAGGTTTCCAATGTCCTCATCCGTCAACCCGCACATTTCGTCCCACGGATATGCATCGCTAACTTTCATCATCCACGCCATTCTTTTCGGCCCTTCCTCCGGCCGCGGTGCCATCTCCCTCAGCCTCACCCTCAACTGCCCGACTGTATCGATCGCCCTCCCAGCATTTGACGGCAAATGCTTCGCGATGAACTTGCGGATGATGCTCGCCAACCTCGGGCCTTTCCCATTCGTGCTCACCATGATCTGCAACGGTCCGTCTCGGTGCACACTGCCAAAGTAGAAATCGCACTCGGGCGGGACATCGGCAATGTTGGCCGGGATGCGGCGCGCCTTGCACAGCTTCCAGATGGCGGTTGACGCGGCAGGGTCGTCGACCGCCACGAGGACCATGTCAGCGCCTTCGAGGTCGGAGGTTTCGAATTTGCGGTCGATGTGCGAGACTTGCCGCTGCGCTACGCGGTAGGCGACTTCGGGGTTCAGGCGCGCTGCGGGGGAGACGACGGTTACGTTGGCGTCGGCATTGAGGCAGTGGAGGATTCGGCCAGCTGCTACCTATGAGGGGGAGGAATAATAGTGTTAGGTCGTGTGGAAGAAGGGCGTCTTTGGACTGTACGCTGCGTTTCGAGCTGCGATACGCACCTCCCCGCCACCAACGACAAGCACCGTTTTGCCTTTGACCTGCCATGCAATGATCAGGCTGCCGCCACCCTGTACTTCGGGAAACTGTTGTTGCGATGGCTCAGCCATTGTAATTCTTTGTCTCACGTTCCTCGAAAAAACCGGGTATGTAGCCGGGGAATTGGCGGTGCAAATGATGTATTCATTGCGGACTGGATCGCTGCAGCTTTGCGATTCCAGATGGTGATCCAAGGTTTAGAGGTTGACAGCGCCATGGAAAGGCATGCGGGGCCAGCTCCTGCGGAAAGGATTGGCTTTGATTGGACAATTTCCCGCTCAGGCTCCACTTTAAGCCCCAGACACCTGTCCCGCCAAGCCAACAGCCGCTGCAATCCATGATCCAAAGGCGAATCCTTGCAGCCTCGACAAGCCGCATCATTGCTTCATCCCGGCGACTGCCGCCTTGCTTTCTTCTTCCTTATCCGCGCGTCTCCTTTCTTTGTCGAACCCACGGCATTTTTTGGCGGCGACACCCACGATGCCGAACCGATGAGCCTGTCCCCTCGAGGATCAGTAGAACACCGTACAATCGTCATAGACGTCGCAAAACACATCCACACTTGACCGGCTCGCTCTCGCCGCGGCCATGTCCGCCCCGCGACGGCTTGGGGGCGGCCGGGTCCTCGGCAGCGGCAAGGGGCTCGCCCCTCCACCGTCGACACGCACACCACGATCCCCGAGCCCGTTTGGCGCGCGGTCCGATGCCAGCACAATCTCACTCCGTTCTCGAAACTCGACACCAACTTCCCTCTCGCCGTCCTCCTCGAGCCCGCTCCCTGATTCTTCCCAGGACCTTGCCTCCAATGTCACCTTGGCCGGTCCCTCCAACGGCACGTCACCGGGGAACAGGTTACAGTGTCCTATTTGTGAGGAGGAGATGGTGTGTTATATGATACCGTGCAACTTAAGGTCCAGAGGGGTTCGTCGTTGCTGACATGGGTGGCAGCTCACACTTCTCCAACTAAACCGCCATCTTGACGACGTCCACCAAGAACTGCCCGAGGCAGAACAAGACGAAGTCAAATCCTGGTTTGACAAGCAGGTCCTGAAAGCGAAGCGGTTCCAACCACTGTCCCTCATCAACCAGAAACTCCGCGGCCTCGAGGTCTTCGAATCGAACGAAACCCAGCCACTATCGGTCGGTCCGGGTCCGGGGAGGCCCGTTGACACGGTGATTGACCCCGAGGAACTTATCACGAGGAAACACTGGGAGCGCCCAACAGGAAACGATGTGTGCACAGATACCCTATGTGATCGGAGATTGGGCCCTCTCGGCGGGAGCGTCAACTGCCGGAAATGCGGTCGTCTTTTCTGCGAGGAGCACACGATGTACCAGATGAAGCTGTCTCGTTCAGCTTCCCACGAGCCCGTAAGGGGTGTATGGGCCCGGGTTTGCGAGACATGTTACAAGTCTAGGGAAGGGTACAACGATCATACGGGGCTGGCACGCGATCACACCTCCCATTTCGCTGCAGTGCGGACTAAGAAGGTGGAGCGGCAGCGCCTGGAAGTCCAAAGGCTGGAAAAGCGCCTTACAAAACTCACGCGCCTGTTGGTAGAGGCACCGCCAGAAACGGCCGGGAACTCGGGTCTTTTGTCGCCGCTCTCGAATCAGTGGAACCAGAGAAAGGTTATTGAACAATCTGTTGTGACCTGGGAGGACGATGCTACAGTGGCCAAGTGCCCCTTTTGCAAACAGGAGTTTGGATCGTGGACCTTTCGTCGACATCACTGCAGGATATGTGGCCGTGTTGTTTGCGCTGACCCGCAGACTAACTGTTCAAGCGAGGTTGGCTTGAACGTCGCGAATCGTACGTCCCCGTTCACGGCTATATGAACGAGATTTACCAGCTAACTTGACCTAGCGAACGTCATCCCATCAACAGAAAAGCCCATAGAAGGGCAAATCAGTATCGACGTGCGGATGTGCTGCGAGTGTAAGGGCTCGATATTTTCGCACCGAGACTTTCTTGAATCCGTCAGTCACCGGCCTCCAGATCAACGTGCATACGAAACGTTGCGGCAGTTTGAACGAGGGATACAAATGCTGCTGCCATCGTTTCACCGATCACTACAGGCACTCCAGCCACCTGACGAACGCAGCAACGGACCCGAGAAACCACCACCAACTCACGCTCAAATACAAGATGCGGCCAAGATCCGAAAACGCTTAACGGACTCGTTTGCGAAATATGATCTCGCCGCAAAACGAATTCGCAACCTCAAGACCGACAGCCCCACACAACTACGCCTGCAAAAAGCTGTCTACGCGTCCGCGTCGTCTTTCCTGCATGCCAACCTTATACCCCTGAAGAGCGTGCCTGCTATGCTGAAGAACCAGAAGTCAAACCATCGAAGGCTGCTTTCAGGCGGCAATAATGGGTCCTCACACTCAATATCGTCACCGCTGCGTAATGCGGAATCATCCGGTCTCGATCCAGAGACAGCCAGCATAGGAGGAGCGAGTGAAGTCAGCACCGCAGTCTCGACAGCTTTAGAAACAGAAGAAAAGGAAGCTCGGGAAAAGCTGGTGATATTGGAGGAGCAGCGGTTCATGGTGCAGGAGATGCTAAGTCAGGCCAGGGGTAGCCGGCGGTTTGAAGAAGCCGGCGCACTGACCAAGAACTTGGAAGAGTTGGACAAGGAGATTGAGGCGTCCAAAAAGCTGGTAGCGGGCGTTGAAGAAAGATGGGAGGGACTCTATTCTGGGCCGTCGGGGTTCTCTTGACCTGGGCTTGTTATCGGTATTGGGACGGGGCTAGTCATTGTCCAGATTCAGCCGGATGAGCATCGCATGGAGTTTGGAGTGCATCTTTTTGAAGCCGGTATGGCTTGGCGCTTTCAAAGGCATGGGTTTTACTTGGGTACTGGGATATCATAGTCTATTTCTATAACGATTGATACGGCGGAGGCCCCATTTTACAGCCTCAGAAATACGCGGTCAACTCCACAATGTATTTAAACTCCCGAGTGCGTGTCAACATGTCACAGTGATTTGAACAAAGAGAGAGAGCCTTGTCAAAAAATAAAAAGCTCACAGCCAAGACCTATCTCCATCCGGAGAGATAGACGTTGGCAGCTACGAAAAACCGGTGTTTTTCTTCGCTGGCCGTGGGAATCGAACCCACGGCCACTTCGATTTACGACGGAATTGGCGGGGCCAGCGCTCCTCCCAATACCGTTGGGCCAAACCGGTGTTTGGATTCAATTGAGAGGAGATGGTGACCGGAGCAGCGCGGAAGGGGTTTATATAGGCATGGCGTGGGAGGTTGTAGGAAGGCGCATTGTGAGCCATGATGATGGACGACACAGGGTTAGGGTTTGATACATGGCCTCCATCAACCCCACCATTGCCGTCACCGCAACGCCAAATGACGTCGCACATCCTCAACTTCCATTGAGTAGTTTCCTCGATTAAGCTGTCCAACGCTGCGCACTAGCTGTCTTACGACGCGTCACAGTGGTAAAGCAGTCAATTTGACTCCATATCGAAACGACCAACTCAAAATTCGGCATATCGTGACGCGTCAAACTTTCGCATCAGCGGTCCCTCAATTCCACCATCTAAAGGCTCCAACAAAACACCATCCCCTATGCCTCCGAAACGCCGACAACCACCCCCCCGAGACCCCGATTCAGAACCCGAGCCCCCTCCCCGCGAGAATGACAACGACCCCTCCGACGAAGAAGCAGAAGAAGGCGACTCGGCCTTCGAACAAACTCCCCTCCCGTTCTACAACACCACCTTCTCCGCGCACCGCGTTTCGCCCCTCTACCTCGGCGCCGAGTCGCTTTCGCCCAACCGACTGCAGCTACTTGCGCAGCGATTACGCGACCGGTTGGTTGGTGATGTGGTGAGGGGCGTGGAGATTGGGGATGGGGGGGATTCTGTTGTTGCACGTGCCGGGGCGCTGGAGAGGGTGGATATCTCGTGGGTTAAGGTGGCGGATGTGTTGCGATTTTCGGAGCAGGATGTAGAGGGGATTGTGCAGCGGGCAGGGGGAGATGAAGGTGATGAGTCAAGCTGGGGAAAGGCAGCGGGAGAGTTGCAGGACAAGAAGGCGCTGCACGTTGCGCTGCAGTATGAGCTGGTGTCGTGCACCGCATTTCTACTTCCCCGACTGCGCGGCGATGCGAAGATGCAGGGCACAGACCCGCCGACGCGGTTTATGGTTGGAAGCGGGGGAGATGCGATGGATTGGGAACAGTCGGTCGACCCAGCGCATTTCATGTCTTTGCCGCTTCTGCTTCTGCGCATGCCGCCGCCGCTCAAAACGATCATGGCCGATTTCCTGGCCGCCATGTTCGACTGCCGGGTTAGTCCCATGCGGTTGGGCACCCAGAGTTTGATCCGGAACTGGGAAGCCTGGGTTCGAACAGTCAGTGGCCCAACACGGGGAACAGCCATCAAGGACGCCGTTCTTACGCTCGGCTTCCACGTTCAACCTCCGGCTGTTCCGGTACCAACGCTGGAGGACGATGCGGATGACAGTGTTGTGACGGAGCAGAAGCAGACCCTAGGGCTCAAGTCGGTTGATGTCATAATTCCTGCAGCAGAACTCCGGAAATTTGTGGCCGCAGGAAAGCGTGTGGCTAGCGCAAAAAGCGACAAAACGACCTCGTCCACCGGCTGGGCCTGGGAAAACGATGTGCAGGAACGGAGGAAACTGGCAGGACGGCTTCAAGAAGAAGGCTGGGAATGGCTTAAGTCAACTTCTCCACCTGGTGGACGCGAATCGCATCCGTTCACAGAGGCACTGGCATGTTATCTGCAGGAGCATCTCGGTCTGAATCTGCTGCATCCAAGCGTCCGCGTTATCAAGATTGCATGTGGTGGGTTCGCCATGTCTGAGTCACGGCTGAAGGTATTCGTGCCATCAGATGCGGGACAGCGTGACGTTGCGTTGGAGGTACTCGGAAGATTGACCGAGAAAACTTGATGCAATTCGACGCAATCGACTACACAACAAGCCCGGAGATGCAGTCGCCTGTGCGTATCAGTTAAAACCCCGAAACCCACAATGGTTAGGTTCAGCCGGATGCCCCGCCTCTTGTGTCAGATAACAAAGAGGCACTCCCACCGGAGGAAAGGGCTTGGTCTTTGTTGTGGGAAGCGACAAAGCAACCCTGTCACCTCCTTGCCGGATTCTTAGGCTCGAGGATAAAGAAAATGAACGGCCTTTGCGATGGAGTTGCATTGAACCCTTTTGAGGCGGAGACGACGATGCAAAACCCTCCCACGATGTGCGATTGCGATGGAGGGTGGTTCGCACCCCCTTCCACCGTTCGGCCCGCTGACCTACACGTAATCCCTCACCATACCCCTTCAACTTGCCCGGGGCGCAGAGCAGCACGAATGGACGGGCTCTACAATCTTGAACCAGCAGCATTGGCCGAGGTGCCGTCACTTTGGCGCGGCTATGACTTCTGGTCAGACTCAATGCAGACCCCTGAGTCACCCGAGTGGCCGGAATCCTTGGAAATACAGCCACCATTTCCCATTGCAAGAGAACCGTCATTCGAAGTGCCCTGGGAGCAAGACCGTCTGGGCCATTATCCAAGCTCAACCCGCCCCAGCCAGAGATATGAATACGAGATAACACCGCCTCCTCAGCAATGGTTCGCGCCCACGAACTCGAGCCCGCCGCCTCATCTGTGGCCGAACATAAACAACGAAACCCAATACAACACCCGTCGTGAATACCCCAAATCAGGCCGCGGATCTCTGGCTCCCACCAGCAAAGAGCCCACACGAGATCCAAAAACAAGAGTGTCCGCCCAGCGAACACTCCCCGCCAGCTACAGAGTGAGCAAACCACTCGCTGCCCCCACGGGGCGGGCTTCGTTAGCACATCGACTCAAGCAAGGCACCTTCAAGCTTCGAGATTTGCTATGGACCAAAAAGGCCCCTGAATCGCCCGAGATTGACGCTCTTAGCGTCGGCGGTGGCCCGGCGGACGCCAGCCCAGGAGGGGAAGGGGACAGAGGACGTGGTCTGCCGTGGTCTATTTTGTCCAGCAGCAGGAGAGAAAAGAAAGCGGCCGCCCGGCGGGCGAAGGAAAATGGAAGTGAGGAGCCGGCCGCCACCGAGAATTGGGGGGAATCATCGACGTCGACCTACGGGAATCAGTCACTAGCTACGTCTGGGTCTGGGTCCCAGCAGACTCAGCCGCCGACTGATGTGGAGAGTTTGAGGACCGATGATATGGACATCGACATTGCGGTTAAGGCGTTGCAGCCCGCACAGGCGAAACGGGAAAGCGTCGAGTTCACGCTGGAGCTGGATTGTGGGCATGTGGTGGGAAGTGATAGTTTTAGCAAGATGGTGGATGACGCGAAGGTTTTTGGATTGGAGGCGAGGTGTCCGTGTTGCTTCAACTTGCCTACCACGGCGACGGTATGACGCGTTATGGGAAGGAGTGGGATGTCGGATGGTAAAGGGGTTGATTAAGTTGCATTGATACCATGGACAATCCAAGAACTCTTCCCGCAACCTTTCTTCGCTACCTAGCAGCTTGCCGTCGCCCGTCCCACTGCTCTGCTAGCGGGGCCAGCCTGCGCGTCTGCCTAGCAGGTCCTCTGCGCGAGCGATTTGCAATGCATGCCGATTGTGACTAGTTACAAGAATTCTATAGGTATTGACTACGCCTAATGTAGAAATGTCTTAAGGTTTCCTCTTGCTTAGTGCGTTGGGGATATCTCCGTCTGTAGGTTAGAGAATCTCGAACCCGGGCGGAATGTCGGCGTAGTTACAGTATAACACGGCGGTTACGAAAACCTCACAGTGACAGGAGTGTACTTAAGATCAATCTTCTCTCTCTGATGTCTAAACTGCTAAGATGTTGCGGGCGCGCGGCCCTTTTATTGGATACCCTTGTTTAATAATTAATTACTGACTCACTGCCTGGATACCTCCACTGTCCCTTGACCCGTTTGACACAAAATGAGGGTAATTACCTGTGAGTATCCTAATCGGAGTCGGAGTCGGAGTCCGGCTCGGGCCTGAAATCGCACTCAACTGCACGATTTCTCTCCAGAACGCCTTTCGCCGCAAGCATATCATCCTCGTCCCAGTCGTCATAGCCCAGCCGGGCTGCCAGATCCAACTCGAACCTCTGTATCTTCGGACTATGTTCCAGAACCATCGCCACCGCTTCACGAGGATTGAACTGGTCGACTTCATACAACGGCCCGCAGACGTACGTTAGCCGCTGAACGTTAGGGCATAGGCGGAGGATGTGGGCAAGGTCGTCGCCCGCCATGCAGCTGATCAGCAGCTCGAGATCCGTCACGTTCTCGAGCCCCAGGCCCTCCTCCAACGGCTGAGAACAGATGACCTGAAGGAGCCGGAGCAGCCTGATATTAGGAGCGGCACGGAAAAACCGCGTATAGACCGACAGGTCGAATGTAAATTCCGGGTCCAAGTGCAATATTTGGACATCTCTCAAAGATGCCAACGACCCCGGAGGGGAAAGGCCAAGAGCAACAGGAAGGCCCGGATCCATCGGTGAGGCGAACTTGGCCGTCAAGAGGTTGGGACAGAGGCTGGTCAAGAGGGCGGCGGCGGGCTCGCTGGCGGTGTCCGCCAGCTCGCTCCTGGTGAGACTGTCCGCCTTCAGGCCGACGCCCGGGGTCAGCGCGACCTGTTCGGCAAAATAAGAGTTGACCTCTGGGGGGAGAAAAGAATGGTAGCTGCGTTTTTCCTGAAATTCCACAAAGAGATGCCTGACGAGAGCAGCGAGATCTTTGCGCCGGATGAGTGTCCGCGCAAGCCGCGCCCACCCCAGATTGGTCTTCTGCTCGATAAGGCTGTGGTAGAGTCGCCATGTCGTGAGCTGGTTGAGGTATTTCGATGCCCGGCAAAGGCTGGCAAGTCCGGTGAAGCTGGCCCTCACGTCATCGTGCTGATGGCTGGGCGACTTGTATGGCTCGAAAGACCTCTCTCCGACGTAAACCTGGAGGTCATGGACGTGGTGAAGACAAAGCCAGTCAAGGATCAGGTCCAAGATTTCCGGAGGGAGCTTGGAAAGCTGTCCCAACCCTCCCATGGCCGCGATTTAATTTTAAACAAAAATGGAAGCATAACACACTGTCACAATAATCCGTAACAGAGGGGAGCAAGGGATTCGTGAACTAATGCTGGCTGTGAGAGTCAAGAACGGCGCCTCGAGGGCTAAGGATCCTGGCTTTAGGGTGTTGGAAACAGAGTTTGTCACAGCAAAAGACAATCGTCGATTGCTGCAGCAAGCGGACCCTTTTTATACTGACAGAGTTGCAGGTGCCAGTTTTATCATCCTCAGCAACTTTGTCCCGGGCAGGCGGGCGCGAGCGGGCGCCCCGTGCCTGCAGCGCAAGGGCCCTGCAGCAGGGCCAGCAGGTATGGAGGCCAAAAAAAGCGGCAGACTAAAACCGATACCTTAGGTAGGCAGGTAAGTCCAATCCATTAACATTCGATCAATCTTGACAGATTTTGAGTGATTTACTCGTTTTCGTCTTCTTTCACTTTTTTGATGTATTCTTTTTCTCACTTTTGTCGAAAAGTAAGCTCTCCAAGGACTCGATTAGGACACCCGTACACTGTACACAGTACATGGTAATAATTACTTCATGGGGACACTGCGCCGGCGCCGCCCCTCACGGGCTGTCTAGGCCGTCGAAAACGGCCACACAGCCCAGCCAAATTACAGCGGCCAGACTTAATCTGCAATTACTGCTTCTTTCATGATGCAATTTCTCATTGTCTTCACAGGGTCTCCTGAAATCAGGTCTTTGACACTAGACCGACGTATGGATAAACAACAATATTATCTCAGGGCGCGGTCGATGTAATTTTTTCATAAGTACCTAATTCCATAGCCAATAGCCTGTTCAAATGGCCTGTTCAACGCATCACGGGCATCTAAATTTCCAAAGACCCAGTTATCCCGTTCAGCGCCCCATCTTCTGAGCGAATATCGTCTCGATTAACAAGACTCCGTACCGTCACTACTATTCCACAATCTAATTCCGAGGGTCAAAGTTAAAGGGCTTGTTAATGCATGGGTTACGGGTATGAAATCTACCGTTGCGGGGGTTTTCCGTTTGGGAAATGTTTTCCCGGTTATTATTGCCCGCCCAAAATGGGGGGTTGATGCTGCTTAATTAATTATGTTACAACTTACGGACTCACGGAGCCGGGACAAGTTTTTTTCAAACGATACGATTTCTTCAACTGGATCTTCATTACCTGAAATGCCATTGTAACAAAAGAGAGCAACGGGAATCCTCAAAATGCTGAGCCTTATTATTCCCCTGACGCTAGGGTTGGCCGTCATTATATCCTATCTAGTCCTGGAATATCCCCGTGTAAGCTAGCATCGCCAGCACTCGATTCTTAAACTTGGAAGCCAGGCTGTCCAGACTGACCAAACCACATCAGCTCCGCCAAACCTACCGCCTATGGTCTCACCGATCCCAACTCCCCCCGGGCCCGCCGACCCTCAAAACCGGCCTCCGCAAACCCTGGCTCTGGTTCCTCGAACTCACCCAGCAATACGGCGACGTAGTCTACCTCCAAATGGGCCCAACGCCCACCATCATCCTCGGCTCGGCCCAAGCAGCATGGGATCTCCTCGAAAAGCGCGGCGCGATTTACTCTTCGCGTCCGCGGTTCATTATGGGCGGGGAGTTGTTGTCGAATAACCTCCGTGGGTTGATGGCGCCGTATTCGGCGTTTTGGCGGCGCTGGCGGAAATTGTTGCATAGTGGGTTTATGCAGAGGCAGAGTGAGGGATATAGGCCGGTGCAGAGTTTGGAGAGTAAGGTGTTGATGCATGAGCTTTTGGTTGAGCCTGAGGGGTATAGGAGGCATTTGGAGAGGTATGCGGCGTCGGTGGTGGTGACGGTTACCTATGGGAGGAGGGTGGAGGATGTGAGGAGTGATGTTGTGGTGAAGATGAATGCTGAGGCGATGGGGAGGTTGACTTCGGTGAAGTAGGTTCTTAGTATCTTTCAACAGGCCCATGTCGGCAATCTTTTCTTGACTAACAGGCTTTGATAGTATTCCCGGAAAGTACGCGGTAGAGCGGTATCCGGCACTGAAATATGTGCCTGCAGTCTTTGCACCGTGGAAAGCAGAGGTGCTAGAGCAGAGAAAGAAGGATATCCAGATGTACACCGGTCTGATGGACGATGCAAGGAAGCGCCGGGCCGCTGGCACACTACCGGACTGTTTCGCGAAGTACTTGCTCAACGAGCAGTCCAGCCTGGGCATGACTGACTTGGAGCTCGCTTACGCTGCTGGTACCCCTTTTGGCGCAGGTGTTGAAACGGTACTGTTCCCCTCCCCTAACATTAACATTCCTTTGGTCCGTAGCATCGCTAACACCATAAAATAGTCCGCTGGATCACTCGCCAGCTTCATCCTAGCCTGTGTCAAGTTCGGGGACACATTCATTCCCCAAGCCCAAGCCGAGTTAGACAGGGTTGTAGGCCCAGATAGACTACCCACGTTCGACGACCTGCCATCTCTCGAATACGTGCAAGCTGTGGTTTCAGAAACTCTCCGTTGGCGGCCCGTGGCCGTCTTGGGAGGCACACCACACGCAACCACGGCTGATGATGTTTACAAGGGCATGTTTATTCCCAAGGGGAGCACCATCATCGCGCCGTTGTGGAGTAGTAAGCTTCAGGCCCCCATATCAGTTCTCTCTCACCGTCACTAGTAATTCATTACTGATAACCTGGAATAGTCCATCTCAACGAAGCCGATTTCCCCGACCCTCACAAGTTTGACCCAGAACGCTTCCTGAAAGATCGCGAGTATCCCGGCACGCTCGGCCACAGTGCCTTTGGTTGGGGACGCCGAATTTGTCCGGGGTTGCATCTTGGGTCAGCGTCGGTGGCCATCAACATTGCTCGGATATTGTGGGCGTTTAACGTCACGCCGGCACGGGACGAAAAGGGCCAGGAGATCGATGTTGATATGTATGTGTTCGAGAGGTGTTCATGTGCTCGATGCACTCGCTAATAGTTTGCAGTTTTGCATATTCGGATGGGTTTAACTCTAGCCCGCTGCCGTTTCGGTGCTCTATCACGCCGAGGTCCTCGAAGCATGCTAAGGTTGTTGTTAAGGAGTTTGCGGGGGCCTGCGAAGAACTACAGCGGTATACGGCGGCGGCTGGGTCGTTGTGAAATAATTCCAGGCTGCATCAAGATAGCACAATATGGACATGGCTGTAGAGTACGCATGTTGCGAACATATAAAGGTTTTTTTACTGCGCTAATATATACGATCCAAAGTTTCAAAGATTCATCTTCTTTTCCAAAATGCACTCCGCTTACGCAGCGTCGAGGAGACCCTTGATGAAGGCGAGGGCCTGGGAGCCGTAGATGCTGACGTACTGCTGGTGGTGGTTGGCGTCGTTGCCGTTGCAGCAGTAGGGGTCCTGGGAATCGCAGTAGGACTTGATGATGGAAGTCGACGCCGGCGAGCACTGGAAGCCGCTGGGGCGGGCGGCGAACTGGGAGTTGTGTTAGTATTCTGCGAGCGATCTTGAAGCTACGACTGGGGCATAAAGGGGGGCAAAACTTACACCACCCGCTTGGCATGTGCCAACGTTGTAGGGGAGACCGACGTTGTTGTGCGGGTCACCCACTGGACATGTTGTCAGCTTTCAATCATTTTGCACGAGAGTTACGGGGACTACTCACTGAAAACAGCGGCCTTGACGGCATCGAGAGCCGCGCCGGTGAGGGTCGAGCCAGAGCCGCCGCAGAGGGCGTTGTCAACGATCTGGCCACCTGTAATTACCAATGTTAGTCTCTAACTTCGAGCGTGTTCAACAAGGGAAAAACACCATACCCTGCGAGTAACCAATCAACACAATCTTAGTATCCGGGCACTGCTGGTTCAGCGCCGTAACCGCCGACACCACAGCCGTCGTGCCCTGGCTAGCCGACTGGTCATAGCTGATACCGCCGCACTGCGATTGGCCGCCGCAGGCCGGGTAGTCGATGGCCTCGCTGGTCGCGCCAGGGTACGCCTGTTTGACCATGTTGACGAGGCCTTCCGAGGTGCCGTAGCCCGCGGGGGCGGTCGTCTCACGCGCGCCGAAGATGTGGATGTCGGCGCAGCTTTGGCGCGGCTCGACGGGCGAGGCGCTGGCCAGGCTGGCGAGGACGGGGACGGCGATGGTTGAGGCCTTCATGGTGATGGATGATGGTGATGATGGGCTGGTGTCTTGATGATGGGTTGGTGATGTTGTGATTTTTCGAACTTCAAACTTCATCAGATTCCCGACGGCTCTTATACATCTTATGACCCTATAGCTTCCACTAACCCAGCCGCTCCATGGCCCGGGTTCGGGCGTACGGGTGGTTCCAAAAGGGAAGAACGGAGACGGGCCCGGGCGGAGGGGCAATTGCCGAATACCACTCCCCGGCCGAGCGCCGACCCTTCATGGCCATTCAACCCATCGCGGTGATACGTCGCCTTGCCCTGGGCCCTGGCTATACCCCCCTTGGGCCCATTACGTGCCGCATGATGTGGACACAGCGTCAGGGGGGAAGGTCAAGGGTTTCTTGTCCCCGGACGAACCAGACTTGGCGACCGTTCGGGACTCAACACCACGTTTCGGACATCTCGAGAGGGTGATGTGCTGTGACGGTAAAGTGTAACATAAAACTTTCCGAAGAGGGCTGGAGTCGGAAATGATCAACACATGACAACACCCCGTCAGAGGCCCCACAACCCTAAAACAGCACGGAGAAAAGGTCCAACGTGGGGTAATACGGATGCGTACGATACAGGCAACTCTCTTGCCTCTCCTCTTCAACTCTTCTTGAGGTGCTGCGAGCAAACAGTCGGTATATTTCCGTAAAGCCCTTTCGCCGACGAGGTCGGAATCCCGGGGCCCTGGCGATCAAGGTCTGGGGAGGACACCAATCAAGAACCTTGTTTCACTTATGTCGAAGCTTGGCAGACCCTATCCGTACTACACATGAGCCGGCCGGGATATATTCCAACACTCAGCAGGTTGCTTCCCTTCTACTCGAGATCCGACTGGACCAAAAGTCAGGTGGGTGCGGGTGAAATCCCGAGTGGACGTCACGCCTGGCGATGATCGACATCTCAGCCTACCATCCATCCGGGGTACATGGTTTTGGCTAAATGCTTTGCCCATGGGGAAAGCAAGGTGTATTCATGCTAAACCAAGCATCAATCTATGGACAGTGGACACAGCAACACGCAGGACTCAGCGCTGAGATGGGCTGGTTTCTTGGCCTTTTCGTTAATGCGTGGGTTGTTATGAGGGCTTGGCCTTGGTTGTGTCGAGAGTTGGGAGAGTGGGGCTTATTGTGGAAGAATCGAAGCTCACAATCCCAGGTTTGATGCAAGGAAGAAACCAGGACCCCGTCTCAACTCTCGGAAATCTAAAAAAGGAAACGCCGTGTTCGTCGATCTGATCTCCTTCAAGGTTCGACTTCAAAAATCGCCCGAGCCTTAGTAAGGGATCTACCCTGTCTTGCTCGTCAAGAACAATCTGGTAATATATTGTGAACGCATGCAGCAATCAGAGGATCCGGGTTATGAGGGACGAAGGGGTTGCAACTTTCACGCATCCGATGGCAACAGAGACACCAACAGAGCCGGGCATCAAGTCAATTCCGGCTGTCCGAATGGCACGCACTGCCATGTGGCCGCGGCCTGCAAAATGAAATACCCCCTGCCCTCCTTTCCATCATCCCCTGATTCCCCTCATTCAAGTCGCCGCCGACATTCATCCACAACATCCAGCTCGAACATATTCCCTTTCTCAACCCCTTAACGAACCATTCCCCCTCAAAACACAGCCCTAGACTTCCCTCCTTTCCCCCGGATGATACCCCAATCTTGCCTCCGACTCCGAGAGAGCACCTTCAAGGACCCCCGGTGTTCATCCATAACACCGTTCATACCGTCATACCTTAGCAGGTCCGCCAGTTCGTGGTGAAAATGACGTGCAGGCTTCCGTCGAAGGCGTCCACCTAAATGCGTGGCCGCGATTGACCCTCACATTAGCCCATACGTTTAACCCTTGACTTTGGAAAAAGGTTTTGAAACATGACCTGATCCCCTTGTATCCAACTTTTGTAGTGACCGAAACTCCTTTGCCCAGGCCCGTCTAGGCGCCTTTTTTAAACCCGATACAAAGAATAAACAACGTGATGATAATAAAAGAATGACAAGGAAGTGAACAATAATGGGGTGGGAAGAAACAAAAGTATCACGAAATGTCAAGCTCGCTCGCTCGCTAAGAAGAAGAACCAGGAAGAGAAGAATCAAAGCAAAACTAGCAACGCCGCCAAACCAACGTCACCTTATAGGGGTTTCTCACCGTCATGGTGCCCCGGTAAGGGGTCGAGATGGGCGTAATCCGGATCTCCGAGTTAACATTAAGAATCGCCGTCGTGCCGCCGCAGCGCGAGTACGACTCGATCCCGACGCCTGCAATCATGTTGTAGTTGTCCTCATAGGGAGCCGCGATGTTCTTCTGGAAGACGACTTCCTGAGTGCTGTCGCCCGAGAAGGTGTACCCGGCGCGGCAGGTCCCGGTTTGCCCTTCGGAGAGACTGGCGTAGCCTGTGAAGCGGGTTTCAATGACGGAGAATCTGTCACGCTGGGTTAGTACTTGCTCCTTTCAAGAGATCTTCTCTCCCCTCCGTCTCTTTTTTCGATGGGACAACGGTAACTCAGGGATGGGTTAGACGTACTGGTATCCCGAAGGGAACTGCAAATTGATCGAAATCCGGCAGTTCTTGCGGCTATCCGAGACACTGCTGCCAGGGCCGGCGCTGACGATGTACTCGTCAAAGGCAACGTCAAAGATGGTGCCGGTAGCATCGACATTCACAAAGGCGTGGCCGGCCGGGCAGCCGGAGCCGATGGCCGTCACGTTGAGGATCTTGATGTCTCCCGGGGCCGGGGCCACAAAGCCGAGGGTGTCCCGCGGAGAGGGGATCACCACTGCGCTGGCGGCGCCGATGAAGAGGAGACTGCGGAGGAGGTTCATGGTGAGAGTTTGGGTTGGTCAACGATGGGGGATGATGGGGTTTCTGGTGGGGTTGTTAAGATGGGTTCTTATTCCTGTGGATGTGAGGGCTGTCAGGGTGTGCTCCTACAGCTCCCTTTATAGCCATCATAGCTCGCCATCGTGGAGGAAAAACAAGTAAGTCCATCCTACATCTTGCTCGTTCTCAGCTCAGGAAGCTCTAACCCGACTCACGATCTAGGCCCTACCGACTCCTAACCAAGACCATCTTCATGCCGCCTCACGTTCCATCTGAACAGAAGTGTGCAAGACACCAACCCCAAAGTTGCTCTTTTGTCGTCGCCAGCATCCAATTACACCCATTGCTGCCAACCCCGCGCATTGTGGCGCTGGACGGGGCATCTCCGACTTCCATCACCGTCCTAGCGCTGCAAGTATCACCGAGTGGTGTGTCTCAAGGAGTCAAGATAAGGTTGCCTGGCGAGGAGGATGAAAATCTAATTCGACCTTACTGCTGCTATTCTTAGCTTTCCTTGTCTGTCAACAGATTTCGTTCCCCGGTTCTCCCCATGTCTATTTTTGTGGTCAATCTAGATGTAAAGAGACCCTTCATTTGAACTATGAGGCCATCATCGCATGAACCGGGTTCCCGGCGTCCAGTGACGCGCTTCTACGACTTCATGTGATCGAAATATGTCGTCGATTAGGGTTGACTGACACCCCTCCATGCAGGGCAATTTAAATAGAAGATGGAAAGAAGGTGTAGTTTCCGAGCGTTTGGCCGGCCGTCTTGCGAAGATAGCGTCTGGCATCTTCTAATTCAAGAAACCAAAATGCAACGGTCATTTACAACTCGCTGTTGACATGAAGTTTTGGAGCAGTTCTGAAGTCTGACCTTCTTAACGCAGTTAGCGTTTTTCTCAGCATCGTGAAGCGGCCGGCACCCGCGGGCACGGCAAGAGAAAATGCACCTTCCACTCAAGCAGACGAAAGCACAGAAAACATTTATTGACCCAACAACACAACGCCACCATGCAGTTGTAAATTGCTTCGTAGATTGCGGGGGGTTGTCTAACCCGGAATCTCAAAGTGCCAAGAATCGCAGGCGGGAGAGCATCCAAGTCTAGACCAGATCCTACCGGTGACATGGTCTTGAATCAATTGCTGATCACGGGGCTGCGAAGGGTAGGGAAGGTTAGGATCCTTTGCGCACGGTTTTGTGGTTGCTATATCTCAGATATCACAGTCATTCAAAACAGGTTGATTTGAACCTCGACACTTGGACATTGGTGTACACCCCCCCTCAGGATCAAAACACGGGAAATACCAAGCCCGGGCTGACACGAGCCAAATGAATGGCGTTGAGGGGAAACGCATCGCGATATTACTGTCGGGCGAGGAAGTTCATATAGAATAAAGTGATTGATGGCTTGGCAAAGCGCCGATTTGCTGCAAACCCACGAATGGGCAGACTGGGCTGGGCCGTAAGCGATGTTGGGCCGGCTTGGGAATTAGTAACAAATCCGAACACTTGACACCGAGTGTTCGGGATTCCTCTTGTGGGTTGGGTTTTCAATGGCGCGGGTCTAGATTATGCTCGGGTAGTAGAAGATGTAGGGGGCTGAACGTGGACAACAACAAACAGTCAAACACGGCAGGTAGGAGTAGCAGACACGGGACATTTTACACTAGTAAACGTCGTACCGACGTACCCACCTCCCTAAGTCGGTCACTATGACATGTGTGAAATGGGTAGGAGAAACGTGAATTCACACCTTCCTTGTCACAGATACTTGAGAGATCAGATCTTGACATTCACCGCAGTAGGCCAAACTAATCCCCTCTCTCCTTTTCCCGTACCGACAAAAGATATTCCGCAACCTCCGTAAACTCAGTCCCAAACTGCAATACCTCCCTCCACCGCAACGGGATCGCATCTACACCATCACGCGCCCCCAACATCCCCCCAGCAATAGCCCCATTGGTATCCGTATCCCCGCCAAACCGCACCACATCCACTAGCACCTCCTCCAGCGACCGCGGGTCAAACAGCGCGGCCACCGCCAAAACCAACGACTCCAAAACATACCCCGTTGCCCCAAACGGTATCGCCTTGGTCGCATTCGTCGCCTTCTTCGGCCCCTTCTCAGCCAGGTCCTGCACACGCACCATATACCTCCCCGCATCAAGCGCCTCGTCTACTTTGCGTCCTGCACTTTCCACCATCGCCTGCCTTGCAACAGGACCAGGACCCTTCCCTTGCCCCCCTTTCCCTCCTACTCCTCCTCCTCTCTGTAGAATGAAAGCAACAACCTCCTCAACAGCCCCCTTCCCCGCCCGCCAAGCCCCCTCCACCGCGGCCGTCCCCCTCTCTTCGTGAACCAACACCCCCACCATAACATTATACACAGCACACGCCACCACACAACACAAATCATCGTGCGTAACCCCCGATATCTCCACCGATTCCCTGATGAGTTTCGCTCTATCCCTCTGGAACAGCGCAGTAGGAATACACCGCATCAGACTCCCATTTCCTGCACTGCCCTGCCCTGCACCAGAGGAGCGTGGATCACCGGTGCGTTGGAACCGGGTTAGACCCGTGGCTGTGGCCCCACCGACGTCGACGGGTCGTTCGTTGGGGTTGCGGTCGGGCCAGTTGTGGCCTATGTACCAGGATAGCATATGTACAGCTGCGAGCAGTGTTATGTCTGGAGTCGCTTCTTCACCCTGCTTAGACGAGTCGGAGGTGCTGCTGGTTGATGGTGAATTGGATTGGGAGTGCTTAGCGACATCACGGTAAGCGAGCAGAACAGCACGAGTGAGATCAGTATCGTCTGTGGCGTGGCCGGCGGGCCAGTTGAAGGGTCCGCCGCCGACGATGTCGCGCACGCCTGTGGGGTAGTCGGTGCGGATGTCTTCCCAGGAGGCGAACTCGACTGTTGCGCCGAGGGAGTCGCCTGCGTGCACGCCGAGGAGGGCGCCGAGGATGCGGTCGCGGCGGGTGGGGGTGGACATGGTGATACGTTTGGGGGTTTGTTTAGGTTAGGTATTGGAAAGCAATGAATTGCGGGAAGTGTGAGGTTGTCAAGTACTCAAGGCAGCAATCAATCAGCCACAGCACTGTAAGCTAACCACTAATTGACAAGAACGAACGGGTTAGGGTTGGTTATGTACGCAGCACTCGCACTGCATCACCGAGTGCGAGCACCGGTTGACTGAGAAGCTGCTGACCGTGTGATTTCTGTCTAAATAATTCATGCCATATCTATTTTGTCGCTGTAACATTGATCATCACACCAGCCCCTCTTTCGTCTAACATCGTACCGCATGACACTATCCTGCAAGCTCATTTTGCTCCTCAGCCTCCGTGAGCTTCAACGCCTCATGAACATCATCAACAAAGTGCTGCTCTCCGCCCGCCAAACTAATAATCCCGCTGCTTCGCAACAACTGCCCAACCTTGGAGTCGTGCGCAGGGCCGCGACTGAAAAAGATACGGACGCCCCGCTGGCGGTAATCCCGCACAATCTCCTCCAACACCTGCGCCCCGCTGCCATCGAGCGACGTCACGCCATGGATGTCAAAGATGATGTTGCGGTTCCAATTCTCTCTCGTCAGACGCGGCAGCGCCGGATGCGCCATGCTAGACCCATACAGCTCCATGCGTCGGAGCCGGGTCTTGAGCTCGCCCGTGTTGGCAAAAGTCAACGGCTCGGGGATCTTGACGATCAGGCAGCCTTCGATGAACTCGAGACGGTCCAGGTTGGCCTCGGCGTTTTCGAACCGGTTCGTGCCGGGGATGCGGCCGAGAATTTGGATGCGTGGGCGGGTGGCGTGACGGATGACTTGTAGGAGGGAGAGACCGACTCCGATCGCCATGCCGAAGGACAAGGAGAAGAAGATGGTGGATATTACGATTATGGCCATGAGCGCGAGCTCTTGCCAGGCGCGGATCTTGAGGAAGAAGGACACGTCGTGGGGGCATTCTTCGATTAGTGACCAGCCCACAACGCTGATCAGAGAACAGAGGACGGGTTTCTGGAGTATCCAATTAGCCCTGACACAAGAATCACAGAAAATGGGGGACAAACCGGAAGATAGTAGAGGTACGGCAACAGAAAGAAGATGCAGAGCAACGTGAGCAAACTCAGAATGATAGACGCCACAGGGGTCCGTCCACCAGTCGACTTATTGACTTTGCTCCTGCCATACCCACCAAATGAAGGCAACCCGGAAAAGCAGGCACCGACAAGATTGGCGGCTCCCAGAGCAACGAGTTCCCGGTTGGGGCTAAGTTGGATCCCGGCGAAGCCATCACTGCCGAGACTTTTGGCTGCAACAGAAGACTCGAAGAATCCCAGGAGCGCAATCAAGAATGACGTGCTCATCGCGTCGCGCATGTAGACGAGGTTCCCGGGGTGCAGCGGCCAGCGGAACGTGAACAGGCGGCCACTTGCTGCCTCCACCTTCCCAAGAACTGCCACACCGGCTTTATCCCATTCGTACTGGTAGGCCAAAAAGGCGGACAGAACAACGACGAGGAAACGGTCCGGGATATAAGCGACGCCGGGATACCGCGGCTGCAGCCGACGCTTGACCTCGCGGCAGACCATGATGATCACAAAACTCGTGGCCGCGATCGCAAACGTCAGCTTGTGGGTTTGGTCAAGGTTACGGAAAATGAAGGCGATCTTGTCGACGCTGCTGGCATGGCCGATATGGGCCTCTTCAGCCAATCGGTTCAGTCCAAGCTCTGGGATGAGTTGGTCGACGGCGACAACAACTCCGATCGCACTGATGAAACCACGCAGAAACGGGCGCGAAAGCACACTGTCCATAAACCCCAACCGGCCGATGCCAGCAATCAACACCATCGCGCCCGACATGCCCGCGATGATACCGCAAAGCTTAGCATGGAGCTCTATATCATCGTCACCATCCGGCCGGCGATCCACAATCGTTTTAATGACGGTTCCGACGAGGAGCGAGCCGGCCGCCTCAGGCCCGACGACCATCGCGGGGCAACTTCCCAGCAGGGCGTAAATGAGCGGGTTGAAGACGAATGCGTACAGGCCGTTGATCGGCGGCACGTGTGCCAGGTTGTCGGCCAGCGACAGGACCATCGGCACGTACATCCCGGCTACTGTGAGAGCTCCGATGAAATCGCCCTTGAAGTAGGACCAGCTGTACTCTTTCGCCCAGACCATGACGGGTAGATAATACGACAGGTACCTGAAACAGATATGGTTAGTAAACAAGTCCCTCTTCGTGGAACGATGGGATCGGTTCGCCCGGTATAGACTCACATCAGCGCAGAATCCTTCACACCATGTTGTTCAGCCAACGCACTCGACGTAGCCATCGTCTTGCTCTTCATCTTAGAAGTCCATTTCCGCTTCCAATCCGACCTCTTCGTAACTCCAGAACGCACCCCATCCACACTAGACACTTCCGACTCCGACTCCGAGGGACTATTCAAATCACCACCGGGAATACTCCCCGTGGGACTCGTCGGGCGGGGTGAAAACGTGCCATGATTGCAGGGTCCCTCGTGGGGCAGTTCCCGCAACCCTTCCAGCGCGCGTCCGAGCAACGATGTGGTTTCCGTCGCGCGGTGTGTGCTGGGGCCCGCGCCCGCGCCATGGTGGTGGTGGTGCGCGGCAGCCGCAGCAGAATCGTGGGCTGTGGAAGTGGACGCTGCGGCGCTAGGCCCTTCCTCGACGGAGCTGGACGAGGATGCGGTGTAGGTTTGGCGAAGACCGCTGGGGTGAGAAGGAGCGTGGTCCTGCTGTGTGGGGCGGGGAGAGGTAGGCTGCGGTGCCATGGTGCTCGGCTGAGGATTGGTGTCGATGGAAGATCACCTCACGGGTTGAGGAGCGGAAGGCATCGATGACGGTTGGGGATTTGCGTTGGGGGCACTTAGAGGGGTTGGTTGGAGTTGTCGAAGTCAAGTAGTGTGTCGGCTGAACGTAGAGTAATCGGTATTGAGGATTAAGTTGTGAGGTTCAAGCGCACAATTGTAAGCGCCTTTGTCCGTTTACACTCCAATCCATTTGGTGTTAAGTCTTTTGTGATGAAGAAAATAACAAGCATCGGCAAGTCGGCGAGTCGGCGTCATCCAGCGGCGGGACGAGGGTGTTGGGGCGGGACTCCCCGAAGCGTGAACTAACTTAAACAGGCCTTCGAGACAGGGGTCAACTTCATGGAACCGTCCAGCCGGCCGCCCCGCAAAACACGTGATTAATCACAAGCTAGGCCAATCACACAAGTTTCGGATGCATAATGAACTCCTAATGCCAAGGTCATGACGGTCTCGACTTTCATGTCTCGGCTTGGCTTCGAAATCCTCTAGGAACTCTCCACTAGATGATGGGAAATGGCGGCGAAACTGATTTCGGGGACACAGGGTTGTTTCAAACTGTTATCGTCACCTATACGATTCGGTGTTTGAGGCACGTGGTTGATGGCCATACAATGTTCCATGTGGTAGGTCACCATGATCAATGTCAAAGGCCTGCATCCCACGGTTTGGTGGTCTATGGGTTCGCTTGTCCATAATGGGTACCTACGATGGGTTTGCCATCTCCATGATATCAATTTCCTCAAACGCCCTAGCCGGTCCTCCTCAATAAAACACCTCGCTGATTTCCTCCCCCTCGTCCGGCGTCACGGCCAATTCAAGAAGCTCATGGGCGAGTTCCACCGTATCTACATCAATGCCAGCCTCCAATACCAGATCCTCCTCCGCAAAGTTGAGCCTCGCCAAGGTGAGGAAGTAACGCTGAGATCCGCCGTACGACGCCGCCAGCTTTGCAGACGTGTTGGCCACGTCCGCGGTTTCGGGACTGGTGACAATCAGGTGCAGTAACCAGGTCGCCTGTGACACGAGGCGGGCGAGAAGGCTCGAGGTATCGGATACAACATCCAGGTTTGAGTCGGCCGTAGCCGGCGGATCGCTTGCCATGTCTTGTGTCTTTGGTCCCTTCTGTGCCATCGTCTCCGGGTTGTCTATATCCATCTTGTCTCCCAGCCCGGGAGCATCCATGTTATCAACCCTTTTCGCAGTCAAAGGCGAGTCGGCGTCATACAAACGGTCCACTGCCCAGCACAATACAGTGACAAGCCGTGGGATGGCAACGTCGCTCATCGCGATTTGTAATAGGCCGAACTGGCTGGTCGCGAATGCCGTCAGAGTTCCAAGAGCGGCGGACCGAGCCGCGATATCCTTGACAAGCCCACTGGTGGCCCATAGTGGGGGCTCGTAAAGAAACGTCGAAACGCAGTCCAGCAGGGTGGCGGTCGAAGAACCTATTCTAGGGTCTCGTCTGTCAGCCCCCGAGCCGGCGGGCGATGAAACAGCTGGTCCAATACTGCTCCGGGAAACCGACGTCCTCAGCAGGGTCATCATTGCCATCCAATCTGTTTCCGGTTGTTTAGGAGAGAGCATTGTCAAAATAAAATCTAGCTCCATGGCTCGCCAAAAGTCTCCCTGCGGGTCAGAGATTCCAAACTCGGCTGATTCTGCCTCATGCCGAGGCTGTGGAAGGCAAGCCAAAGCCGCAAGGTAGAGAAGCGAGAGGCACTGGGCGACGTTAATACTGAGACACAGCTGGCGTACAGTGACGTCAGGGTGGTCGGATATATTCCCGTCGGCGGTGTTCAGGCGTGGGAGCACAACAAGCCGGCAGGTCGTTGCACACACCGGTACCAGTGACGCGATAAGATGAGGAACAACTTCAACTGCATGTAGGCTCAAGGTGTGTAGGAGCAGGGAAATAAGATCTGATATGGGCGCGTGATACCTCTCAGAAAGACAACGATGCCACATTTCGATGACGGTATCGGCGAACTCGACCAGGAGACTCAATGGTTCCCCAATGTTTCCCATCTGTGGCAGCTTCTGAAGGAGCATAGATGCCAGTGAGTGTTGTCTATCCGATGGGAAGTGATAATGTGAGAGAAGCTCGAACGTCGGTGATTGACCATGGGTGGTGGTTTGGTCTAGTAATAGCCTTAGAAACTACTGGCGCATTAGTATACCATGGGTCAAGGTAAGCAACGAACATCAACCGGGATCTTACATCGAAAGGGTGTTGTTTCGCGACCAAGGGCGGGGGAACACGCACAGCGGACGATACATGGCCGCCGTCAACGCCAGCGTCGTCTCCATCGATCTCCAACGTGAAGGTAGGGCTGCTAACGGCAGGGCGCTTCCGTTTCCCTTTCGTGGGTGTTCGCTCGAACACGGGAGCAGCAGGTGAACCGGGATCTTTCCGCTTGAAAAGCTGTGACTTCGTCGGACTGGAAAGAACCTCCGCGCCATCAAATCCATCGCCCATCCCCCATTTCCGATCCTTTCTTGGAGTCGCAGGAGCATCTTTCCGTCTCGACTTCACTCGTCCGAGTTCCTCTCTAAGGTCCTGGCGGGCGAATTGGAGTTCGGTAGCGGTGGTGCGCTCTGCCGTCCGCGCCTGATCCGCGATGCGCTCATGCTTAGCCAATTGCTCAGCGTTCTCCTTTTTGAGGCGCGCGACATCAGCCTCATGGGTAGCGAGGGCCTTGTCGTACTTGGATCGTAAAATGGACGCTTCGCCTTTGGCAGCCGTCAAGTCGGACTCGAGCAAGGATAACTGCGCCCGAAGCGTTGCCACAATTCCATCTTGGTTCGCTGTACCGTCCGGGCCGCGCGGCTGCGGGAGGGCCGTATAAGGGTGGACCGGGGGAGCGGGGCGAGCAAACTGGGACGGTTGGGGAGGTTGTTTCGGCTGGTGATGTGAAGGTAGCGAATACTGCTGTGATGGCCGTGGAGGATACCGTTGAGAGGCAACCGACTGGGGAGGCACCCGGTGCTGCGCTGGCGGATATTGCGGGCGCGCGGGAACGCTCGGCCGCGACGGCGGAAGATGTTGATTCCACCGTTGTGTGTTGTCACCGTGTCGGGCGGTGCCATAGCGGGGTTGTTGATTTGGCAGTGCTTGTGGTAGCGGAGGCCGGGGCGGGGGTTGGGCGAGCTCGTCAATTACGACGGTATCGTCAAGGTCATCATCATCGAATTCGTAGTCAAAGGCATCCTCCTGTTGTGGTCTTGGTGCGGCTTGCGACTGGGCGAGTACTTGGGCTTGGGTAAACTGAATCGCGTTGTTCTCGAGCTGTTGCAGCACCGAGTCGTTCAGGTCGTCGAATCCGGCGTCGGAAAACTCATCATCCATAGCCGCAGATTTTTGCGTCCGGTACTGGGTGCGCCCATGCCGTGGGAGACCTGCTGGCTCGGCAGGTGTAGTTGGAATTGTTGAAAAATGCAAATCGGACGAGGGGCAACCAAAAGTCACTGCTCAATCCCATCTTTGACGCGTTCGCGACCGACAGGGCGAAAGTGGGGCACGGTTCCATTAGCGCGAGCTTGGCATCGGACACATGGCAGCGACGCAACAGATGCCTGATGTAAGACCAAAGTAATTGATACGGTAAACGGTATTATTTGTATGGTACCGCGGACAAAAAGAAGACTGAATTGGCAAGCCGGACTCTCGGTGACTTTACAGTCCCGATCCGTGTAACAACTCCCAACATGTGATTTGCGACCACTGCCCCACCTCTGGGCCATGGTTTTGTCCGTTGTTTCAACAAAAAAAGCTCTCCGGAACCCCGTCATTGGTAAAGGTTCTTGTTGGCAGCGATTTGCTGGCGTCAAGGCTCAAGATTCAGCCCCACCCCCTGCCCTGGCTGGGACAGGATTGACGTAGGACCCGGAAGCTCGAAATTTCGGACACCCATCTGCTTCTCCTTTGCAGCCGATCCATCAGACTTGCACACTTTCCAGTTTTATCATTCTCGACGGCCGCAGCATTCCGGCGCAGCATCTTACGGCAGTCGCGCGCTCGATACGCCCGCGAATAACATAGCCCCCGTTCGATTGGCCCTGTGCCAGCGACTCGCTGCAGCTCCAACTCCCATAACGTTAACGCCTCCGACTGAGCCGAGCCTAAGGTTCAAGTTGAGCTGACGCCACCACCTGCGATCGCATCCGATTTCCCCTTCGTTCCCGTCCGTCCCCTTCGACTTCACCTCCACGACAGCACTTGCTGTGATCGAATTATCCTACATCAAACGAAACACGTACTCTTTTCGCTATGACGGGCAGATCACGCCGGGGGGTTAAGTTCCCCCATAACAAAAACAACGGCCATTCCGAGGGTGGTCGCCGCCCAAGCTTCAGCGAGGCCAGTGAGGATGGGTCGCCAGTCAAAGGAAGGGCCGCCGCAGCCCTCGAGAACATCGACGAGGTATGCCAGCTTCGCATGTCGCCCGCTTTCCGCGGGTCATGATGCCCGGGCTGGATTCGGCTAACCACAGCGAACCTAGAAACCCCCAACCCCTGAACAGCAGCAGGCCGAGTACGAGAAGAAGAAAGCCAATTTCATTACACGGACATTCTGGACCTTTGTCATGATCGGTGGCTTCTTTGCTGCCCTATTCATGGGCCATGTCTACATCCTAGTCATCATCACGGCCATCCAGATTGTCTCGTTCAAGGAGGTTATTGCCATTGCTAGCGTGCCGAGTCGCGCGAGGGATCTTCAGTCCACTAAGAGCCTGAACTGGTACTGGCTCGCCACGACCATGTACTTTTTGTACGGCGAGAGCGTGGTATACTACCTCAAACACATCGTGCTGGTCGACAAAGTGCTGCTGCCCCTCGCGACGCATCACCGGTTCATCAGCTTTATTCTCTACGTCTTCGGTATGTTTACTGCTCCCTCCAGTCCGCATGGCTTGTTCCCGCTCGCGGCCTCAAACGCAGACCCGGATGCTGACACAACAATGGTCTAGGCTTCGTTTTCTTTGTCGGCTCCCTCAAGACTGGCCACCTGAAGTTCCAGTTCTCCCAGTTCGCGTGGACCCACATGGCGCTGTTTCTCATCGTCGTGCAGGCTCACTTCATCATGAACAACGTCCTTGAGGGCATGATTTGGTTCTTCCTCCCGGCCGCCCTCGTCATCACCAACGACATCTTTGCCTACATCTGTGGAATTACGTTCGGCCGCACGCAGCTCATCAAGCTGTCCCCCAAGAAGACGGTCGAAGGCTTTGTTGGGGCTTGGATCATGACAGTTCTCTTCGGGATCTTCCTCACCAACATTCTCCTACGATCCAAGTACTTTATCTGCCCAGCAACAGATCTCGGGGCCAACATCTTTACCGGGCTGGACTGCGACCCGAACCCGATCTTCATTCCCCGCACTTACTCCACGCCCCACCTCTTTTTCCTGCCACCTGGGTACACTCTCAGCATCACCACCTCCCCCATGCAGATTCACACCTTCTTCTGGGCCAGCTTCGCCTCCCTGATTGCGCCCTTTGGCGGTTTCTTCGCGTCCGGGCTCAAGCGTACCTTCAAGATTAAGGATTTCGGCGACTCGATTCCTGGACACGGCGGCATGACAGACCGCATGGATTGCCAGTTCATCATGGGCCTGTTCGCCTTCATCTACTACCACACCTTCATCGCCTTCAAGCGCTCGTCCGTGACACATGTTTTGGAGCTGGCCATTATGGAGCTGACGACGGATGAGCAAGTTGAGGTTATCAAGGGGGTGTTGAAGTACCTCACTAACCAAGGCGTCGTAAAAGACGAGGTACGTAATTATCTCGTTTCCCCCACAGCAAAGCGAACGCGTCCTTCTAACGTATGTAACAGACGCCTGCGTCCTTTGAAAAGCTGCTGTCAGCCAGTCTCCAAATATGATCCGGGTATTAAACGCTCGCTAGGTTGCGGGTCGTAAGGGGTGGATGGTGCATTTCCCCGGCGTTCGGTTTTACTCAGCGGACTTGTTAGGATCCTGCTCGTTAGCTGTGCTACGAGACGCTTTTTCGCGTCCTTGATACCAAGGCCTTGATCGCTGGGTAGCAAAATGTAGCACTAATTGGTCATGGTTGAACCATAATTCTTTTCATTTCAACTGATTCCCTCGTCGTAGTCTTCAACTATTACTCCAAGGAGCAAAATGTTACGCTAAACGTGGTAATGTTTTCCATGATGCGAGTCCATCTAAGCAACCAAAATATATACATGTCCTAAAACTCCCTTCGTCATACACATCCCCTCTAGCACCCTCATTGCTCATTCACAAACAACCCCGCCATACCCATTCCCGTACCAACGCACATGCTCGTCAATAGAAGCTTCTTCCCCGTCCGCCGGCACTCGCTCAAACCTGTGACAATCTGCCTCGCACCAGTGGCGCCCAGGGGGTGGCCCAACGCAATAGCGCCGCCACGGGGGTTCATCTTGGCCCAGTCCAACCCGAGCGTGTCGCGGCAGTAGACGGCCATGCTGGCAAAGGCCTCGTTGACCTCGATGACGTCGATGTCGGCCAACGAAATGTTGTGCTGGGCGAGCAGCTTCGGGATGGCAAGGGTCGGGCCGATGCCCATGATGCGCGGGGCGAGGCCCGCTGTCGTCGAGCCGACGTACTTGGCGAGGATGGGCTGGCCTAGCTTGATGGCTGTTGACCGCTTCATCAACAGAACAGCGGCGGCTAGAAGGATCTTACGTTAGTATCTAGATATTCCGGCTTTCTCGATCATGGCAACTCACCTCCGTCAGTGACCTGGCTGGCGTTGCCACCGGTCGTGGTTGGCCCCCATTGCGGGAACGCAGCCCGGATCTTGCCCAGGCCCTCGGCGGTGGTGCCGGGCCGGATGCCCTCGTCCTTGGTGAGCGTGACCTCCTTCCACGTCTTGTCGGGGTTCTCAATGCTCGTCTTGATCGGTACAATCTCGTCGTCGAACAACCCGTCCTTTTGCGCCTGCTCAGCGCGCCGGAAGCTCTCGGCCGCATACTTGTCCATCTCTTCGCGCGTGATGTTGAAGTCGCGGCTGACATTTTCGCTGGTCCAGCCCATCGGCTGCATGCAGTCGGCCGACTCTTGCGACTGGCTGGTCACCTTCTCGTCGAATGGTTTCTCCAGCGCGTCTCCTCCAATCGTCATCTGCTCGGCGCCCATCGCGATGCCGATCTCGATCGACCCGCTGCTGATGGCGTGGGAAATGTCGGCGACTGCCTTGAGGCCGGACGAACAGAAACGGTTGAGGCTGGAGCAGCTCGCGGTGTTGGGGAAGCCGGCGGCGAGGGCGGCAGCGCGGAGTTTGTAGGCAGCTTTGCTATCCGAGACCTGTTTGTTTTCACAATACCACATCAGCATCAGCCGTTCGCTTGAACAAGTGGGAGTTGTAAGGGACCGGCATTCGCACATTCCCGAGGCAGATATCTTCGACGAGACCCGGTTCCAGCTTGCTGCGCTCGCGGACCTCTTTGAGCAGCGCATAAGTCATGTACTCGAGGCTCGTGTCCTTGAATCCGCCCTTCCTCGCCTTTGCCAGGGGCGTGCGGATGGCGAGGGTGATGACGATATCATCCTGGTTTTTGGAGGTTCTGCCGCGAAACTCAACGGTTAGACATGGCCCCCTTAGCGTCGAACGAGACGATCACCGCTTACATCTGGGAGAGCGAGCTACCTGGGGACAGGTGCTTGAGGATCGAGCCGAGACGTTCCACCGCCATTGTAGGGTGTAATGTGGTTTACGAGGATTCGAGATGGGCAGGGATGGTGGTGCTACGAGGGTATGACGGAAAACACAAGGAATTGGCAAGTGAAGGGACGAAGCACAAATATATCCAGATGCGAGGCGCCGCCGGAATTGGCGAGAGGAAATGTCCGGTCGAGGTCTCATGGTGCAGGAACTGTGGGGCTCGGCTTGCCGAGGCAACCTTCGGGTTCTGCTTGATTTGTCGCGGCCCCGGCAATGGCCCAGGGGGTAAAATGACCCGGCACGCCCGGAGCTGCGGGGGAACTGGCCCTGCAACCCCGACCCCAGCCGTCAAATATGAGACCTCGCAGTTCGCGGGACGGCTCCACGATCGGCAGTTGTCGAAATACAATACTCCCAGCTCGGAGTTTTGAACCCCAAACCAACCAACAGTCTCAACATACATATCTGGTCTTCTCAACACGTGGGGAGGTCTTTTTCTTAGCAACTTGTTCGAGTTACTTCCTCTCACGATACAAAGTTGCAGTATGACGAATGATTTAAGCTTGTTGCTAAAGAATAGCTAGCAGCAGACAAATGGATATTCTCTACAAATTAATAACGAGTCTGATATGTAACCCGAGGATGTCTTCAACCCAGTCGGAAACTGTGCGTCTTTCCACACCGTGAACGTGAACACTGTGGCTATTGTTTTGAGGGATTCTGGGCATCTTGGGATAGGCAATCATTAATAGAAGATACGCGGCGGCAAAACCGCACGGTTCCATTTTCCCGAAGACTAATAATTACATTCTCGTTTGATCCAAAGTTGACAGCTCACAGAGTTTGGTAAAGCCACCTAACGATGTTGCAATCCGGTCTCAACAACCTATTATTTTCCCCAGCGCTTTGTCCAATAACCGTGAGAGCATTCCGGGGTATGTCATTTATTTCGGATATCTTAGCTGTCAACATATAAAGGCAACATGCTATTCTTCGATTATTCTTCGATAATTGTCATCCCCACCACCCAGGTACCAGCACATCAATCCAACGACCTTCTCTCAAAGGGGACGCCTCCGGATTTCCGGTTTCTAAGGGACCATATCAATCAACAATGACAAAGTACGTTTTCAAATTAACAAAACACCAACGATAAAAAAGCTCACTGCCCACTTCCTCCGGTGGGGTTTTATATACCCAACTTGATTCAATGTGAATGTGTATTTTGACAACGTGCGGCCATTCGAGCGGTTTTCTTCTTGGCCGTCTTTACATTCTTTTACTAGTTCCAGTATGTCCCGGTGATCTTAAGGGGTGTGGGTATCCGTCCCTCCGACACAAATCGAGAAGTTGTGATAATAAACTAGAAGATAATTATAAATTTATAATTAGGAGATCTTGGCCATAATTGTCTGGATCACTGACCTACCAATGTAATGGGGGACCGTGTCCACAGATTTGTGCTCGAAGAAAGATCGGCCCATGGAGTTCGTGCCAACCCGATATATCTGTTATGTTGATTCCGGTACGTCGATTGCCAGCTCGTTGCTGGGCGTGAACTGGGAATCTCGAAACTCGACCCCAAGAAGCCGATAAGCTGTATGTTTCTTACGTTGTAATTACCGTATTTTACATCGAGGTTCCCACACGTGGCAGCAACGCAGTCCCGATTCTAGGCAGGGCCGCGCTGTGGTGGCGCCAAGACCGTCAATTGGCAGCTGGCCCAAAAAATGACATCTGCAGCTGTGCGATTGCTCGTCATCCGTTTCTGGACATTTTCGATCCATCTCCCCCTTTTCTTTTGCTTTTCGGTTTTTCCTTCTCATCAACACTGGTTTGCATCGACCCGGGCCGGCTCAGTTTCACTTTCGATGAGGCCACGGTAGACACGCATTTCCTTGTCTTCTTTTCAAATCGACCGGCCATGGCGCGGCTCGTCGACAGCGCGCAGATCGAGGGCGCCGAGCTCCTGCGCCCGTTGCCCTTGTACCAACACGCCTACGTATGGCCTTTCGTCATCGTCTGGCCCGTATTCTTACGCTACTACCTGACCCCCGAACTTTACGAGAAGCATATTCAGGCGCCCGAGTGGACGTTTGTCTGGGTTGGAACCATCATCACTGTCCAGACGCTGGTCTGGCTCTGCACCCACTGGAGCGTCAACCTCAACGCCACGTTTACCGCGAAGAAGGCCCGGACTATCGAGGATGCCAAGCTGATCAAGGTGATCCCCGCCGCCAATGCGGGCTCGGCTGACATTTGCAAGCTCGTCCGCGATAACGTGAGTGCCCCTCGTTGCTTCCGAATCTTCCCAACTCTTCACCTAACTTGCTGACGAAATCCCTGCAGGTCGGTGGGAAGACAAACACTTCGTTCCTCTTCCAGAAGCGCCGGTTCCTCTACAACCCCGAGAACAAGACCTTTGGTACTCTCGCCTACGATATCGACGCCGAACCGCGCCCACTGCTTGAAAAGTTCCAAAAATCTCGTGGCATTGACCGCGCCGCCGACCTCGAGCGTCTCGAACAGCACTATGGCACCAATACGTTTGATATCCCCGTTCCCACGTTCACCGAGCTGTTCAAGGAACATGCCGTCGCGCCGTTTTTCGTTTTTCAAATTTTCTGCGTTGGCCTCTGGCTGCTGGACGAATACTGGTACTACTCGCTCTTCACTCTCTTCATGCTTGTCATGTTCGAGAGCACCGTCGTGTGGCAACGCCAGCGTACCTTGACCGAATTCCGGAGCATGAGCATCAAGCCGTACGATATCTACGTGTACCGTCTCGGAAAGTGGATCGAGATCCAAAGCGACAAGCTGCTGCCAGGCGACCTGGCGTCTGTTACCCGTACAAAGGAGGACGGCGGTGTGGCTTGCGATATGCTCCTGGTGGAGGGTACCGCGATTGTCAACGAAGCCATGCTGTCTGGAGAGAGCACACCGCTTTTGAAGGAGTCTATTCTGCTCCGACCGGGTGAGGCCCCCATCGATTCCGAAGGGTTGGACAAGAACTCGTTTCTTTGGGGTGGCACCAAGGTTTTGCAAATCACCCACGGTAGCGCTGAGGAAGATCGGCCCAAGCTTGCGTCTGGCGTCCCCCCTCCCCCGGATAACGGCGCTATGGCAATTGTGACCAAGACCGGTTTCGAGACGTCCCAGGGCAGCTTGGTCCGGACCATGATCTACTCGACGGAGCGTGTGTCGGCCAACAACGTCGAGGCGTTGCTCTTCATTCTCTTCCTCCTCATCTTCGCCCTCGCTGCGTCGTGGTACGTCTGGGATGAGGGCGTTCGCAAGGACCGCAAGCGCTCTAAGCTCCTGCTCGACTGCATCCTGATCGTCACGAGCGTCGTCCCCCCGGAACTGCCTATGGAACTCAGCTTGGCTGTCAACACCAGCTTGTCCGCCTTGGCCAAGTTTGCCATCTTCTGCACCGAACCTTTCCGGATTCCGTTTGCGGGCCGGATCGATGTGGCGTGTTTCGACAAGACTGGTACTCTCACTGGGGAGGACCTCGTGGTCGAGGGTATTGCTGGGCTTGGACTTGGTCACTCTGGCACAGACACCCCCCAGGAATCGGATGGCGCTCACAGCTACATGACTGCGGTCCACGATGCGGGTCTCGAGACGACACTGGTTCTTGCTTCCGCCCATGCTCTGGTCAAGCTCGATGAAGGTGATGTCGTGGGAGACCCCATGGAGAAAGCCACGCTTACTGCCCTGGGGTGGACCCTTGGGAAGAATGATACTCTCTCAAGCAAGCCGGGCGCTGCGGCTGCTGGTGGAGCTGCCGGCACTGTCCAGGTCAAGCGCCGCTTCCAGTTTTCGTCCGCCCTCAAGCGCCAGAGCTCTGTCGTTACTATCAACGCTACCGAGGCCAAGGCCGGGAAGAAGCTGCGGGGTACTTTTGTGGCCGTCAAAGGTGCGCCTGAGACGATCATGAAGATGCTGATCACCATCCCCAAGGACTACGAGGAAACGTACAAGTACTTTACGCGTCGCGGTTCGCGTGTTCTAGCTCTGGCGTACAAGCACCTGACTACCGAAGGCGAACTGGGCGCAAGCCGAATCAACGACCTGAAGCGAGAGAAGGTTGAAGCCGAGCTCCACTTTGCTGGCTTCCTCGTCCTCCAGTGCCCCCTCAAGGATGACGCCAAGCAAGCTGTCCAGATGCTCAACGAGAGCAGCCACCGCGTGGTCATGATCACTGGTGACAACCCGCTCACGGCTGTTCATGTTGCCAAGGAAGTGGAGATTGTGGACCGGGACGTTCTCATTCTTGATGCCCCCGAGCACAGCGAGCATGGCGAGGAATCTCTTGTTTGGCGTAGTGTCGACGACAAGGTTCAGATTGATGTTGATCCCACCAAGCCGATTGATCCCGAGATTCTGAAGACCAAGGACCTTTGCGTGACAGGATACGCTCTCAAGCAGTTCAAGGGCCAGGTTGGCTGGAAGTCTCTTCTCCGGTACACTTGGGTTTACGCTCGCGTCTCTCCCAAGCAGAAGGAAGACATCCTGTTGGGTCTCAAGGATATGGGCTACTACACCCTGATGGCCGGTGATGGAACCAACGATGTTGGCGCTCTCAAGCAAGCTCACATTGGTGTGGCTTTGCTCAACGGCACGCAGGAAGACCTAACTCGGATTGCCGAACACGCACGTAACACCAAGATGAAGGATCTCTACCAGAAGCAAGTTGACCTGATGAAGAGGTGGAACCAGCCCGCCCCCCCAGTCCCCGTTATGATTGCCCACCTGTACCCTCCTGGACCGTCCAACCCTCACTACGAGAAGGCAATGGAGCGTGAGGCCCAGAAGAAGGGTGTTACCGTCGAACAGCTCGCCAAGGCCAACGGCACCAACATCGAGACCGTCACTTCCCCCGCTGCCCAGCAGCTCCTTAAGGCCGACCCGCAAAAGGCCAAGCAAGCCGAGGCGTCGAAGAAGGCAGCTGGTCTTGCGGACAAGCTCACCCAGTCCATGATGGACGCCGAGATGGACGACGAACCCCCCTCGCTTAAACTCGGCGACGCCTCTGTCGCGGCCCCCTTCACGTCCAAGCTGCGCAACGTTATTGCCATCCCTAACATTATCCGTCAAGGCCGGTGCACGCTGGTCGCCACGATCCAGATGTACAAGATCCTTGCGCTCAACTGTCTGATCAGCGCGTACAGTCTTTCCGTGTTGTACTTGGAAGGCATCAAGTTCGGCGACGGACAGATCACCATCAGCGGGATGCTCATGAGCGTGTGCTTCCTGTCGATCTCTCGTGCCAAGTCGGTTGAGGGCCTGTCCAAGGAGCGGCCGCAGCCGAATATCTTCAATTTCTACATCATCGGCTCCATCCTTGGACAGTTTGCTGTTCATTGTGCCACGCTGATCTACATTGCCCGGTTCTGCGAAGAATTGGATCCGTATGTGACCCCCCTCCCTCCAATCCAAGTACGCTCATTTTTCCCGGGTTCCCTGACCAACAACCTCCCAGCCGCTCCGAAGCTCCTGACCTCGAGGCCGAGTTCAAGCCCTCCCTCCTCAACTCCGCCGTCTACCTCCTCCAACTAATCCAACAAATCTCCACCTTCGCCGTCAACTACCAAGGCCGTCCCTTCCGCGAATCCCTCTCTGAAAACAAGGGCATGTTCTACGGCATCGTCGGCGTAACCGGCATCGCCTTCGCCTGCTCAACCGAACTCATCCCCGAACTCAACGAGGCCATGAAACTGGTCCCCTTCACCGATACCTTCAAGACGACCATGACGATGGTGATGGTGTTGGATTATGTCGCGTGCTATGTCATTGAGGTCGTGCTCAAGTACCTGTTTAGTGATTTGAAGGCTAGGGATATTGCGGAGCGGAGGCCGGAGCAGTTGGAGAGGGAGCGGGCGCGGAAAGCGGTGGAGGCGAAGAAGAAGGAGGAGGAAGAGGAAGCGAAGCGGTTGGAGAAGGTGGCGGAGTTTGAGAGGAAGGTGAAGGAGAGGGAGGAGGCTATTCGTGCGCGGTTTGGGGGGCAGAGACCCGTCGCGGCGTAAGCTGAGGGGTTTGGTTATAATGTATAGAGATTACCATGGGGTAGAGTAGATGGGATTAGATGTGATGATATGTGTTGACTTTGGTCCGTCTTCTTTTGTGACTCTTGTACGGAAACGAAACCGCGTTTATGGTGATGTGGAATACAGGGGTGGCTAGGCCTGAGCTAAGGTACTGCCTCGGCCCTTTGCTGGACACATAATACATGACACATGATTAATCACAGGCGATGGGGATTCGAAATTTCAGTCATCAAGGGTACATGGGAAATTTCATTGCTAGTGTACATCACCAAGCATCCACCCCTTGCTTGCGCGCATCATAAGTTTTCCGTGTTGTTAGTTGCGGACTGGTAACGAAGACCACCACGCTATCCTTGAATAGGCTAGCTAATGAGTTTTGTCTTGGCTATCCGCGGGGGTCAACTTTTTCCGTTTGATGGCGGGGTAAAAATTTAGTTGCCCGGGTTCTCGGCGACAAAGGCCTTGCCCTTCTCAATGTTCTTCTTGAGGTCGGTGAAGCAAGCGTCGAGGAGCTTCTCCTCAGCGGCGTCGACCTTGCCGACGGGGAGGATCTTCTCAACACCGTTGGGGCCGAGCTCGACCTGGGAGCTGAAGAACTCGATGCCCTGGTCCTTGTAGAGCGGGCTGTCGACGAAGGTGGGCTCGATCACGCCCTTCTCGCCCTGCGAGGCGCGGAGGAGCGACTCGGCCATCCGGGCACCGGCCATGGCCATGGACAGGGTGGCGGAGCCGGCGCCGTCCTTGGCCTTGACAACCTCGTCACCACCGAACTGGACGCGGTTGACGAGCTCGGCGTTGGAGGAAAGATCGGGGTGGTTGCTCTGGCTGAAGAGAGGCACAATGGTGACACCGCTGTGGCCGCCGACGACGGTGATGTTCTCGTTGGCCGGGTCGGTCTTCTTGATCTCGCTGACGAAGCGCGAGGCGCGGACGACGTCGAGGGTGGTCACACCGAAGAGGCGCTTGGGGTTGTAGACGCCCTTGGCCTTGAAGACCTCGGCGCAGATGGGCACGGTCGAGTTGACGGGGTTGCTGATGACCAAGATGTTGGCGTTGGGGGCCGAGTCGGCAACAGCCTTGGCCAGGTCGCGCACGATCGAGGCGTTGGTGTTGAACAGGTCGTCACGGGTCATGCCGGGCTTGCGGGGAACACCGGCGGGGATCAGGACCACCTCGGCGTCCTTAAGAGCGGAGGCCAGGCCGCTGGGGGTCGGCTCGTAGCCCTTGACGTTTGACTTGGTGTTGACGTGAGACACATCGGCAGCAACGCCTAGTAGGGGCTGTAAGTTAGTGACTGCCCACTCGGCAGAGTGCAGTCCGGTCCTGGAAGTACGACGTACCAGGGGCACCACGGATATCGTAGAGGGCGAGCTCGGTGACTCTCGGGTTGAGCTTCAGGAGGAGGGAGAGCGGCTGGCCGATGCCGCCAGCGGCACCAAGGACGGTAACTTTGGAGAGCTAGAGGAGCGTACCGTGTTAGTTGGAGCGCCTCGACAAACACCAATTGCTGCGCCTTGTGCCCGGCGCTGTGTCAAGTCCGTCGACCGCACATGCGCTTAGGGGCTCGCGTGGACCCAGCTTCTCGGACCGTCTCCGAGGTTTGACCGTTGTTGGGGAAGCCTCTGTCTGGTGGACTGCAGCAATGGCCCCAACGACGGCCCGGGTGCGGATCGCGGGGTACTTACGTTTCTCGCCGACGCCGAGAAGGCGCGGGTCTGGATGCGGGAGGCCATGAACATTTTGAGACCGTGGTGAGTTTCGAATGGAGGGAATAAATACAGAGGATCAAACAAAACGTGGAGAGAAAACCAAGCAGAGGTAAAGTATCCGTCGAGTACCTGGTGGAATTGGTTCGTGGCAGCTGCGCCCCGGTCCGTTGAGGTAAAAAAAAGTCGTTTCGTCCCAAATGGGACTAGCAGGATTGCCAAGGCCTGTGGGGGGCCGCCGCTCTCGGCAGGGTCGGTCTTCGGAAAATCCCGGCCGTGCTCCCGGAGCATGGGGACGTCGTCCTTGCCATTTGAGATGAGTTCAAACCAAACCCATTTTCGAGCCATGCAAGCTCGGTGGGGACCGAGGATAGGTGAGTTGGAACAACTTGCGCACCGGTTTTGAGTGCAGTGTTGACGGAGATGCCTAGAGCCCACTCACAAATGGTCTGACAACGAGTAATCAATTGACTATGTTTTGAGGCTGAGGGGGTGTGCTGAAAATTCGCAAACATAGCTTTAACAACAGATTGGGCGTATTTAACTATGACGGCTTTTTGCTCCATCCCCGACCGTCACATTCCGGGAGGCACGTATGCGGTATCAATATGAGGGCCGGCTCCGTATCTCCTTCTCTGTCTGTCTCGGAATGCCGCCAACTCTGCCGTGTAACCAAGCGTTGTGCGAGGAACTCTTCTCACCAATGGCGTTTTGCCTGTGAACCAATAAGGTGGGTTACAATACCTACATGAACTGAAAGCCTCGTTGTTCAGTGAGTTTGCCTAACCGCCCCGGGTCGCCGCCGATAATGCAGCAGTGCAGAAATAGTGCATGATGCGATTTCCAACCGGGGCAACTGGCTTTCCGGTACTGCGTCGGTTGGGCGGCCTCGAGCTCTGCTAAATACTAGGGGAGGTACCCCGCGACCTCGAATCTGAGGTCCTTTCATTAGATTAGATCGGCATTCGGCGCTTTGGTCGAGAATTCCCAAAATTGCATTACTTCATCTGACATTCACGATGCGTCTTCTTGACGTCCGGACTTTTGAACTCTGCGAGTTTGTCGGTAAACCACCGCCGTACGCCATCCTTTCTCACACCTGGGAGGATGATGAGGTCACGTTCCAGGACATCGCCAATCTGGACCTGGCGAGAAAGAAGAAGGGATTTACGAAAATTCAACTATGCTGCGAGCAAGCCCTCCATGATGATTATGACTGGGCCTGACATAACCGAATTGGCTGAACCACCCAGATAGTTACCCTCGTTTTATGAAGTCCCGTTGGTGGACTCGGGGCTGGACACTCCAGGAGTTGATCGCCCCTCCAGCGGTCGAATTTTACGACCGCGACTGGCAACACATAACCTGCAAGGACACCTGCAAGGAACTCATCAGTGCGGCAACTGGGATTGACAGAGCAATTTTGTCCAACGCGGACTATCTTTCCGTGTTCCCCGTCGCCGAAAGAATATCATGGGTAGCAGAGCGCAACACGACGCGAGAAGAAGACATGGCTTACTGCCTCCTTGGCCTTCTCAACGTCAACATGCCGTTACTCTACGGAGAAGGGGCGAGAAAGGCGTTCCGCCGTCTCCAGGAACATGTTATTTCGTCCAGAGAAGACTCTACCCTTTTTCTTTGGGATGCGGCATCTCACCCTCCACTGTTCACGAACGGCACTATTTTGGCCCCCTCGCCTCGCCATTTCAGCGGCAGGAAGGTCTGGGAGAAGTGGTACATGGGTTCATATTATGTTGGAGAACCCCCCCAAATGACGAGTCGGGGCCTGCGTGTTTCCCTATTCATCAAACAGCTGACGGAAGAGGACAAGGGCACCTACGAACGACTGGTTCCACATCATCGGGCAACTTTTCAACGCATGAAAACCTCTCCAGTTTGGAGCACACTTGCGTTCGGGGCGATCCCGTGTAGAACTTTACGCTCATTGCCACCTGCACTGCCGTTTATTCTTTTGACGGTGCATTTCAAAGATCACTTACAGGGCCGGTCTCCAATAAGTAGCGCTACAATCAAAGGGACCTGTTGTTTACAAAAGGGAGTGGGCGGGTATTGGGGAAGTTCCGATGGAGGAGGTCCTGGACGGATCGAAATGGACTTTTTAGACCTGTTATGTCCTAGTATGATGAGGGCTGCTTAGAGCATGACTACTGTTGGCCGTCCCATCTTATTGCAACAGCTTTTACGGCGTCGTTTCGTTGGCCTGAGGGTTGTTTGCGTGTGCGCGAGGGTTTGTGAGCCCAAGTAGAGGGTCGCCATTACCCGGTCATACTATTGTCAAGTCTGTGGGTTGGGTCATGAATTCGGACATCTGTGGCTTGAGCGCGTTGGGATATTATTTGATTCTGGGAATGACTGATTCATCTTCTCTAGAAGGTGCAAAATCGTGTCGCTGACGACTCTTGTTGAGATTGTTAAACCTGCCCTTTCCCCTGACCCAATGACACAATAATTACTGCCGAACTTCATTTACACAAACAGGCTAAACAAAACGTTGCTATCGCGATGCCTCCTTGGAATTGGTTCGCTCGACGGGAAGTGATTTCGAGCCTCTTGGCGTCCTGAACTGCCGGTATTTGGCATGCCGTGACCAGCCTTTCGGCGAACGAGGTTATAACTACCCCATGCAAGCTCTCGAGAACGCTAGCTATCGACAACAACTACCTAGCTGCTCTCTCCTACCCGCTTTGTTCGCACGTGACCATAAACATATTAAGATGAAGCTTCTCCCACCGGTGCTGTTCCTCGCAGCCACGGCTCATGCTCACTGCAAGTACCCCCCTTTACCTTTCCGACCCCCCAATTCGCCGCATCAATCTAGGACTAATAGCACACAAACTAGACCGCTTCCCCAAGCTCATCGTCAACGGCGTGGCCGAAGCCCAAGAATGGGTCTCAGTCCGCCAGACCAAGAACTTCCAGAGCAACCAAGGCGTGACCGACGTCAACTCGCCCGACATCCGATGTTTCCAAAACAGGGCTGGCACATCCGTGGCCAAGGTCGCAGCGGGCGATCCGCTCGGGTTTGTGGCCATGGCAGAGATTAGCCACTTCGGCCCTGTGTCCTTCTACATGGCGCGTGTGCCCGAGGGCCAGGATATCAACTCGTGGGCGGCCGACGGGAAGGTATGGTTCAAGGTGGGGGAGATATCCGCTGTCGAGAACGGCGGTGGCCCGTTGACGTCGGATGAGAAAACTTGGCCCGCGTACAGTACGTTGAGAGCTCATATCATTATTGCTCCCATGACCATCGTTAGATATGCATGAACTAACACCCCCCCCAATAGAACAAACCTCAGTGGAATTCACCATCCCCACCGCCCTGCCTAGCGGTCAATACCTCGCCCGCGTCGAGAGCATCGCGTTGCACCAAGCCTCTAGCATCGGCGGCGCACAGATCTATTTGTCCTGCGCGCAGGTTGAGGTCACAGGCGGCGGCAGCGGCACGCCGGGCCCGTTGGTGTCGTTCCCCGGCGCGTACCAGGCGAGTGACCCGGGTCTGCTGTGGTCGTATTACCCGCTTGCGACGAGCTATAAGGCGCCGGGTCCGGCGGTTTGGCTGGGGTGAGTGGCTGGCTCTAGTGGAGGGGACTTTGCCCCTGGTTTCGGGAATCGGAAGATAAAGATCATGGCGAACCGTAGCAACATCTATTCGGCATCTTGGCTGCTTTTACCAGTTTTGCGTGACGCGTTGTCCTTCAAGGAGATTCTTCCGGGTTACGACACGACAGAAAAGGGGCAGCAATATATTCCCATTAAAGCAGACCTAAACTGTGAAGAAATAATTTCTACATCATGTTGTTCTGAAAATAGCTTTATTCCGTGGTGATACCCCCAAAACATGTCAGAAAACCTTGGGAACTGGCTCCTTTGGGCTCACCCTGATCAAATTCTATGCAGACAAAAACCCATGACGCCTCTGTAAACCAACATGTCTCCGGAGCCAACGATGCTAACATGCTAATGGATAAATGACAATGTTTTGCACTACTATGACCCATTTTATAAACTTGATACTCCCGACGATTCGCTCCGATAGCACAGCCACCCACCGAGAATGAGGCAAAACCACCCTCAACCGGTTCATCAAAACGGCGGACGTGTCTAGTCTTACAAGCCTATTCCTAGAACACGACCAGAGCAGGCCTTGGAAGGAAGAATAGGTGAGAATGGACACTGACAACAGCATTGTCATCATCAATTTCCTTGAATCGGCCTTCTTATCTGCCAAAGTCATTGTAAATATAGCACCCCCGACGATCAATCAGACAAGCGTGTGGATCTCTTTATCCTGAATCCACCATTGGACATCGTCGGGCTGTATCCCCGGGTTTCGGCGCGCTGCTTTCTCCTTTTGTGGTTCCCAGTCCATGGCGTCAACCTGCCAAAGCTCTGGCAACTCTAGCGATCTCCAGAAACGGCCTTCACCGTTTGTAACCACGATGCGGAGGATATCTCGGTGGGAGACTCGCCCGTTCGTCCCCCGGAGCGGATGCGGGATGTTTATCTGGAACTTGAATTGCTCGTGATCCTCAATCTTCACCAACTTTTGTGACCCTCCCAATGGGAAGAGTTGTTGTACGCCAAATCCGGGGACGAGGGCTAGCACAGTCAGGTAGAGATCCATGTCGCTAGCATTCTCAAAAATGAATGACCACAACCGTGTTTCGGGATCGCCGACAGGGTCTAAACTCCAATTAAATGGACCGTGGTGCTGCGAAGCTAGCTTGGGGAGATCGAAGAGAATCTGCCCGAAGCGCGTCAAATGAGCAAGAGCAGCGGCGCATCTTGCAGCAGATTGGACGTGGTCGCTGTTTTGGAGGTGCAAACCTCGCAAAGAGTCTGTGTAGCCGATCAAGGCCAGGGGCCCAAAGATGTCGATTGTATTCTGAGCTTGACGGAGCACCACTCTGAACTCATCCTTGTCGCTGGTGTGCTGCTCGTCAATCTCGACCACTTTGACACTTCCCACAAGTACGTTCTGGAGACTCTTGTCCAGAGCCCCCCGAAAGTCGGCGCTTAGACCTTTATCCACGGAAACACGCAAGACATGACGCCCTAAGCCCCATCTGGAGGGCACAACTTCAGCATTGCGACCAAAGTCGGGTGGTAAGAGGCCATTAGGGGGGCTCGCGCGGCATTCCCATTCGTCGATCTTGTCGACTCTGACAACAACGTCATGCCCGGGGCCATGGAGTCTGAACTCAGAGCCAGGGTAGATAGCGTGGGCCTTTCCCATGGGGATGATAAGTTCATTACCTTTAACCGCCGACACGATCGGGGCAGCAACGAACGGTTCGTAGTTTTCTAAAAAGGCGAGCCTGTCTTGGCCGTATACCTCTGGATTCTGGCCGTGTTCCTCCCTCAGAAACGGGGTGATCTTGTCGCAAAGCACTCGGCAAGACGGATGAATGGCACTCGGCGGGTAATGCGTTAAGGCTTTCACGAGGGAGGAGGTAAATGCACCATACGATTTGCCGTTGTCCGTCATCTCCTTGGCCAGCTGGTCGGGTCTGCAAGCTGCCAGGAGCGTGAAGCCATTTGGATTGATCGACCAAGACCTCTCGAGCTCTGAGTTCCGACTCACGGGACCGGTGGTGTCAGGTTCTGCGGGGACGGTCATCGCATCAGTGTCTTCATCGTAGTTCAAGAAAGTCCGGCCTTGTGGCCCTTGTCCACCATCTCGCCATGAGCCACCGGAATAGCAGCTGTCGAGAGCGACAAAAACCTGGACCTTGTTTCTGTTGAGGGCTTCCAGCCACTTGTTGAGCTCCCATCCCCGGATGGCGGAACCGTCGAGGCAGTAGTCACAGGTCAGGAGGGATGGGTCCTTGGCCCGTCCGGGTGGTGACTGGGGAGTGCGGCGGAGGAGTCCGCCATGGCCGGCGAAATAGAAAAAGAACAAGTCCCCAGGTTTGGCTTTAGCGGAGATGTCGTTGAACTCGTCCTTGACATTGGAATATGTGGGCTGCCGAGAGGGGTTTGTTGAGGTGAGGATTCGGATATCGCTGAGGAGGAATCTGTCTTCGAGGACGCCCTTGATCAGATTGACATCGTTGACACAGCCACCGAGGTCACAGAGCGATTTGTTCCGCCTGGCTTGCCCTGGATCGGGGTTTCTGGCTTTTTGGTACACATTGATCCCGACGAGGAGAGCAAAGCGCTGCTGCTGCTGGATTAAGCCGTCCATGCGGATACAATTGCGAAGAAGATTTGGACTTGATGGTGGGAAGCTCGAAAGAGCCTGTGTGGTTCACGCCTCTACAGGGCTGTTCCGCATATAAGACCCAAAAAAACAAACATCCGTCCTCGAGCCTTGCGCGGTTCGATGGCCATGTTGTGGTTCAGCGCCCCCTGCAGGCTGAGCTTCAGAATGGCCTCAGAACGGAGCTGGCGGTTGTTTTGAAGATCTTTGATTGGCCAAATCCCGAGGGAGTGGGGCGGGAGGAAGGAATTAGGGGGCTTGGGCACACTTCTCGCACATGCAGCATGCTGACTTCCATTATTAGACGTTTCAAATGCCGCCAGAAAGCCACAGTTGCCCAGCTATCGTCGAAGCAAGTCGACTGGGCGGCTAGGGAATCTAATTATATATAAATATTGGGAGTAGCGGCGCAATCATGACAGTCTCGCTGGATGATTGACGTCTCTCGCAGCCCTTGCGAGGGCAAAGGCTCGAATTCTTGCTTCATTAATCCCCCAAAGGTCACAAACCGGGAAACATGCGTCAACCTCTGGGGTCAATCGAGAGTGGCCTCAACTCGAGGGCACCTGGCACCAGGCCTGGCTTGGGCTCAGGCCTGTTCGATCGAAGTAATTCAGGTAATAGCAGACGACCCAGCCCGGCGAGCGCGCCGCAAATCTTCCAAAGACGACCTGCTTCCCAACCGAGACCCTTCGGGAATCGCCTTCCGTTTCTACGCGTGCGGGAAGTAGAGGGCATGTTGGATGCGATGAACGCCGTTTATGGGCCTGACGAGTTTTGTCTGAGTCCCCTTGGTGAGGTCCCCACAACTCTGTATCCCGAAGTCGTTGAAGGGGAGTTCTTCGAGCGGCGCCCTGAGCATGACCACCAATACGACCTCAGAGCCCCAGGCGACAAACCCCCGCTCGGATTCGACCTAGACTTGGGCATTCATATCGCCTCGAATGCCCTAATTCACCGAAGGCTTGACCTGGCTCGCCGCTGTTACTGGTCAGACGTGGCTGGCATCTTACTCAACGAGATGTATTTGCGGACCGGAGCCATCCAGGACCTTGACATGGCCATCAGGTACGCCAGGTCGGCAATGCCGGACCGCGTCCTCCCTCCGTCTCAGCGTGCATCAAGTGCCACAACATTCCCACAGAATGGACAGTACCGCGACGAGAACGCGGAGAACGTGATGGAGAGGGGGGTGGCGGGATGTGGGCTGGTGGACATGTGCGGTCAGCAAAATAACCTCGCATGCTATCTCGGCCACAGATACCTACGTCTCGGGGCCCGGGACGATATTGACGAGGCGATATCCCTTGCGCATCAAGCCGTCAAGAACACGCCACAAGATTCGGAGTTCCTGGCAGGACGGATGAACAACTTGGCGACTTTACTAGGCGATCGGTATTCGGCAATGGGTAATGCGGAGGACTCGGATCACGCAGTGCGGTGGGCAAGGGAATCAGTCGAAGCGTCCTCGAGCAACGACGGCGACGCTCTGCCGGTGCGTCTGAACAACCTGTCAGCGCTACTTGGAGAGGAGAGACGCGGCAACTCGCATCGAGTACTCTCACGGACCGATGAGGCCATATCTTGCTTGGTGCGGGCGCTCGAGACGGCCCCAGAATCAAACTGCCACACAGGAACCCTGCTTTACAATCTCGCGCGTCTTCACCAGGTCAAATTCCGGGATTTCCACGATGAGAAGAACCTTGAACGAGCGAGACAGTGCTTCTTTGCCGCATTGACCCAGAAGTGGGCGTTCATGAACACTCGCATCTTGGCTGGCAGGGTGTTTCTCTCACTCCCCGGCATCATCCACGAGGCGGACCGCGCAATGGTTGCAGTGCGGACCTGTGCTAGACTCGTATCAGCGTCCATGAAATATTCGCTGAAGACCAAGGACAAACAGCGTGTCCTGTCTCAGGCCCTCGGCATCGGTTCAGATTCGGCAGCCGTCGCTCTCCATGTCGGCATGGGCGCATTCTATGCCATGGCATTGCTCGAGACTGGGCGAGCAGTGCTGTCGAACTCACTCCTGAACCTCCGCATCGATATCTCAAGTTTGAGTGAGTCGGACCCTCAGCTGACAAAGGACTTCAGTCGTACCAGAGGCCTGCTCGATGGATCAAGAGATCCGCTGGGGTCTTCTAGAATTCTGGAGAATCTGCAATATCCAGTGGACTCGCAATTGTCTCGACGAGCGTATGAGAGGACCCTCATCTCGTCAATTGAGGAGCTACGCGGCCACCCCATGTTCCATAGGATTCTAGGCCATCCGACCGAGGCGGAAATGCTGGATGTGGCGAAACATGGGCCGGTTGTTGCAGTCAATGCCACCGCTCACCGCTGCGATGCCTTGATCATTCAACCCGACGGGATTTCGAGCTTGGAATTGCCCAGCCTGACTCTACACTCCATTCGCGCCCACAGGCGGGACACGCAATCCGTCGAGACCCTCGGGTGGCTCTGGGAAACCATAGTCTCGCCCGTGCTGGACCGTCTGGGCTACGATGCACCACCCGCTGGCGGTCAAGCCCTGCCACACACCTGGTGGATTCCCACCGGACCACTCGTAGGCTTCCCGCTCCACGCAGCAGGGTATCATTTGCGCCGAAACTCCGAGACGGCGATGGATAGAGTCATCTCCTCGTACACCCTTTCCGTCAACGCACTTATACGCATCAGACAACAACGCCAACACCACGGATCCGCCGTAGGGAAGCCAGAAAAAGCCATCATCGTTTCTGCGCCCAGCCCTCCGGGTCATCAGTTCCTGCGCCACGCCAGAGACGAAACCGTAGCAGTCGGCCAGGCCTGCGAGTCGATTGGTGTCTCTCAAGTCCAGTCCGCATTTAATCCGTTCGACACTCTCGACGCACTCAAATCGTGCAGTATCTTCCACTTCGCAGGCCATGGAAGAACCGACAAGCAGGACCCTCTAGGCGGCTCGCTCATCTTTGACGACGGCGATGAGCTGTCCGTCGACCAGTTACTCGAGACCACGCTCAACTCGAACCCCCCGTTCCTAGCATATCTCTCAGCGTGCGGAACAGGGCGGATCGAGAATGAGGGGGCAACTGACGAAATCCATCTTGCTTCTGCTTTTCAGCTTTCTGGGTTTCGACACATCATTGCTACGCTTTGGGAGGTCGACGATGAGTTGTGTGTCACTATGGCGAAGCGGTTCTATGAGGCTCTGGGGAGAGAGCCGCTGACGGATGTATCGGTTCGAGTTGCACTTCACGAAGCCGTCAAGGCGCTGAGAGATCAATGGGTTCAGGCAGAGGTGGACGCTGGCGGCGGGCAAATCCGGGGTGATCGGAATCCTATGCTGGTCCAGGAATCATCGCGGAGCAAGGCACTGTGGGTTCCCTATGTCCATTTTGGCGCCTAAACGTACGTAGATATCGTAGATATTGCGGTCGAAGAGCAAAGGTCAACCGTCAGAACGACTCAGTGCCATATTAATGATTTGATGAACATTCGCCGATAAATTGGAAGAGATGACCTCACGGACCTCCACACGTTCAGTTTCTCGCCAGCCCCTGTGAGACAGCCCAAGTGAGTCATGAAGTCTAAGAGACTTCACTGATAGGCAAGGTAGCTATTCGTATGTACCTCCTTGAAAGCACAAGGGTATCTGGTGGAGAGTTGACGTTGTGTCCTGGAAATGCCCTTGCAGGAGTGCTGTGTACCATTGGACCCGACCCTGACGAATCGCAGAGTGGCCGGAACCGCCCCAGCCACGACTTTAGTTGCCGAGGCTGTGTTACCCCACATCGGGCGCTTACCTCGAGGGACGAAGATTAAAAGGATACAGTATTATTATCCCCTCACAGATCTCGCCTACATACGCGAGCCTTCCAGGGTCAGCGTAGTACAAGACTTAGCCCCTGCTAATAACTTTTGCTATAGCTATCAACTTCCCGTGTCTGTACATATTCACGCACAAAGTTAACTCCCGTCTTCCAGCGTTCCCCCATCCGCCACATAGGGATGCCAAACAACGCACGCCTCGACCGGGTTTACGCCCGACTTCTCCAAGACCACCCCTACGGATGGGCCCTGTACAAGAAGGTGACAGCACAGGAACTGTATCCGGGCTGCTGTGGCTATTTCGATTCTGACGGTGATTGGCGTCTCCTCCTCGATCTCACGATCGACCAAGACAGCCTCACCAAGGAGGGATGGATCGCGCCCGGCCCCGGCGATCAAATCAAGACTGGAGATGAGAAGCCCATGAGATTGACATGGGGGCCGAAGAAGTCCAAATCAGTCGTCTCACGACAGATAGGGGGCGAGCTCGCGGTCAAGTAAGAACGACCCAGTTATCCGCAACCGCCTAGTTAGCCTTCTACTCTGACAGCCCCTCTTCTAAAACAGCGTGGCGTCCCCGATATCGCCCTCAGTCACCCTGTCTTTCACCTGTGAAAGCGATGAAGGCGCCGTTCTCACAACACAGAACCCCGTCCTGAGGCACCGTGTCGGCAATGAGTCGGCTGTGGTGAGATGGATGAAGGCCAATCGGGCCGAGATGTTGAGACGGCACAAGGAGATCGCAGAGAGACATGGGATCTGGGTTGTGAGCAAAACGTACACAACCACCCGAAGCGGCGTCGCGGTCATGTCGTCCAAGTCCTCCGCCGTTGAGATCGGTATAGGGGCTACTGTACCGGGCGTGGTGACGCTGACGCCATCAAGCTCCTGGTCATCCAGCAAAGGCGACCTCGCCGCCGAAATACATGACCACAGTGAGGGGGTCGTGGTGTTTATGAGTGGGGTTTACTTTTGCAAGAAGCTGTTTAAGTCGGAACTTAAACTGGTCGTGGAAAGAGATGACCAAAAAAGCAAAATATTTAGGGGAGGCTATGTCGAGTCAGATGACGAGGAGCAGGATGAGGGGGGCGAGGATGATGGCGATGGGTTTGAGATACGGATAATATGAAGGAACCACGCCTCTTGGTATGATTAAGTGTCAGGGTCGAATCCTAGCAACTGAAAGTTTCTTGATATTGAACCCATTACGCGTATCAAGGGAGATGGGGCTTTGATGTTTTCGAAGAGAATCGACAACTTCATTTCTTCTCTCGCTTGTAATAAGGAAATGCACGACCGCCTTACGGTTTCGTCCCTCTTGATACTTGCATGGTCGAACCTTAGCTCGGGCTGGGAGAGTGGATCGCCGAGATGCGTATTATTTGAAGTACCTGAGGTAGCAACGAAGGCTACCGTCACCCTCTTTCTTTGTTAGACTTTCTCGCGCCTCAAGAACATCTGCGTAACGCAAAGTATTGATCCGTAATTTCCATGAATTTACGCGCCGTGTATCATCATGAAATCAGTGCGAAGTTCTGGGTAATCAATTAATTAGTAAGGACGTCGGTGTCTCCTGCGCGTTAACATCAGGAGGGATGTATTCTCTTGTTTATATGTTTTCATACTGCACACTTCCAATATTTTCCCCGTGTTTTGCAATACGGTGATTTCCAATTGATCATGGCTCCAAGAACCGATTGGAAACGATGATCTCGATGCCTTGAATTACTGCTCATGCGAGCACCTCAGCCCCGCTTCAGCCACCAAATCACGGTTGCAGGACGACCATGTCCATTCCCATTCGGCCAGAGTTGCAGTGCTGCGCCATTGCGCCCATTCCCAACCGCGAACAGCTAGTTAGCCTGGGCTTTCTGCTGCTGACAACAAACTTCATCACTTCTGCGGTGCCCAACCGACAACTGACGCCCAAGCGTAGCGCTCGGCGCCGTCGACGCCGTCGAGATGGACCCCCTGACTATCTTGTCAATAGCGGCATCAACCGTCCAATTTTTGGATTTTGGGTCGCGGCTGCTTACCGTAGCTTTGGACTCGCGCCATGGGGGACCATCCGCGGCGCGGGTCGAGGTGAACGAGCTATTCGAAGAATCTCAGGGGTTAGCAGCACGCGGCAAAGCGATCGAAGAAAAGGCCCAACTTTTGACGGGCTTAAATCGACCACTCTCAATCACAGAAGCCGCACTTCTTAAAGAATCCCGCCGTTGTGTGGCAGCCAGTCAGGAGATTTCAGCTGCGCTTGGGAAACATGTCCAAGACCAAACGACACAGTCAGTCCTGGACGCCATCGGTGATGCTTTCAAGCTGGTGTGGAATGAAAAGTCCATCAAGGATAGCCAGAAGAGGCTGTCTGATGCCAGGGAGAAACTGATGTTTGCAATGGTTTCCGACCTCTGGTATGAGTTCCTCCCTCCGATCGGACCGATCCGGTGTCGAGACTCCGGAGAAGAAATCCGCCGCGACTAACACGTATGACAGGGAGCGGTCAGCCGCAGGCGAAGTGCCAGCAACCGGAGTAGCAACCGAGACCACAAAACACCAAGCCCTTATTCGGCAACTACAATCTCGGGACCAGGCAGAAGTCGAACCCTCGGCGGAAGCCCAGTCATTATTCATCTACCACCAAAAGAATAGCCGTGTGAACCTCAACCAAACCACATCTGTCAGCGTGGACCCCGACGCTCATGATCCCTTGTACCTGGACGGTCTCCTTAGTACGCTTCACTTTGCTGCTTTAGACAGGCGACTCCAGGCGATCCCGGAAGCATACAGAAACACCTTCCAGTGGGTGCTACAAAAGGAACCTCGGCAATCCGAGGGTGCTGACCCTCAACCTCTGTGGAGCAGCTTTCCAGACTGGCTTAGAGGAGATTCGGAGAACATTTATTGGATCACGGGCAAACCCGGGTCGGGCAAGTCGACTTTGATCAAGCACCTCGTCAACCAGCCCGCCACTTTGTCGCATCTCGCAGAATGGGGAGGTGGTAAGAAGGTGCTCACGGCTATGTTCTACTCGTGGGATGCTGGGAGCGAGCTCCAAAAGTCCCAGGTTGGGCTTTTGCGAACCCTCTTGTACCAAGTCGTCCAACAAGCCCCTGAAATCGCGCCGCGGTTATTCCCAGGACGATGGGCCATGCAAAAGATCTTTGGCGCCGCTTCGTTGCAACATCTCCCACCATGGACTTGGGAGGAACTTTTTGAGAGTGTCGGTGCCCTGGCCACACTGCCCGAACGAAACTTTAACCTTGCCATTTTTGTCGACGGGCTGGACGAGTTCGCCGGTGACCACTCGAGGCTCATCGACCTCATCAGGCAGTTTCACAGTCAACCCGGATTCAAGGTATGCGCGAGCAGCCGTCCATGGAACGACTTCCGGGATGCCTTTGTGTCCTGCCCACAGCTCAGGATGGAGGTCCTCACCGAAACCGATCTAAAAACCTTTGTCCAGGGCGTGGCACACGAAAACGTCGCCTTCATGGAACTCAAAGACGCCTACCCAACCGAAGCCGACGAACTCCTCTCGAAAGTCGTAGAACGAGCCTGCGGCGTCTTCCTCTGGGTTTCCCTGGTCATGAAAGCCGTGCTCAACTCCCTCACCGACGGCACCACGCTCATCCACCTCGAGCACCTAGTCGACAGCCTTCCCGAAGACCTCTCCAAGCTCTACGAAAACCTCTGGCGCCGCGTCAAACCCAGCTACCAACGCGCCGGTTCCCGCCTCCTCCTCCTCTTCCGCGCCTACACCAACTCACCCCAACTCAACCTCAAAACCAACAAAATCGCCCTCCCCTCCGGCATGGAACCGTACATCCTCTGGCTCGCCGACCGCCATAACCCCCCTGAAGACAACCCCCGACGCATCCTCCAAGTCCTCCGGCGCAAACTCGCCAGTCGCACCATGGGCCTCCTCGAACTCACCCACCACGCCCACCACGTCAACTATCTGCACCGCACCACCAAAGAATGGCTCGACACTTTCTGGACGGACATGGAAGCCCACGCGGGCCACGACTTCGATCCCCACCTCGGCCTGCTACGCGCCATCTCCCGCAGCGCGACCACCGACCCAGCCGCGCAGCGGAATCGGTTGGAGGGAGCCCAGCCCGGGTCGTGGGAATCGTACGCGAATACGTGGGGTTGGATGCTGGAGGCGTTTTATCATGCCGGGCGGGTGGTGCGTGATCCGCATGATCGGTTGGTGGAGGCGCTGGATAGGATTGAGGGTGTGTTTAAGGGGTTGAGGTTTGTGACAACCACGATGGTGCCGCATGTTGCGCACTGGGCGAAAGTCAGAAGGGGGTCGGCGGCGGATCAGTTTGGGTTTGTTGGGCTGGCGGCGGAGTTTGGGGTGTTTCGGTATGTGCAAGCTAAAATGAAGGAGGCGCCGTCGGATTATGCGAGCATAAAAGGGGGCGAGGAGGACTTGGTGTCGTGTTTGTTGCTGGGGCCGGGGGCAAGGGGGTTACCGAAGCGGGAGTATAAAGCGCTGGGGGATACGGGGTTGAGGCATCGTTTTGAGTGTATTTATAAGTTTGTGTTTGAGCATATGGCGTTCAATCACGAGGAGCGGTATCGTGTGGCGAAGGAACTGCTTGATGCGTGTTGTGATAGGAAGGGTAAGCTCCCTGCTGTGCTTCGGATGAGACTGGCACCGCTGGCGGACCGGATTGCGGTGCGGAACGATCGGGGTTGGCCTCAAAGAGAATCAGCGCAGGTTCTTGTCAAGGTGACAGGGAGTGATGAGGCTGCATATTACGGTTACGCGGCCATGGAACTGCTGGAGGATTATGGCGTTGGAGAAAGGAGAGGCGGCGTGAGGGAGTCTTTTAAGGCGTGGCTACAATGGAAACTGGACGATTTGGGGGGGCCTTGAGCGAGGACAGTAATATGGTGGTAGAAACGAAACCAACTACTATGTAATTACTTTCGGTGGCTGCTCTAGTACCTTCTGTATTCGAAAGTCCCCGCCCATAAGAGTCAAAACCAAGACTGTGGGCAACCCGCTGGCCAGCTAGTGCAGTTTAATATTACCACATGGGCAACCAAACACTTAAATATCACCATGATTTCCCACACTTCCTACTACATACGACCATAGACAGTAGAAAATACGGGATCCCGTCCGCTCTCCCCGAGTCAACCTACTGATCGCCGGACTAGTACTCAGGTCGGTGACGATTGGGGAATCCCCGGTGTTGTATGTTTTTGCCCTCTTTCATTTTTTAGACTAAAGGTCGTGCCTTCTTGGCATCCCGGGTGCCGAGCGCTTCTGCGCTCCAACGCACCTGCCTTATGGTGGCCGGTGGTGTGCTGTACGTGGGCGGCCCTTTAGGAGGCAGTTACGACGCACGGCGTATCGATCCTGCTCAGGGTCTTTCAACCAGCTGATATGACCAACATGGGAACGACCACAACGGACCTTTTCCGGCCCTTGGCATTTCTGACCAAATAAAGTTCTCAAACATGTATGAAGTATGAACGATTGATGTGCAGCGTGAGAATTTTCAAGCCTTTGCCTGGGAGTAGGCGCCACGGACAGCGGCGCGAACACCGCCAATCCCGAAAGCGAAGAGTAAAAAGGCACATACAATGCGTGGATAGGTACCTACCGAATCAGGTATGCTTGTTCCCTGGTTGCAGGTGGTCGTTGTATTCGCAGACCGCGGTGTGTGGGATCTAACTGCATTCTCAAGCTCCGGCTCCCGATGCTTGATTAATTAACTGCGCGAAATGCAGCTGCCGACTTCAACATTGCATTGCTCTTGCAGTAAAATCATTCCGTCGACAAAAGTCCTCGTTAGAATTATATCTGCGGGAATGGAAATTAGGCGCCGGAGTCACGACACATGAACCTAAGTGGTCGTGAAGGACTTTTTCAGGTGCGTGTCGTGGTACCGCCTCACCGAGTCCGACTCCCCTTATTACGCTCAACTGGTGTATCGAGACTCTGCTTAGCATCGCAAAACCGATCGTAGCTTACATTCTCTAGCAGACGTCTGGATATTCAATCCGACCGTTTCCGGGATTAACTTCGGTCGCGACCGTGTTGCCGTTATTCTCGCATCCTCGAACTCGTCTTTACCGTATCTCGCCGCGTGTTCACAGTTCGTTCCGTTGCTGTAAGGTCTCTTGAGAGGGAGATGTCGAGGTGGCTTAGATCTTGCCGTTTTGGCGAGGGAGACGATGCGAGCCTATCGCAGGTGCAGTTGCGCCATGAGCTCAATCGCGACCGGGCTCTGCCCCTCACTCGGCTGTATCTTGACAATGGCTTAACTGCACGTCTGTATCTGCCTGACGGGTTTTCGCCACTATTTTCCTCAAGCTGGGCATCAATGCAATCTTTGCATCTTTCAGCTTCTTTGCATGGGGCGAGAAACATCTTGTGCATTCTGTTCGCCAAGGGAACCAGCTCTTTTGTCTTCGTTTCTCTGTATATCTTTGAGCAACCTTGGAAAGGCAGATCGGTATACTCGGCATGGACCAGGCCGTGGGGCGTCTCCAGGCCGCTCTAGCGTCGGTTACGAATGAGGTCACCGTTGCGGCCGCGAACATTAAGTTTGACTTCAGCATCGTCAAGTATGAAGCACCCAGGGAATTTCAACCGGTTGGACAGCTACTCTCCGACCGGAGAAAGCGCGATGCGGAGGATGGCAAGAGCCACACAACGGCGCGCCGTTTAGCCGCGCTCTTCGCGGGTGTGTGTCCCAAAACTCCTGCCCTCGTCGCAGCGTATGGGAAACGAGCCTCGGAGATCGCCACGCAGGCCACGAGCAAAGTATCCAAGGCCCATTTCGCCTCCGTGTTTTCACAGTACACAGGCGTTGATGCCACATCAATGTGGGCAGCCGCGACATCATCTCCCAATGGCGCGGATGGCGACGCCATCCAGGTTCACCTCCTGGCGTGCATGCTCGCCTCGGTTTGGGATGCACCCGAGGCGACCTCGATATGGGTCGAAATTGTGGACGGGAGGCGCCACGACATTGCGCTTCAAGTTGAAGGCGGCGGAGCGGTGCCATTTGCAACAGCCGCTGCTGCTGCCCAAGCGGAGATACCACGCCAGCAATTGGCCGAGTGGGATGCCAGCGCTCGTGCGTGGTTGGAAGTCGCCAACTCCGCCAAGTCAAAGGAGCAGACGCAGTTTCGATTAATACTCCATAACATCGAATTGTCGGTTGGGGGGCCCGAGCAATGCCTCACGACAACAGCAAATGTTGTCGGGGCTTGGGTGGGAGCTGTCACCGTCATGGACAACCTCCTCTCTGGTATACCCCAAGAAGTTAGCGATGGCTCAGCAATCGTTGGACTAATGGCGTGGCACTTGTACCCCGAAATTCATGTATTTGGCCCGCGTAATGCCGAACTGAAGATGAATGACGACCTGGTTCCGCCCGGCGGTATCCTGACCCTCGGCTGCTCACCATCTGCCACAACACCCAAGTCAGGGGTTACCTGGTCGCTTTCCCTCTCGAAGCTTCGATACTACGGCAATTCTGTGCCAGCCACGGCCACGTTGCAGGGTGATTCGTCACGGCTGACGGCCGGCGAGTTCAGATTCGTCTTGGTCGGGTGTCTTCTCCGGGAGTGGAACACGCCGCCCGCCAAGGATGAAATGGCCATCCGGGTCCTGGGAGGCATCGCGCGCGCCGTGATACAGGGCCTTCTGGACAGGAGCGCTGTCAATGGGTTTCCAGGACCGGGGGATGACTACCTGTGGATACGCACCTTGGTTGCTGCGATGCTTCTTCTCAACAAAGCTTCCGAGGACTACACTGGTAACGAGCACAAATTTCAACCTTTTGTTACACTCGGGAGAAACAGGCCACAGTACGGACCTCAGCCACCTGCTGATTGGGAGGGAAGGATAGTCGCCCAGCACTTCTTCGGTATGCTCGACCCGGGCATGTTCCTATCTGCCCTGCGGGGCCCGGAAGAGAGGATTGCTGCGCTCAGGCGAATTGCGCACCGGATCCCGGGCCTACAGGACCTCCCCGCCATAATCCGGTACAAAACTACAGATCACCAGACCGACTTTGTCTCACTCTTTCCGTCGCCAGGCGTAGAGGAAGCCGAGTTGCTGTTAGCCGAGATCAGGGAGGCTGGACCGTTCGCCACCGAACCAGATATAGTAGACTGTTTTCCTTCTAGCGCCGATTGGGAAATGTACGACAATGGGAACCCAGACCCGTTTTTCACTCCAGATGCGAGGCAAGCCAATTCGGAAACCTATAGCGGTGGCAACATATTAGACTCGTTTGTTACTACCTCGGGGAGGCGATTCGACCGCCGTTTTGGGGATTGGGAGTCGGCCATCTTCATTCCAACTGGCTCCCCCGGGCACTTCTACGGAGAGAATTTTTCTCTAGAAGACCTCGCCTGGGCACTGCAGCGTGGCACGATCAGGCCGAACATAGACACCATAGCTGCTGACCCCATGACACCTTGGCTTGCACGGTTCCACTATGCACTGTCTTGTCTTCAATCTTTTCCGGAGCCTGTCATCAGCATCAGGACTCTACAAAGGAATCCACAGAAAGCGAAGTGGGCCAGGGCTTGGGACCAGGGAACTGTTCTAGCCCCACGGCGCCAGAGCTTCGGAAGCTTCGAGTCGTTTTCCAAGCTGGTTTCGAACCCTTGGGTAGTACCCGTCAAGGAAACCTTTTCAATTTTGGCATATTTTATCAGTGGTTGCGATATTGGGCACGATGAGCTGCATAAAAATATAGCTGGTATCTCCTTTGGGAGTTCCCTCTACGTGCCAGACGAGGTGAGTCGGCAGCCGTGCTTGAGGTGATGATGGTAGCCGTGCACCAGTCTAATCAACGCTTTACTGTTAGCTACTTCGCGATCCCTTCCTGACGAGGACAGAAGGGCCTCGAAGAGTCACACGCATACTGGGCAACATAGGAAAGCCAGGGCTGGTGATCTTTTCGTCCGTGACTAATCCTATGACGGCTCCCCTAGACCACACAGCTTGGAGAATAGTCGAGGACATGGGCGCCTTTGACGGCCAGCCGGCCGACTTGTTTGCCTCGACTTCGATGCACCTCAGCTTTACGCAGTGGGGGCGGTCGATGGACATGGCCGACTCACACGGCACGCAGGATGTGCAGTTCACCAAGATGGAGTCGGTTGTTTCCATTCGGGACGCGGGTCGCTGGATCGGTGACGTCGATGTTGTAGCCACGCTGAAGAGTTCGTACATCCTTTCGTGGTCACCAACACATTCACCATGCGGCCATCCTACTACCTCAGAGCCGCCGAAATCGGTCTCGCTGAAGTCGATCAATAACTGGGACGAGCTCCGCGAGTGCCAGTCCGGCTTGGCTGTGGTACGAGTCCACGGAAACTGGCTGGCCAGGCTTGCGGTGACGGCCTACCTGGCGCAGCGCGCGGAGAAAGCCGCCGGCGGGGGTGCTAGAATTACGTTGCTGCCTTCGTCGGTGTGCTGGACTTGCTTGATGAATGACAATGAGTTTCATTCTGTCGTTTACATTTACTAGCGCGCATGAGACTCACGCACGGGACAGGGGATGAATTTATTTCAATGATGACAGACTTGATACCTGGTGGAAAATGTAGGGTTTATTTATCACAGGATTTCACTACTGAGCTTTCACAAGAGTAGTTGCTAGTGCTGTCGGAGGGCGAGGGTCAGGAGTCGTTTTCCTAGTTATTACACAGTTTGATGATTTCGATCAAGTTTCATCCGCAGACCAGTGAGATAGTCTATTAAATACTTCAAAATAAACCTCAGATACTCGTACGTCCTACCAACCCCGGTCTCATGGCAAGACACCTCAACATCGGGTGGTTATTTCTCTCCTCACACTAGACGCCCCTTGTACGGAAACCGGGTGTGTAGACAATGGGCTGGGTGCTTTGGGCTATGCGCTTTGGGCCCTGCCGATTTCTCCCATGGCCACAGACTCCCTAGTTGTATGTTTTTGTAGTTTTCTTTTCTTTTTAGAAGTATCTTTGGCTAGTTGCTGTCTCGCCGTTCAGGTTTCACGGTCGGTCATCAAGCAGCTGGCAGCCCGATACGGGCCGTATCAGACCGTTAACGAACCACCGACGACGGCCGGTTAAATCGACCGGACCGCGGCCCCCGACCGGAGAAGCACACCCCTTTTGACGGCTAGCGTGGTATTCGCCCACTGGAAATGATGTTTAAAGAGCGGGGGATTCCAGCCCGGGGTTTCCAAAGTTATATTATTCCCCTAGAATACCCCCGGAAACAGCCAATTTGTCCACCAATGGGTCTGGTGAGTGGTACCCCTCCGGCGTGTCGTTTGGCATCTATGGGAAGATGAGAACCGGGGATTTGGAGGAGAGAGAAAGGGGAAAGGATGGGAGGGGGGTGAAATATATGATCGGCGACAGCCCAGGTACTGACTGTACCCACCGGGTTCTCGTTGAATCGATATTATTTGTGTGTCTGCGCAGTGATCAAGCACGATGCGCTTTCTGCGGTTCGCCCTCGCGGGGCTGTTGTCGCGTGTTGCGATGGCGTCGTTGCAGGTTGTGCCAGGCGGGACGTGGACGACTGTGAGTTTTACTCTTTTTCTTCGCACTAGAAACAAAGAAAACCTCTAGGAAAAAAAGAACAAAATCCGAAATAGGTTCCGAATTAAATCGGTAATTAATCAACGCGTAATCCCCAGCCCGATGGCCAACATCTCCAAGCGCACGGCGCCGGCCTAATCGAAGTCAACGGCACCTACTACCTCATCGGCGAGGACAAAGCGGGCGGCAGCGCCTTCACCAACGTCAACTGCTACTCCTCCACCGACCTCGTGCAATGGACCTACGTCGGCGCGCTGCTGACGCGCCAGGCGTCGGGCGACCTGGGGCCTAATCGGGTCGTGGAGAGGCCGAAGGTGTTGTTTAATGATAAGACGGGGAAGTACGTGCTGTGGATGCATATGGATAGTAGTAGTTATGGAGAGGCGAGGGTCGCGGTGGCGACGGGGGATAGTGTTTGTGGGGCGTATCAGTATTTGAGAAGTTTTCAGCCGTGAGTTCGATCCCAGGTTTCGTTTGTTTGTTCAGAGAGGGAAGGGAGAGCATTGATGTGAAATGGGGATGCTGATTGACTGTGCAGATTGGGTCGGGAAAGCCGGGATATGAACCTCTTCAAGGACGATGATGGCAAGGGATACCTGCTTACCGAGGACGTGCGTTCTCTCTACCCCTTCTCGTAGTACTCACCGGCCGAGTAAGCAACTAACAAGGACAGCGCAACTACGGCCTCCGAATCGTGGCACTCTCCGACGACTTCACCGAGCCAACGACCGATGTCTTCTCGTGGCAACTCTCGGGCGGCAACCGCGTGGAAGCACCGGCGATGGTCAAGCTGGGGAGCACTTATTATCTCTTTGCCAGCATGATGACGGGGTGGGACGCCAATGACAACCAGTACACGACCTCGACAAGCTTGAGCAGCGGCTGGGCGAGCTGGAAGAAGTTTGCTGATAGCGGGACCAACGTTTGTTCTTTTCTCTAGATTTAACCCCTGAATGACTCTCTGAACGACTGAAATGATTGACTGACTGAGAACAGACCTACAACTCCCAAACAACCTACATCCTCAAAACCAGCGACTCCACAGCCCTCTACTTCGGCGACCGCTGGATCTCCTCCAACCTCCCGGCCTCCACCTACATCTGGCTACCCCTCACCATCTCCGGCACCTCAGTAACCATGAAAAACTTTGTCTCCTGGGTCCCGACAACCAACTTCGCAGCCTGGCAATCCCCGCCCGCAGAAAACTCCTACGAAGCCGAAAAAGCCGTCTACGGTGGCCAGGCCAAATCCGTCTCCTGCGGGAAATGCTCAGGGGGCACAGCGGCTGGGTATATCGGCGGGCCGAGTAACCCGGGGAGCGTGAAGTTTAGCGGGGTGCATAGTGATATTGACGGGTTGACGACGATAAGGATCAAGTTTTTGAATGGGGATACGGGGGCGAGGTATGCGAATGTGAGGGTGAATGGGGATGCGGGGAGGAAGGTGGCGTTTTTGCAGGCGACGGGGGATCCGGCGAGTAGTACGCTACATGCGCAGTTGAAGAAGGGGGATGCGAATGAGATTGTTATTGAGGGGATTGATGGGGGGTGGGGGCCGGATGTGGATCGGTTGATGGTGCCTGTGAAATAGCCTTGGGCGCAATGATACTATCGACTAGATGGAGAAAGAAAGGGTCGCGTGGATGTGAGCTGTGGTGTTTGTTTACTTTGTGCCTGCATCCGGTAATCTGTTTACATCTCTCTCCCACATCAATCCTCCATCAACGCCTCCAAGAAAACCCCAAAATCCCCCACCACCCCCAACCCCGTAACCAAATCAAACCCCTCCCCAGCCTTCCACCCCTCCGACAACGCCACCTGCCCCGGAAACCGACACCCCGCACTCTCCCCCTCCACCACATCCCTCAACCCAAGTTCCCCCTTACCCGCCAGCTCATACAACCTCGGATTCAACCACCCCAAACTCCCCCTTCCCTCCCTCATCCTCGCATCATTCACCAACGCCACCATCGCCGACATCACCGGCGTGCTCGCACTCGTCCCCAACACCTGCGCCGGTCCACCGCCCATCACTATCTGAAACCCTGCTCCAATCGCACTAATATCCGGCACCGCTCGCCCGGTGTAATTAAACAATTCCGTCGCAGGCACCGTCACGTTTCCCGTCCCAGCGAGATACCCCCCCACGGCTTGATCTTGCCACTCCGGTCGGGAAAAATACTCACTAAAACCCCCTGCGCTGAAAACAGCCCCCTTCAACGGCGGCGCTTCATTCTCTGTTGCCCCGACAGCAGTTACATAGGGGCACCCCGCAGGGAAAGTAGGCACCAACCGTCTCTGCTGTGTCTCCCGATCAAAACATTGAGATCTCCCCGTTCCCGCTGCCCCGCCATCACCCGTGGCAGCGAGGATAGTAGTCCCCCGCGCGGTAAGCGCCGCGAAGAGATCGCATACGCGCTCGGCGTATGCGCGAGGCACGGAGGGTTCGTCGTCGGCGTAGCTGATGCTAAGGACGTGAGGGATGGACGAGTCCGGGAGAGCGAGTAAGTCGGTGAGGAGTTCGAGGAAGGGTTCGTTATCGGTTTGGGAGATGGGGAGGACGGTTCCCGTGGCTGGGTCGAGTTGTGTGGACCGGCCGCCGGTGAGGTAGTAGATTACGTTGGTTGGGTAGCCGAGGGCGAGGGCGTATTGGATGTCGAGGGAGGCTTCGAGGCCCGCGTGGTGGGGGGAGTCTTGGGGGTTGGTGGCGTTGTGGTGGAGGGAGATGGTGAAGTTGTAGGTTGGGGGGAGGGTCGGGGCGAGGGTGGTTAGGAAGGAGGAGACGTCCGAGTGGAGGATGTATTGCTCGAGGAAGCCGGCTACGCCGAGGCGGACGGGGGAGGGAGCGGAGGTGTTGGTCGGGGTGTAGCTGATGTTGTAGAGTTGTTTGATGCAGTCGGGGACGGTGGCGACTAGGCAGGGTTCGTTAGGGAAGGGGTTTGAGGGGTCGGGGTCGCTGGGGAACCAGAGGGTGGGTTGTGAGGTGGTGGCTTTAGTCTGGGTTGAGGTCGTGAGGGTGGTGGATGTGCAGACCTCGTCTGTTGATGTTTCCTCAGGCTCATCGCCAGATGTGGCCGCTTTCAGTGCCGCTGCATTTCCTTGCTGCTGCGTGGTGGCCGTGCTCTTTCGAGATTCCCTCTCGCTTTTACCAACCCTGGGTGGCATGAAACTCGATAGCGGATGCACAAAGCTGATCGACTCCCGTAATGACGCCGGCACACGATACGACCGCGCCCTTAACACCGGCGCACGCTCGCTATCCTCATGCCGATAGTACCCCAAATCAGCCTGAAACAGCGTCTTAACCGTCCCAGCTGACGCCTCAAAACTGAGCAGACTCCCCTGGTCCTGAATCTCCTGAACACCCCCCGACTTCAACCATGTTGATACCGCACGGTGGACATCCTCCGACGGTTCGCGGTGCTCATTGACTTCCTCGCGGCTGAGGTGTTTCCCGAATGAAGGATGACCGGGCTGTTGGCGGGCGTGGAGTTTACTCTTGAGCGCGTCAATACCGGGTTCATGGAGCGCGACGAAGAGAGTGAGTGTGTCTGAGGCGTTGGCGTTCCCGAGAAATGTCCATCCAGATGGGATGCTTTTCGCTTCTTCGAGGATAACTGAGGACGCGGCCTGCGCCAGGGGCGCTAGCAGGAGTGTGAAAATTGAGGTCCGCATGGTGTCCTGGAGTTTGACCCAAGTCGCTCGCTATCGCGGCTCATCACAAAGCCAGATCAACGAGGCTCCAATTCCAGTTTTATACGAGCCCGCTATCCTGGCGCCCCTCTCATCCCTTCGTAGAACCTCACTCATTTTGAGCATCCCCTTTTAGAACACTTTCTCAAGCACAATATAAACCCACCCCGGAAACAACCCCAGGTCAGCCTCGGCAATATATACTCATCCTTCCCTCCCACACTCCAACCACGGCTGCGGGTGGGGGGGCGCGCCCTTTTTCACTTATTTGCTATTCAGCCGCCACCCCGGACCCGACTCACCCGAGTTCTCGCCCGTTAGGGCCCGTCAGGAGACAATCTCGTCCGCTTTGCGATTGGTCCGCCTCAGAAATCAGCCGCGGTCTGGTTCCTGCTTCGATATTATCGATCGCGCTAGAAGCTCCGTGTTCCGTGTTGTAATTAATAGCAGAATCTCGTATCTTGCGGATGGAATCGAGATGCGCCGTTGTTGCCACGTTGTATCATTGTATGGCCTGGTCTTGGCATCTTGGTCGGAGTCGGCCATCGTGCTCCGCTCGATGAGATTCACTGTTATCGTGGTAGTCGGCTTACCCCGGAAATGGAAATGCCCTTCATTCGTCCCTTTGCAGTCTAGGCCCGGCCGGTATCTATTTTTGTCGTTGTTATACAGTCCCTTCCCGGTGCGAGTCAACCCCAGGACCGATCGCATGGTCGCATGACTTGCTTAGCTCTGCACACTCGGGCCTAGGTTTGAGCAAGATTAATTATTCCAAACAATGTAACTCAGTGCTGACAAGGTGGGGTATCTCTCGAACCCGGATGTTTCTCGAATTTAGCACGGTGTTTTCGTGTTTACGTGGTTCATCAACTCGCCATGTTTCAAATTCCAGCACCGCAGCGAAGTCCACTTGGCATTTCGGACACCGTAAACCCTAACCCTGAATTTGCCAATGACAACAAAACCAACACCGAAACCAACATCAAGACAAAACACCAACCAAAACGTGTCTGCTACCGTAACCCACCCTCCAACCCATCTATTAATCCCTCCCCGCCCTCTCCCTAGTCCTCCTCTCCATAGCCTCACTAACCCTCACCAACCCCGCCACCAAACTCGCCCGTAAATACCGCCCGACACTATGCACCGCGACCGCCGCTGCAGCACGGAGCGAACTATGCGGGCTTCTTGCCCCTGCTCTTACGCTACCCGTAAACGTATGACGGTGTCGCCTTGTAGCGAGCGTTGTGAGGGCTTGAACTGTTTGGGTTGTGTGAGCTCTCGAGGTACGGGGGTTCGTGCGAGCTACGGCGCGGGTTAGAGTTTGTGGTGGGCTTCGACGTGCTCTTCTTGACGGTGGGGAAGCTCTTGCTCGTGAAGGGGAATATCGGTGTCGATTTCGGTGTTGAGGACTGCGTCGGCGTTGTTGAGGGCTGCGCTGATTAAGGGATATCCTGGATGGTCGAGGGGAGACACGATGTGGGCGTGGATGAGGACGGCCTGGTCGGTAGGGAAGATACCGACGCTCCCCGTTCTGCTGGGGTGGTTGTTCTGGTCCTTCCAGGGGAGAAGTTTCGGCCTGGCCGTCTGTGCCTGTTGGCTGGGCTGAGTCCCTCAGAGCGATGGGTTGAAGAGGCGCGGAGATGAGCTGCTGCGTTGATGGCGGGGCAGGTGGGTTGAAAATGGAGAAGGGCGGCCCCAAGGGCGGATGACGGGACAAGGCCACTGAACGGGGCGGCGAACGGACTGAGCTGGATCGTTGGATACAGACGAACCTCCCGCTCCCGCCGGGGTCTCTTCTCCAGAGATGCCCGTTGGCGCAAATGTAAAATCTTGCGTTGCTTGGGGAACGGCCGACTTGGGATCTCCGTGTATCGTGATGTGTGGCATTGGATTGGGTTGGACTCTGAGGACCAGCCGCGACTCCGAAGTGAAGTGTATCTCTTGCTGGCTCTCGTGAGGGGGTGTTATTTGATACTGGACTTTCATTTGGAATCTGTTGCTGGCGTGGCTGACCTTGCTCAGTACGTGATCGCGAGATCCATTTAACTACGAGGATTAGGAGCAGGCATATGAGAACCGCCAGCAGCCCCATGCTGTGTATTTGGAGGTTTCGATATTGATTTGCAGTATTTTGCAGGAGAGAAACAGTCTGCAAGCTTAGATATTCCGTCCCGGGTGATGCATACATCCCAACCATGCCTTTGTCCTAGAACCCATGAGAGGGTTTCATTATGTGTAAGGAGAGAAGTGGAATGGTTCGACACCCCGGACGATCCTTTGTGACGGAGATTCTAGAACTCACCACTTCTCAGCTTCATCAAAGAGGAGGATGTCGACGCGGAAATTACCCGTGGGCACCCGTGTGGGTATGACCCAAATGCAACCCACAACCCATTTGAGTACCCACATGATTTTGGGTTCATACGGGTTGGGTCTAGAGATACCCAGAAATATGGGTAATTAAGGGTCGGGTTGTATAATAACCGAACTGTAACCATCATTGTACCCATCTCATAGGCTCTCTGGGCACATTCGTTCGACCAATGCTGCGGGATTAGCGCTGCGTGTGTAATCATCGAGAGGAAATCACATCGGCCAGAGTAATTACCTCCGAGCATCCATGCTATCAGGAATACGCGAAGTTACGGCACGGAGAACTTGAGGATAATTAACCAACAGAAACTACATTTCTCAAATGAACACCGGGGTATTATCTAGCTGCTTAATTAAATCCAAATTACCCATCACTCATTACCAAAATCCATCCTCGTGGTGCCATATCATACTATGGCCTACACCCAGAGAGCTAAGAGAGCCGCAGCAAGGCCCAGACCGTTAACAGTCAGACCACTGGCCCCAGCCGTCGCGATCGAGCTTGTCGACGTGCCGTTTGCCTGTTTCTGGGTTAGTAAAATGGATCAAAGGATTTGTGGAATTCGTCGGACATACCGGTGGCCAGGAGGAGTAGGTCGCAGACGAGACAGGCGGGCCCGTGATCGTGGTTGGGTCCCAGCTGCTGTATGAAGTCCCGGAAGCTGCTGTGCTATGGGACGAGTGAGGCCCAGTCGAACATCCGCTGCCCGCCTCCGTAACCGTCACCGTGGTAGCTGCGACCAGAACGGTGGATACGACAGTCTTCGTCACGGTTTCAGCCGGGCAGTGGGAGTCGGTTGTTGGGAAACCGCCCGTGCCGGTGGTTGATCCGGTGGGTTTTGCGCTTGAGGATGGGCCGCCTTCTTGTGAAGTGGATGGGCCACCTTCATGTGAAGTGGATGGGCCACCTTCATGTGAAGTGGATGGGGTGCCAGCCGTGGATGTTGGCTGCTTTGATGTAATAGCATCCTGCGGTAACCCGCAGTCCTCTAGACTTTGGCCCTTCGAAATGGTCAGTCGGGGAGTTTAGAGGGACATCAGTTGACTGAACTTACATCCTCACAGCACCAAACCCTCCCTCCGAATTCTTGCCAAGCACAGTAGAAGCCCTTGTCACACGCTCCTGTAAACATGTCAGTCGACTCTTCTCGATGGTATTGCACCACAATTACTTACGGCCGGATCCGTTTTCGCAGCACGACTGTCCCAAATCCACCTTGTTGTAGCAAAACAAGGAAAGACCGGTGGATGCCTGGCAAGACTCCCAATTCGCACCGCATGCGTTTTCGCAGGTTGTGCCACTCCCACAGGAGCCAAACTCGGGATGGTATCCTGGTGGTGTTGACTGACGACGGTAAACACCGTTCGCAGCGAAATTGGCTTCTAGGGCATTCCATCTTGAGAATTTGACGTCGTGGGCTGACCCCAGGGCCAGAAGGTGGAGTGCCACTCCCACAATTCCGGATCTTTGCATTTTGGCGTTGATGCTTCCGGCCCTCACTCAAAATGATGAACCAAAAGTTGAATTAAAAGCCGATTACAGAGGTCTGAGCCGGGAATTGGCTTTCAAGAACAGGAAGGAACCTTCTTTCCCGACCGGGTGTCCTCCATACTTTGAGGGAACCCCAGGCCACGGCCGCGTTGCCCCGTTCCTGGCCCAAGCCATCGTTCCTGCCGTTTCCGGCCGGCGCAAGCCCGTGGCGCGATGTGATGGGCTGGAACAGAAAAAAATCGACAATCTCGAACCTGGTAGCAGCCAGCCCCGAATTTTGCAACCCCGCTAGAACCCGAGCCAACCACATTCCCGCAGCTCCAATTGTGGTGAGCTATGAGCTGTCGCTCCCCCCGCCCCCTCGTTGAGCGGTGAGTTGTCCATCCACCCAAGGCTGGCGCATCGGGCCCCGCCTACCCGGCCCTGCAGGAAAAGTTAACCTCGTTGGGCACGCAGCCGTCGGGCTACCAGCCACTCAATGCGGAACTGCGACTGGATTTTATCGTCGATGCCCAATCACGACGCTGGCGCATGCGACTCATTGACAGCCGTCACCACTTCGAACCCTCTCATCAGCGTTCGTCATTGCGCATTGCGGACTGGGCGTTGCATCGAGGCCGCATTGGGCCGCAGATGTCACACTTGCGCGTTGTCAATACCGGAAGACAAGAAAAGTTTGACTCAGTTGGAGCCCGCTGGTTGGAGAATTGGTGATGGCCTTTAGGCATGGCGTCGGCAATTGTCGTCGCTTTGCAGACAGCCCTGTCTGCACTTGTTGACCCTTACCCCCATGCCATTCTGAATATCTCCAAACCCATGTCGAGTCCGGCGGCCCTCATGCAAACGCTGGCTTTTCCTGTCCGGCATCTCTTCTTCTACGACTTCACTTGACCTTCAAACCTCTCCAGTACTTCTTTCCCTTTGATTGTGAAAAGAGTCGTCAAGTCTCGAATACAATACTCTGAATAACAACAATCGAGAAACCCCCCTGAGAGGGACACCGCCACGATGGGGTACTTCGTGGGTGTTACGAGCACCGGCTTCGTCGGCAGCGGTGAGATGAGCGCGGTGACCTCGTTCCAACCATGCCACATCTTCGGTGACCAGATGCTCATCGGCGCGGGCATCCGAATCGGATTCTACCTGCTCTACGCCGCTGCTATTCTTGCTGTCTTGTTCGGCGTCGACAAGCAGTTCCGATTCTGGCACGGCGCATGGGGCATTTTGACTCTATCTCTCTTCACGGCCATGTTCCTGAACGTGGTGGACTACAACCTCATTATCATCGACTACGCCGTCCTGATTCAGCTCGTTCTCTGGTACCCGGTATACTTCGTGCTGACCGTCTTGTTCCGCCAAGCGCTCGTTGTGGACGGTAAAGACCAGCCAAAGGCCGATGCCGAGTACCAAGAACGACTGCAGCGTTATCGGCGGGCAATTGTAACGGATCTCGACGTTGCGCGCGCCCGCGCCTATGCGGATGTTCTCAAAGCATTTGCTCTCCATGCCGCAGCGGAAGAGGCAGAGCGGGACCACGATTCCGCACAGGCCGCTCTCAGCCATGCTGTTCAACACTATGTCTCACACTGGCATGAGCAAGTCGAGCTCGACGACGGCCGGCACAGCGAGGATGTTCAGATCGACGGCGGCGCCGTTACCACAGTCTACAACACCGAGCTGATCGAAGAAATCGCCGCTGCCCCGACCCGCGCCGACATTGACAAACTCCGCGATCTCTACGTCGCCGCCCTAGTCCACTCGCAGCAATCCATCTCCGAGGCCCGGGCCACCGAACAAGAAGTGGCTCTCATCGCCTCTGAAGAACTGCGCATCAAACGCCGCGCCAGAGCTCCGAAGCAATCACTTCGCCATTTCCTCCTCACCACGAGCTACAAAGACCAGCTGACCGCGGCCATCGGCCTGCTGATCTGGTCCGCCTTCATGTTCGGCACGGCCGCGCTCAACTGGCCCCTCCTACACAACGGCAACAAGTCCTCGGGCGCCTGCGACAACGTACCCACCGTGTACTTCGTCTTCGCCCCGAAAAAGCCCTTCGCAGACGCCGGCTTCACCACCTTCTTGCGCGTCTGGACAGTCGGCGTCTGCCTCGTAGCCGTGGTCACCACCGCCCTGGGCCTCTTCATCCTGGTCGTCAGCGTCATCGGCCCCGCCGCCGTCGGTCTCCGGCCGTGGACCAAGCGAAAGCCCCACAACAACGACAGCACGGCTGAAGCAGAGGAAGGCCCCGCGACAGCGTACGCACAAGATCCACGCGCTTCGAGGGGGTTTTCCCAAAAGGCGCGCGGCCGGCATACACAGGAGATCCTCGCGTGTCTGCACCACAGCGAGACACGTTCATTTCAGCACCGGTACCGTAGCCGGACGACGGCGCCTGCGCGGTTTAGTCTATGGAATTTCCCCTGGGCTGTGCTGCTCGCGGTGTTGTTGGTGATCACGATTGTGTGTGCTGAATTGACCGTCTCACGGCAAGGCCCGAATAACAACACGCCGCTGGACTTTGCGCGGCCGCCACTTCATGAGACGTCGGAGATTCTGGCGTTTTTAGTGGGGTTGTATTCGCTGATTTTGACGCTGTTGAGTGTTATTGGGGCGTTTGGCGCGGCCTTCTTGCGGAACCGACGTCGCAAGAACCGGACGGAGGGTGGGGCTCAGCAGGGAGAGAAGGGGAAGGGACAGCAGCCTGGGGTTGCGTACTAGATAATTAAGATTTGGGAAATAATGATGTGGTTTTGGTGTTGGGTTTGGTTTATTGGGGGTGTTCATGATGATGAAGATTATGACGGATTGCGCTTGTAGTTTCTTGGAGATTTGAACGAGGGGAATGGGCATGACTTACGATTGAACTTTCTTGGATATGCGACATATTATTAGATACCACTTGAATTAACTACATTCGCTTAAGTACTATGTACATGATTGACGCTCCGTTGGACTTCCGTTTCATTTAGTAACTCGGTACTAATTACGCGCTCAGTTTCGTAACTACTTCAGCCTCTAGAAACAGCTCGTGTTCTCACGACGCGTTCGACGTTCAACAAACTTAGTAGCTACGGTTGAGAGAGGTCAAAATAAACACCCAGCACGTTTTTGCGGCTTCAACCTATTTTGACTGATCCAATGTTTGACCTGCATGGAAACTCTGAGTGCAGTTTGACAATCCTTACAGAGAATTACAATAATTATGAGCTGTTTCCCCCTAAAAACGTGTCATTCAGCCCCATCGTCTGGCAATTATTTAGTCCCAGCTAGTATCGGATAATACACAACTGAGCAATAAACACGCTACGAGTAGAGTTAACAATACAGCTGTTCATCGGTCTGAATAGCGTGTTTCGGACCCTATAAAAGTCTTTGCAAAGTGATAATTTCTCTTGGCCTCGACAACGCGTTGTTACCTGGCGCTCCTTCCCATTCATGTGCTCTTGTCCCTCTCGGAAACGCGTCCCTGAATTCTTTTGGGAAGGAAGGCATGACTGAGGCAACAAACCTACCCGGCCGCAATAGTACTGATACTTTTCTTTTCGCTCGCGGTCGCTGCTTCCGATTTCCTCTTCAACCACAAACCAAGCAGCCAAGGTACGTACAAGCTCACAACCCTCAATGGCGCCCTCCCCCGCGCGCGATGTGTTTCATATGGGTTCTAGATTCTCCTTGATGCCCTTAATATCACCAAGTGCCTTTGGACTTCCTTTCCGCCGCGAAGGGTGCCACGGGGCGAAATAGGCGAAGTCGCCGTACCCCGCGAGTGACCGGTTTCGAAAATCGAGACGCGATGGGCACCGGGAACTTTGTGTCTTTTTGGCTCAGCCCAGCATTTGAAAACATCTCGCCAGTGGCCGGATTTGCTGCCCTTGGGCATACACTTCCATTGTTTCAGAATGGAGTGTAAATTTACTAACACCATTTCTTCACATATTCAACAGCGACCGTCATTTTAAAACGACAAAAAAAAACCACCCAACCCCGACCAACAGCTTCGGCTGTTTTTACGACCCCATGGCTCCTGCTGTGTCTCGCCTTCTCGCCTTCGCGGGCGTTGAAGAGTTTGCCCGTCGCCACCGCGGTGGCACGGAAGCTGAATTCCTCGGAAATCAGAAGTTGGTTGAGGAGACCAACAAGCGGAACCTCCAGTTCCAATCCTGGTTCGTTTCGACGACCAGGAAGACAAGCAAGCGCGTCGAGTACCTCGTCGTGGTCCGTCCTGGCCAGGGCGGCGAGGGCTCGATACCGCAACTGGGGGAGCCCGCGAAGCTCCGAGTCGCCTTGGGCGACGATAACTTCACCCGTTTCTGGGACGCTCGTCGTCTCGAGACCCCGGCCACCGCTCTCCGAGCTGCCGCCAACCCCTCCGAGAAACTCACCTATTTCAAGGTGACTTCGCCGATCGCCGACGCCCACCAGGGTGTTCGGACCCTCCTCGACTTTCCGGCCGCCGAGGCCGATGACAACACCGACGACACCGCCGACACCACCTCTTGCGACCGCGAGGTCGCCCTCACCAATGAGAACTCGGTTCTCGTCAACTTCCTCCTCGTCGCCTCCGAGGCGACCAAGAACTCCGAACTCGGCGCGCTCGACCATTTGTGGGGCCGCTTCGCCAACGCCAGCGAGCAGCAGACGCTCGCTTTCAAGTATTTCGTCACGTTGCGTGACCCGGAGTTCTTTGTCGACCTCCACCAGCAGATCCCGCACCTGAAAGGTGCCATGGATGATCCGACCTGGCCCGGATCTCCATTGGAAAAGAAGTTTGCGCGGCTCAACCCGCAGCAGAAGGCCGCCTACCTAGAGGGGTTTCGCCGCCTCGAGTGTGGCATTTGCATTCTCCCTGGTGGCCCCGGAGCGGGTAAAACCCACTTCAACATTTTCACGATCGCCATGGCGCAGTCTCAACCACTGCCCAGACCGGTCATGATCAAGGGGAAGCCCACCAGGCGCTATGCCAAGGTTCTCTTCATCGTCGACATGAACGCCCCAGTCGACGACGTGGCCAACCGCATGGTTGCCACCTACAAGGAGCTCGGCATGAACAAGGTTTGCATCCGCATGAAGGGGTGGGGTTCCGAGATTTCTTCCAGCGACAGGCTGAACTCAGTGGAGGACGCGGGTTCCGGTGACGTGGTGCCGGTCGACTTCAGCAAGGGCTTTCTCGAGACGGCCAAGCTCATGGGGACTGACGACCCCCGACGCACCTGCCAAGCGCTCACTCTCGACGAGGCGGCGTGGGAGCACTACGACAAGTTCAAGAGCACTCAGTACGAGGGCTTGACTGAATACCTCAACACCGACCTCTGGGAAGAGGCTGAGATTGTCCCCTTCCGTTTCCGGTGCCTGCTCTATCACCTTTACCGCGACACGCTCGAAAATGCCGACTTCATCGCCACCACTCCGGTTGCTGCCAGCAACCACTTCAAGGGCATGTTCAAGCCCGACCTGGTGTACTTTGACGAAGCGCCTCACGCTCGCGAACTCACCAACCTTATCGCGATCGCCAACTTTGAGCCCATCGCGTACATTTTCTGCGGCGATCATCGCCAAACTATCCCTTTCGTCGGATCTGCTGGGGATGATGATGAGAACCCGTTCAAGCAGCAGATGCAGACCTCGATGATGGAGCGCGCCGCTGCTGCCGGCGTCATTCATTACGAACTTCTCATGAACCATCGCGCCTTTGGCGGCTTGGAGCAACTCGCTTCCGTCATGTGGTACGACGGCAAGATGATCAGTGGCAACGAGAGCACCCCGGCCTCCGTCACGCACATGCTGAGCTATCTCGGCCAGTTCAAGGACGGAAAACCCTGCACCACCCCGCGCCTTCTCGTCCACTTGAAGAACTGTGGTCCCGAGAGCCGCGACGGCACTTCCGCCTGGAACCCTAGTCACATGACTTGGGTCATGGAGCGCATCAACGAGTTGCTCCTCGACCACGAGTTTAAGCATGCAGAGCGCGACCAACCAGGCACCATCCTCGTCATCTCTCCGTACAAGAAAGCCTTCCATGAGTACAAGAAGGAAATCAAGAAGCTTCCCGCTTGGGCCCAGAAGCGCGTCGAGACGCGTACCGTCGACGTCGTCCAAGGCCATGAAGCCGATTTCGTGTTCCTCGACTTGGTCAAAGACAGATCGACCAAGTTCCTCGACAATCCTAACCGGCTTTGCGTTGCTCTGACCCGCGCCCGAATTGGCGAAATTGTCATGATGCACCCCAACATGGTTCATTCTGCCACGTTCAAGCGGAACTCTGAGAACCTGCGCCCGATCCATGAGCTGTGCAGCAAGGCCGGCCAAGTCGTTCATGTCGACCCTGCTACTTCTTCTCGCGTCGCGCTTCCACTAGTGACGCCCGAGACCATTCAAGTCTGCCTTGTTGCTGAGTCCAACAGCAACAACCCCACACCCGTTCGCTCGAACCGATCTTCTTCCATTCATTCCAAGGTCACTTCATCGGCCCGTTCTATTGTTGCCGTTTCCCAGAAAGCCCCTTCGAACAGCGCTGCTGCCTCCGGTTCAACCAAAATGATTGGCTGCGAACTTCATCTGTCGAGGCACGCACCTAGCAACACGGGCAAGTCTACTTCCGAGGTTGGCGATCAGGTGGAGGTTGACAAAACTTCCACACTTTCTCGCGCATCGGCTCTCAGCAAGATCACTCTCAACCATGAAATCGAGGACCACAACAATTTCGAGCAAGTCGATGACTCCACCGACTACAATGACGCCAACAGCAACAACTCGGGTGTCGCCAACATCGATGACGGTGCTGCTTGGTGGGCCGCCGTGATGGGCACACCTGCGGTCCCGAACACCACACCCCCTCCTTCCTTTTCGGAAGTTCCTATCGCGGCCGAAATTTCTACCGCCCCCGACGAGGATCATGCTTCCATCGCTTGTGGCGCGTCCATCGTTTCCGACGCGTCCTTTGGTTCTGGCGCTTCTGGCCTGTCTTTCAGGACCGACACTGCCAACTCAGGTATCGCTAGCATCGACGACACCAATAGCTGGTGGGCTGCTCTTATGGGAATGACCGCAGCGACCGACCCCCCCAACGTTACTGCGGTCTCCCCCGAGCTGCAGATTGCCGCGGAAATGTCGGAAGAGCTCGAGAGCCTTGGCAACCCCGAGGACGTTGAACAAATTTAGGGACTCGAGACCATTGAGGAGGTCGACGAGATTGAGGAGAATGAAGCTGTTCAGAAAATCGAGAACGACCATACCTGCGAAACCGCCACGATCGCCAACCCTCCTGTCACCAAAAGTACTGATATCCCGACTGGCTCTCCCAAGATCACAGCCGCTGAGCCAAAGATGGCTAACATTGACGATACTGAGGCCTGGTGGGCTGCTGCTGTCAGCACTTCTACCATCACGAAAACTTCCAACATCTCAGAAGTATCTCCCGATGTTCACATTACCACCGAATTGTCTGAAAACATTGAGAACAAGTCAGAGACCATCGAGAGCGGCGAAGCCTGCGACAATGCAGCAAATGTGGCTTCCACTGTCGCTTCCACTGTCGCTTCCACTGTCGCCAACACTGTCGACGTCCAGACCTTTGACCCAGAGGTCAAGTCCGCCGAAAATGGAGTCGCTGACATTGACAATGCCAATGGCTGGTGGGCTTCCATGATGAATCGTTCTACCGCCTTGAATAACACCACCACGGCCTCTGTTACGTCTCCAAAGAACGATGTCATCACCAACTCCACGAAGATCAACGACAACACTTCTCAAAGCGGTACTTCCATAGCCGCTTCTCCTGTAGAAAAGAGCACCGACGCTCCCAGTCAGATGTGCCATTCCACCGGCATTGATGTCGCTGACATTTCCCCTGTTTCCAAGAATGTCGGCATTACCAATGTTTACTCTACCAAACTCGAGAACAGCGCCGCTGAAACTGCCGCAGCCATCAACGGGTCTCCTTCGGCTGAGGACACCAATAATATTCACGCTGTTTCCGACGACATGTAGACTACTCCCAGCCCCAAGCTGGAGCGCATTGACGCGAACAACACTCATATTACTGCATCGGATGATGCCCAATGTGTAAGTATTTTCGCTGACCGCACTAGCACCCGGTTGCTTCTTGCGATGGAATTAATCGATGCTAACCCATGTGGAACAGGCAAACATCACTAAGAACCACCCTGAATATGCCGCGATCACCTGCTCCTCTCTTGCGGCCAAGGTCGCCGACGATTCTATCACTTCCATAGACCTCCAAACTCCCCGAGCAGCCCCAACAGGGCCGGAGCTCAAGAACCAGCTGCAATCGAGAAAGTTGATTTCAGCACAGCCTGGTGGAACAAGGTGATGGGTGCTTCCACTTCCAAGGCGGCTTCTTCGCCTACTTCCTCCGTTCATGATATACAGATGACCAAAGAGCCCATCTCAGACAGCACAAACAACAACGTTGAGGAGATCACCGGGCAAGAGATGACCGCGGGACCTGGCCCATTCGAAGAACCCGGCATCATCGATGAGATAAGACCTGACATTGCCAGCCAGGCAGGTGTCACCGAAGAGCCCGAGATTCAGGGGACGAAGGCCAACATTCGCAGCATCGATGACGGTGATGGTTGGTGGAACGCCATGATAAATTCCGCTCCTGCCTTCCAAGCCACTTACAAACCCCGACCCCCCAACATTACCGTTCTTTGTGCTCACAACATTACCACTCCTTCCCCTAACAACAGAAACGCGCAGAACGCGACCCGCCCAGAAGCAAACACTGCTCCAGGCAAAACAATTCACATCGACGAAATTGTCGCCGCTTCCCGCAAAATCATCACCGCGCAAAACTCGAGCATCGAGCACAGTTCTGCCACTGAAAACGACATCATGCTCGAGCAGAAATTTGCCGGCAACAACAACTCCGTCATCGTCGAGAAATTTACAACCGAGCAAAATACCACCACCGGAAACGCGACCATGTCTGACTTCAAGCTTACGGCGGACAACAATACCGCCACTGTGGAGCGCAACATGATTGACACTGTCATCATCGCGGAGAACAAGATCATTACCACCGAGACTCCTTCCGTTGATGAGATTATTAAGGCTGCAGAGACTGAAACCCCCAACAACAGCGGAATTGACGACTGCGACGGCTGGTGGAACGCCATGCTCCGTTCTTCGGCCACTAAGACTTCATCCACATCAAAGATCTACTCCACCACCAAACCCTCTTCTATCGCTGGGGTTTCCGACAGCGCGAAAGCTTCTTCCGTCACCGCTGTGGCCATTGATCATGAGCACGAAGACGAGGTTGCGACCCCGAAGTCGCCGACCAAGGATGCTGACAACATTGAGAATGTCGACATCAAGAATGTGATCAACAATCTTGTCAAGCACACCCCAACTGAGACCACTAGCCACGAGAAGAACAAGTCCTTGCACCACGAGAACAAGTCTTCGCATGACGAGAAAATGTACAAGATGAAGTCAGAGATTTTGGAGTGCTTGAAGGAGGACATGATGCAGAAAAAGGACGAGATCTGGAACGAGCTCCGCAATCAAATCGTCCAGGAGCTGCATCAGCAAATTGTCAACGAGATGGAGGAGGAGATGATGAGCAAGCTTGTGAGCCTCGTCAAGCAGATGTATTCCAGCCGCGCGGCCATGGAGAGCATCATTCGCAAGGACGTGGAGAGCAAGGTGTACGGCACAATTAAGGACGAGATGAGCAAGGCGATGCCGGCTGAGACGACGCTCGCCAAATTGAGCGCCATGTTTGCGCCCAAGGACTAAACAACCAGTTGCGCGACCCGAACGTGCTGTTATTTGGAAGGTCATGATGGATTGGAGGACTTTCGAATTGTGGCAACACACTGTATTGTATTTGGTATTGTGATAATTCTTTGATTGCTGGTTTTGCTCTTATTTTGTTGTTCGGTCACCTCGAGGACAGTTTGTGGGATGGATGCCCGTCGGTCTTGATGGGTTCAGGAGAGGAAACTAGGTTCAGTTCCTCATAGTGAACGGGTGAACTCTTGACATTTGACGGAATGGTATTCGTGGATTTTACATCATGTGGTTTTATTCCTTGTTAAGAGGCCACTCTTGCGCAGCTGGCTCCGCCCCGGGCCCAGCACAGAGGGTTAGGTTAAATATACATGGTTTCACCAGTGTATTCCACAGAAGCCGCTTTCGTAAGGATTGATTCCTCTGGCCGGCGGACTCGCCGCGAGCCCGTTGACATTGATCAGCAGGATCGACTACGTGTTTTCCCGGGAGGATCGGGATGAGAACAAACTAGGAGGCAACTGGCTCCTATTGTATGTATCATGCTGGGTTATTGCGATCCATCTTAACGGGTATATGTTCAGCCAAGTGCGTGTAACGAAGGCGGTAGATTGACGACATTAGTTTGTTGGTGAACACAGAACATTTCAATGCTGTGATCTGAACGTTTCCTTACATTCCCTAGCCCGAAGCTGGCTCTTTGGGCTGGCATTACAAGTTTTTACAACAATTAAACCGTGACCTCCCTCCTCACTACTAATTATCGCAGCCCGGAAGTAGTCATACCCCCGAGATGTCGCCTTTCTCAAGTTTGGCGTAGAGTTCCTCATGCGACCGGGCAATAGCCTCCCCAAAATATATTCTTTCCGCTTGGATGGTCAACTGCAACAGCTTGAGAGCTTCCTTGAGATCGGACCTAACCCGCCTAAGCTTATACTTGGCGATGGCAACTTCGAACGCTCCTAGGTACCTGACAATGGTTAGTATATTGGGAAGCTCAAACCAAACTGGTGCTGACTACATACACCTCGCGAGTAAATGACCGTAGCGAATGATGCTGGGTGAGCAGCTCAGTCCGTCTCCTGAAACTGTCTGTAACTCGCTCGAGCGCCGCGTATGACCATGTCCCGGGCCTCTTCAATCGGCCATCATCGCCCAAATAGCACACGGAGTTCATGTAGATTCGAAGAAGAGCTTTCAGGCGCTGTTTGTGAGGGCGACTGAATGGGTGACCAAGGTCACATGCTGGACACTGGCAGGCGAAACCCCAGCGTCCAGAGAGCTCGCGCTGCCGGATCTCGCGAGGTGCAGCACGCATAATGTAAGAAGTCGTGATCTCTTCGCCAGCATTGATATCCCGGTTAGCACGCATTACTAGGTCACCGGTGCCTTCGTTGTCTACCTGGTCGACGTTCGGAATACACGAGTGGTTGATTCGGCAGCCATTCAGAAACAGCTCAGCAGTCAAGCGATTACAATGGGCGATGGTGAAGGCATTTGTATCGATGATATCCTCCAGCTTGAAGATCTCGAGGATAGATTCCCTCTCGTACTTGTTATTCCTCGGGTACCTGGCGTAGACGATCGGACGATAATCTAAGACGGATTTACCCTCCGAGAGCTTCAGGATGTTCTGTCGTGTCTTAAGTGGAAGCATAATGAACCTCCGGTGTCGCTCTACCAGGTCTTCGCCATTCCAGGTTTGGAAAGCGGGAGGATCACGCATGATGTCGGCATTGCGAGGTATGTCCTTGGTCGCAAATACCCCCAGGCCCTTGCCCGGCGAGGTGCGAATTTCAAAAACAGACGAAGACTCTGAGGAAGCACAAATCGTTAGAGTAAGGGTGTCCAGTGGGGGGAGTGTGAGAATATACCGCAGAAACCGCCTAGGCGTTCCCAGGTGTCGCGTTTCCCTTTTCAGGAGTTGAGTAATTAATTACCTTTTCCCAAGCATTGCGTACTCTTACCCAAGTGTTGGCCAGCGCTCCGTGCAAACCTACCCAGCGCTTGGGAAGTTGATTGGAGCTTCAATATTCGCCTCAACCAAGCCATGGCTTCAGAGTGTAGAGTAATCGTCTTGGATAATCGCAACTCTTGTTCTGGTAAATGGAGACAAAAGCTGGTAAGGTTCAATTTTTGCCACATCAACAATGGTTGGGAAGTCGCCCAATTCAGCAACCTTTGTGGCCGCTTTTAATCCACTACCTAGTTACGGCCAACCAGAATTGGAAAATAGATCAGGTCGCTACACAGTACAGTTGTGAGCACAAGTAACTTCCTCTGTGGAAACTCTTTTCCAAGCTAAGATATGGACCCACACAGTATCATTCATTGAACTCCAAACAGTATACTCTTTTTACACTATCCCGGTACGAAATCTCTGCCGGAATATAGTTCTATCGCGATCCGCAACAATGGTACCAGGAAGTGTCATGAGGGGGTTCCAGTGTCCATGACTCATCGCAAACCTCCACATTTCAACCACTCAAAATGGCTCCCAAGTTATCGAAGATCCAGCGAACCGAGCTCGAAAATGTCATCATCAACAAGTTACAGGGCGTTGAAATCTTGACCGACAAGGAAATAGCAAATACGGTTGTTCCGTGTACCACCCGAGCCATCCGGGCCGCACGAGCAAAGATCCTCAAAGACGGTAGAATCGACGGTAACCGAAAGACCGGGCGCCCCAGGGAAGTAACTGAACATATGTGGCTGGCACTCCAGAGCCAACTAGAGCAGAATCCTTGCATGAGTCAACAAGACATGGTAAATTCCCTCCGCAAGAAAGATGCCAGCATCACCGTATCACGATGTACGATCGGTCGGGAACTGAAGCGGCGCAACTGGACGAAGAAGGTGGTGCAAAACATTGCGAAAGAACAAAATCAGGACTTACGTGACGATTACCTTGAGCGACGATCCCATTATAAGCCGGAGCAAATGATATTCATTGATGAAAGCGGCTGCGACCGTAGTCTCGCGATCTTAGGAAGGGGTTATGCTCCGAAGGGAGTAACCCCACTATAGAGGAAGCGATTCCATCGAGGCAAGAGAGTCCAGATGCTTCCAGCTTACACCATGGACGGAGTCATGTATTCTGAGGTGTACGAAGAAAACACCGATGTTCAGGTGGTTGAGGGCTTTCTGGAACGGCTCCTGCCATTCTGTGGCGGATTTCCAGAGCCAAGATCCATCATGTTCATGGACAATGCTTCGTTCCACTTCTTCTCCGCACGGAGCAAGGAGATACTCGTTGAAGTAGGCGTGTTGATAGAGTACCAACCACCGTACTGTCCGGACTTGAACCCGATCGAGTCACTTTTCGGCTCCATCAAGAACCGCATAAGGAAAGGGGCTTACCAAGATGGCGATCTGATTCAGGCCGACTTCAAGTCGTACCTCAGGATGCAGATCCGAATTGTTGGTCGGGACAGAAAGCTAGCAAGGGGTCACTTTAGAGTGGCACAGATACTCATTGATGAACTAGTAGAATGAAGGCTACAGTAACATCGCTATTTGTTTCTCGACTACAGGGTCTCCTTGGGAACATAGAATCTTGCCTTCTAAGGGTGGAATGATGTAGTTAAAAAAATAAGTCATCCGAGGTATCCACTAATGGAACGTACTCGAACTTTACGGGGTCCCAATAAATCTACCTATCCTCCCAGACCCTTCTGGTGGCACGCTAGTAAAAATGAAATAGAGGGAAGGTGAAGAGAGACCTAGAATAAATCACACATCTCGTGAGAAGCCGATAGAAAGAACCCTTCCCGATGCACATCCGATGGATATCATCTGTCCTTGGAGGGCGAAACACACCGGTCGGGCTTCTGATGGCAGCCGGAGCACATGCCGGCCATTGCAAGTAATCCAGGACCTATCCCGTCCCAGACCATAACCATGCCGGTCTAGGTTCCCCGGCTTAATTGAGTATTCGGTAGTCGCTGTTGACATTTTGATACGTCCAATACCGGTAAGTAAGTAGCGGTGGTCGGTTTGGTCAAACGATATACGATATATTTGGGCACCGTCTTCCAATGTCTCGAGGCAGCGCCCCGACGCGGCGTCCCAGATCTTGATGGTGTTATCGACCGAACCGGACACGAGCCGCTGGCCGTTAGGCGAGAACGCGACCGACCAAACCGAGCTGCGATGGCCTTGCAACGTCTGTAGGTAGCTGCCCGATGCGGCGTCCCAGATCTTGAT